CAGACTCGATTATTTACAGACCGCCGTCATATAGCTGGAATATTGCTGAGTGCGGCGTTAAACAACAAAGAAAGAAAATTAACTCACTCACTCACTCACTTTTAATGAAATAGAAATTCAATTTGACAAAAAAAAAATAATAATTTATCAGCGGCAAGTGTATTCGGCTTTACGACAGTCGTCGCTTGTTTGTAAACATAACGGTCATTCGGTTTCGAGTTCAACACCAAGCATGGTTGGGGCCACCTATCACAGTGGGGAGTTTTGACTGGTGGCAGCGATGGTAGAGAGCTCCGCGAACGGGCTATCGCTGTGAGGAGCTTGATGGAAACGGGCTAAAGGGACAGCACTCTCATCAAGACCCTGACTGGGCTGTTTTTGTAAACAAATGCCGTAAAAGTTGAAAAAACTCAGGAACGTTTGCTGTTTAGTTTAACTAGATAAAATAAACAAAAAAACACACACAAAAAACAGTAGTATTTTAGAAATGTAGTTTAGCAGGGGAAAGGTGATATTTGTTCATAGTTTCACTTGAAAAACATGAACATCCACGATGTTGTCTCGTTCACTTCCTGCATGGTTATGTCGATACTCCGTCATCAGTTGGTTGGTTGGTTTGTTGTTTAACGCCGCACTCAGCAATATTACAGCTATATGACGGCGGTCTGTAAATAATGAGTCTGGACCAGACAGTCCAGTGATTGATATCATGATCATCGATCCACGCAATTGGGATCGATGACATGCATTAACCAAGTCAGCGAGCTTGACCGTCATTAGCTGATCATTACAGTATGCAGATAATTCATGTTTGTTGGAGCAAGTTGTGTTACGTAATTTTTAGTTTTACTGCCCTTCCGTCTGGAATTGACACAAATCACATCTTATCATTTCGGTTATTAATAAACTTAATAATACAGTAAAAAAAAACATAAAACTCATTAATATTTTATGTGAACACTTGAAATAAAGTTTAGAAAAAATATAGATCTTATATGATTTGCTTTCATCAATTTATTTTATTGTGCATTTGAAGAGCTATCATGCAAAACAAACAAATCTGGCATGTAAAATAAATCTCCAGTACCATAAATGTGTATTTACGAGACAGTTATGAAAACATATGTAACTTGTAAGGTTATTAAATTACATCAGTGATATTGAAACATGTCCACAATATTTCAAGAAGTACTCAAACGAATAGTAATAAACATATCATGTCAACATGATGGAAAACTATAAACTGTTTTGGCTATTATTGAATTATCAACAGGGTATAAGAATTATACATATCAATATAAGTTGTTTCTTCTATAGGCTTCCCTCCAGATTGAATGACAAAAATATATATTTAAACGGTATGATATTTTTGTAATGTTTCGTACTGTGCAACTAATAAAAGACACTTTTTCTTTTCAGAATCTATCTACACCTCATAAACAAGAGGTTCACTTTTGGGATTTGCAGAAATAGTTGAAGAATCAGAGTTATTCAATCTTGTGTTGTCGAGGTGATTCGTGAACGATTTCCATCTGATGTATGTACTGTTTTTCTCTATGCTCACTAAAATGAACTTTTTCATTGAAATCTTGTTTTATGGTCTCTGACAACAATCAGCCTTTGCTGTTTCTTTTTATAAGTTTCTGTAATACAGGATGGCTGATGCTGGATGAGGGAGTTTTGTATTTTTCTTGCTTTTAAGAAACGACAACAGTTTTTTAAATGTATGCAATAATTCAATTGTTCCACTATGTATATCTGGCACCGGCTATTCCACTGTATCCATATTGTATAATGGGCCGGTGGCCTCTTTACTGAAATAAACTCATTCATTCACAAGTGGTGGGTAATTCTCTTTGTGTGTGTGTGTGTGTGTGTGTGTGTGTGTGTGTGTGTGTGTGCGTGTGCGCACGCGTGTATGTCTGTGTATGTGAGGTGAGGTGAGGTGAAATTGGGTTTAACGTCGCGTCCAAGATTATTGCACTTATATAGCGACGTGCATGCACGTGTGTGTGTGTGGCTGCTTGTACTAGTCCGGACTGATGCCGATTTATAGTGCTAGCTCACTGAGATACCATGCTGCAGTTTAACATGAATACCCCACTCAGACACAGTATACTGACTCCGAGCCGACCAGTCCTTGTTTTAGCCCATTAATGTCGAGCGCCAGACAGGGTAACAACAAGTACCATCTTTTAACGTCTTTTGGTCTGAGTATGTGTGTGTGCACGCGCATGTATGTCTGTGTATGTCTGTGCGTGAGTGTCTGCATGTACTTGAAATTGAACAAATCGAAAAGGTAATGTAATTCTTTTATTCTGAAATAACAAAGAAACAAGAACAGGACTAATATGAAACACTACAGAAAATACAACTTTCACACATAAAAACAAAACTTTGTACATTGATAATTACGGAAGGTGAAATCATTCAAAAGATATATTCAACATAAACACTGAAAATGATAACAAATGACATGGTAATGTAGGACGTAATAGTTATTCTAAACTACTGGTAAATACAGAGGTTTTGAAGATGCTCAGAGGTGCATTGTGAAAAGCAGACATTGCGCACCCCAGGAACGATCCAAATATTTTTATAATTCTCACCTTCTCAGTGTATTATGCTAACATAATAACATTTGTCCCACACAAAATATCACAAGCATTGTGAAAAATTCAACTCATATACCTGCTGTACAAGGGTTTGTTTGTTTGTTGGATACTTGTTGGTCTGTAAATAATCGAGTCTGGACCAGACAATCCAGTGATTGACATAATAAGCATCGACCCACGCAATTGGGATACGATGACATGCATTAACCAGGTCAGTGAGCTTGACCACCCGATCCCGTTGGTCGATACTCACGACAAGCATAGTCGCCTTTTACTGCAAGCATGGGTTGCTGAAGACCTACCGTATTCGACGTAATAAGCGCCCCCGCTCTAATAAGTGCCCACGGCGATATTTGCCAATATATTGGCTAGTGAACAATCCCAATTAGCACACCTTCCGATTGATCAATGTAAACAAGACTTATTTATTCGTGTATAATATGTGTGTTATATGCATCCTTAATCATGGGAAATTAAATTTTGGAAAAATATATCTGTTGTATATAAACATTTCAGGCTGTTGTTTTTCACTAAAATAATATTCTAATAAGAGCCCCCTATTGCTAATTTTGAGGGAGCCCTGGGCGCTTATTATGTCGAATACGATATTCTACCCCGGATCTTCACAGGTGATTGTGTGAATGACAGGGTGGGGCAGCTGCACATACAAATACATATACATACAAATACATACAAATACATACAGTGAAGTGAGTGTTCCCCTTCTCGATGCCTACAAAGACTCAACAAATTCAAGCTTCTCACATTATTTATTTTGACAAGACTATGTACACCTTAACAAACACACTCAGAAACATATTCATCACAATGTCAGAAAAAGCATTTAAATGACATCGAAGACAACCAGTGTGAAAAACTATTGGTAATGTCATGAAAATATTCTTCATATACAACATATTTACCATACAAATACTTAAACCTACTTGGCACCGTGAACATAACTTGTCATCATACTCTCACAAACCTTCACCATCTTTTAACAACATAGTAACATCCTCATCCGGATTTTCTCAAACTCTCCCAGCACGAAATCTTGTGTTCATGTAAAAGGCTGCATGAAAAAACATGTTTCTCATCACCGGGCTGCTGTTCACTTCATTACCCTATCGCCCTTATCACAGCATTCGCGACTGTTGGTTTTGTTAATGATAAACATATTGATTAGGCAAAAAAACATATTTTAGGTGTTGTAGGGTGAGTTGCTATAAGCGACTTTACAAAATTCGACACCAGATTGTGTTGCGTAGTCTATCTTTAGCATGGTAAAGCATAAAAAAAAGCTTCATGGCACATAAGTTCATGTGGTTTAAGTTTAATACATGACACTTTGTTATGAGTAGCAACAGTGGATTAAGTGAATAGGCTGACACCTACACAATCCACGGCATAATCCAATTGAGTTTAACAGAATTATACTTCAAACACGTCAAAAGTTGAAACTTATGAATTTAATACCATACAACGGTCCAGGTTTAGAATTCAGGCATCCGTTCCACAAAATTATCGTAGCGTTAAGGTTATCGCAACTCGCATACTTTAACATAGACTTGCGACTGTCGTTGCGCTACAATACGATCGCCTTGTAGAACGGGGCCTTGCACCTCAAAGTTTACAATCACGTCACAATACCCGATGACGTAATTTGTGGAATTTTGATGCAAGATCCATCGGCGAAACAATGTCATGTGACGCCAGCCTTGCAACAAGGTTGCTGGGGTCATCGAGTGTGCATAAGCTCCTCTCAGTGATCTATCATCTCCACACGCAATGTCGTTGAATAAGCCAAGGGATGTTGAGAGCTTTCAATATTTGTTTGGAAACTTGTTCCGAGAGTACATAAGCACGCGTTTTGGAATTACACAATGTGTAATACAACTGTATGTTTATTAAACGGGTGATCTCTTCACGGGCAAGTAATAAATATATATAGTATTTTTAGTTCTCTATAGTACTCTATGCACTTATTAAGCATTCACCTGATGAAGAAGCAAAAAATAACCCTGAAACGTCGTACAAAGAATAAAAGAAGTTGCTATCCATAAAAAGTGTCATGTATTCATGTTCTCCAAACTTCTAAATGCCTATCAAAGACGTCTGGTTTAACTTTGGAATCAGCAATATCAGTTACACCATGAAGACTTGAAAAGAAGTGCATCTGGAACGACAACATGCCCTCAAAGTCATCATAATAATGGACATTGTCATTGACTCTTTGGAGTGAGTGAGTGAGTTGGGTTTAACGCCGCTTTAAACAATATTCCAGTTATATCACCGCATGTCACCTTAATGTGGGAGGAAAGCCCGAAGTGATGCAGGTCTCAGACGTTTACCACTTCGGAGAAACCCACGAGCACGGGTATGGTGCTGACAAACCTAGAAACATAATCGGGGCGAACTGGGATTCAAACCCATAATCATAGGTTTCTGGCGTGCCCAAGGGACATAACTCTGCACAGCAAATCGTGGCGCCTTAGACGACTGTGCCCCCGACTCTTTGGGACTGACCCAAGGTGATTTACAGTGAACTGATGTGACATCACTTCCTGTTCTGTCCGAGGTATTAAGTAGGTAGCGGGCAAGATTTGAGACAGACTTGAATGCTGATGTAAACAGGAACATTGCTTGATATCAGTAAATATTGGAAATATCAACACAGGATCTGCTTTGCAATGTTTTTACGGGTGAAGCATTTCACAAAGGAGAAAATAGTTCTTGGAATCAGCTTGAAGCACATTACAGTTGATGAAAGATCCATGGGTAGATAACTCTGTCATTACTTCCTGTTAAAACACTGGGATTCTGTCCCTTCGCTTCAGAGACAGGTCATCGTCCAGCAACAGCAGGATCTGAAATACAAACACAGTATTTAACTCAGAAAGCCCTTTACTTGCTTCATGACGATGGATGTTGGAGTATCTGGAGTATTGCTGTTCAGCTGGTGCTGAATTTGGTACTACTGATTTTTCATGAAGACATCTAATTTGTAACCAACCTCCATGTTGTTTAATGCCCCACTCAGCTATATTCCAATCTGGACCACACAATCCAGTGATTGACATCATGAGCATCGATCCACACAATTGGGATACGATGACATGCATCAACCAAGTCAGCGAGCCTGACCACCCAATCCCGTTAGTCGCCTCTAACGACAAGCATAGTTGCCTTAGACAGCAAGCATGGGTTGCTGAAGATCTTTCCTACCCCATCCTCCCATGGCAAGAGAGTTAACTGATCTTCACGGGTCTTTGAGGTATTATCAGTGGTGAAACCTTGTCGATACGTTCAGAAGCATCAGAATTACTCACCAGGAATGAAAGGAAGAGGCTGACAGCAGACATAAAGTGCCACACATCATGGGCGTCATAAAACTCCAGTAGAATGCAGTCACGGTTACTCTCTCTCGAGCCTGCTGGTGTTTTCTGTTAATCATAGGAACCATGTTTATTACAATGACAGAAAAACATGGCTACTGATATAAGATCACTAGTTTGTTGTCAAATGATGCACTCAATAATATTCCAGCTATATGTCGGCATCCCTAAGCTACAAGTCTGGACCTGGCCCCGTTCCACAAGTTAATCTCACTGCTACGATTGTCGTAAGTCGATGTTAAGGTATAGGAGTTAGGATCATCTTAGCAGAACGATTGTCGTAAGTCTATGTTAAGATATAGGAGTTATGATCATCTTAGCAGAACGATTGTCGTAAGTCTATGTTAAGGTATAGGAGTTAGGATCATCTTAGCAGAACGATTGTTGTTAGTCTATGTTAAGGTATAGGAGTTACGATCATCTTAGCAGAACGATTGTTGTTAGTCTATGTTAAGGTATAGGAGTTAGGATCATCTTAGCAGAACGATTGTTGTTAGTCTATGTTAAGGTATAGGAGTTACGATCATCTTAGCAGACTGATTGTCGTAAGTCTATGTTAAGGTATAGGAGTTAGGATCATCTTAGCAGAACGATTGTTGTTAGTCTATGTTAAGGTATAGGAGTTACGATCATCTTAGCAGAACGATTGTTGTTAGTCTATGTTAAGGTATAGGAGTTACGATCATCTTAGCAGAACGACTGTCGTAAGTCGATGTTAAGGTATAGGAGTTAGGATCATCTTAGCAGAACAATTGTCGTAAGTCTATGTTAAGGTATAGGAGTTATGATCATCTTAGCAGAACGATTGTCGTCAGTCGATGTTAAGGTATAGGAGTTATGATCATCTTAGCAGAACGATTGTCGTCAGTCGATGTTAAGGTATAGGAGTTATGATCATCTTAGCAGAACGATTGTCGTCAGTCTATGTTAAGGTATAGGAGTTAGGATCATCTTAGCAGAACGATTGTCATAAGGCTATGTTAAGGTATGGGAGTTAAGATCATCTTAGCAGAAAGATTGTCGTAAGTCTATGTTAAGGTATGGGAGTAACAGACATCTTAGCACAACGATTGTCGTAAGACTATGTTAAGGTATGGGAGTTAAGATCGTTTCAGCACTACTATTGTCGTAAGGCTATGTTAAGGTATGGGGGTTAAGATCGTTTCAGCACTACTATTGTCGTAAGGCTATGTTAAGGTATGGGAGTAACGGATATCTTAGCACAACGATTGTCGTAAGTCTATGTTAAGGTATGGGAGTTACGATCATCTTAGCAGAACGATTGTCGTAAGGCTATGTTAAGGTATGGGAGTTCAGATCATCTTAGCAGAACGATTGTCGTAAGTCTATGTTAAAGTATAGGAGTTATGATCATCTTAGCAGAATGATTGTTGTAAGTCTATGTTAAGGTATAGGAGTAACGATCATCTTAGCGCTACGATTGTCGTAAGTGTATGTTAACGTATGGGGGTTACGGACGTCTCAGCACTATGATTGTCGTAAGTCTATTTCAGGTCCTGGTGACCAATTTTAACCTGGGTCCCTACAGACTCCCAGCCCATGGAGTGCTGGGGGACAGTTCTAAGGCGGGTCCCAACACAGTGACAAGCAACAGAGGGCTAGGGACCTGTTCTATGTTGGGTCTCCACAGGGACACAAGCCACAGACAGCTAGGGACCTATTCAAAGACACAGAGTGACAAGCCACAGACGGCTAGGGACCTATTCAAAGACACAGAGTGACAAGCCACAGACAGCTAGGGACCTATTCAAAGACACAGAGTGACAAGCCACAGACAGCTAGGGACCTATTCAAAGACACAGAGTGACAAGCCACAGACAGCTAGGGACCTATTCAAAGACACAGAGTGACAAGCCACAGACGGCTAGGGACCTGTTCTAAGACACAGAGTGACAAGCCACAGACAGCTAGGGACCTATTCTAAGACACAGAGTGACAAGCCACAGACGGCTAGGGACCTATTCTAAGACACAGAGTGACAAGCCACAGACAGCTAGGGACCTATTCTAAGACACAGAGTGACAAGCCACAGACAGCTAGGGACCTATTCAAAGACACAGAGTGACAAGCCACAGACAGCTAGGGACCTATTCAAAGACACAGTATGACAAGCCACAGACAGCTAGGGACCTATTCTAAGACACAGAGTGACAAGCCACAGACAGCTAGGGACCTATTCAAAGACACAGAGTGACAAGCCACAGACGGCTAGGGACCTATTCAAAGACACAGAGTGACCAGCAACAGACAGCTAGGGATCTATTCTAAGACACATGGTGACAAGCAACAGACAGCTAGGGACCTATTCTAAGACACACAGTGACCAGCAACAGACAGCTAGGGACCTATTCTATGTTGGGTCAGGGCTGACCATACTTACGTGCCAGGATGTCAGGTGGGAGAAGAAGAAATAGAGTGCAGAGCCCCACGTAACCATCGACAGCAGGATTATGAATATGGCCACCATCTTGATCTTCTCTCCGGTCAGAAGCTGAACAAATACAAAAAACATTCAACAGCTTGTGTTCTGCTTGACTGTTGCTGCAATGGTATAACTCATTGCCATTTGCAGAATCTCAAGGTCTGTCATTACCTAAAGTCAGTGAGTGATTTGGGTTTAACACCGCTTTTAACAGTATTTCCAGTTATATCACAGCGTGTCAGCTTAATGTGGGAGGAAAGCCCGAAGTGATGCAGGTCTCAGACGTTTACCACTACAGTGAAACCCCTTGTTCAGGTATAGGGCTGACAAACCTAGAAACATAATCAGGGCGAACCAGGATTCGAACCCACAATCATAGGTTCCTGGCGTGCCCAAGGGACACAACTCTGCACAGCAAATCGCGGCGCCTTGAACGACTGGGCCACCCGTGCCCCCTATTACACACAGGGCAGCTCACTCAGACATTATGCACCTGTGCTGTTTCGAAACGTAGGCTTAAAAAAATAAAAGAATTGGTTCTCAGGCAATGGCTTTTGAAAATATAGTGTGGGCAGGCAGTGTTTTTTTAATGTTTTTGTTGTTGTTTTTTCGTTGTTGTTCAAACTAGTTTGTAACCAAATAAATAGATGTGTAACCAAATAAACAGTTGTGTACAATCAACGATGGAAAGGGCCTCCTGACATAAATGTATTCCTTGATGAGTAAAATACTGGAATATAGTATTTGACTACTGTTGGACCACCAGTGTGTGCATAATACAATGAGCTTTGATCTTATTTCACAATGCAAAGACATTATCGTCAGCACACAACACTGGAAGAGGCATGTCAACAAATCCGTACTGAAGTACACAAGTTAGTCCTATTAGTACACTATCTACCATTGGACTTGGAATATTTAAGGAGTTGTTTTTTTTCTTTTAAAAAAATTAAAATAATAATGAAACGTGCGGTGGACTTTAAGAATGACATTACATTATAAAGAGATCTTTACCCTTGCATGTTTCCATATCGAAAACATCAAATAATATAAACAAATATTGTGTACTTTGCTTGTCAAAGTCTCATATTATACAATTTGTTTTCCAAATATATGATATTTTTGATACACAAAAACCCACTTGGCTAATAATCTTTGTATATTTGTTCTTGACAAGGTGTGAACCTTTCTTCCTGTTGGTCCCGATCAGTGTCGATAGCCTCCAGACACTCTTACATACCTTCATGTGTGCGAGATACCATGCCGCAGTTTAACATGGATACCCCACCCAGACACAGTATACTGACTCCAAGCCGACCAGTCCTTGTTCTATCCCTGTATAGTGCTAGCCCACTAAGATACCATGCCGCAGTTTAACATGGATACCCCAACCAGACACAGTACACTGACTCCCAGCCGACCAGTCCTTGTTCTATCCCTGTATAGTGCAGGTCCACTGAGATACCATGCCGCAGTTTAACATGGATACCCCACTCAGACACAGTATACTGACTCTGAGCTGACCAGTCCTTGTTCTATCCCCGTATAGTACAGGCCCACTGACACACCATGCCGCAGTTTAACATGGATACCCTATTCAGACACAGTATACTGACTCCGAGCCGATACTGCCTTGTTCTATCCCCTTAATGCGAAGCGCCAGGCAGGGTAACAACAAGTACCATCTCTTACGACAGGGTGTGGAACCCAGACATTTCGCTTGCCCTCGGAGGCTGTCCTACCTTCATGAGGATGTAGAAGAGGCAGTACAGGAGGAGGTTGCCGATGAAGATGGCAAGGAGGTAGCTTGCGAAGTCTGCCGGCTGCTTGATAGCTCCGTAGATTGCACTGAAACAAGCAAAAAGTCTTACCAGGGTTTGAAATTCTTTGTATTAGAGTGTCAATGACATGGATTAAAACAACTGAAAAGAGTATTGTTAATCCCAAAGAAGTGAAATCTGGCAAATGTGGTCATCCACATGTCCATCTCTGTGTTCAACCTTGTGTACAAATACAGTTAACCACGTTCATAATGAACACACTTATAATGAACTGACAGATATAACAAACCTATTTTTGGGCCATTTGCTCTTTATATGCTATATATATGTTTATAACAAACTATGGTTATAACGTACTAAAATTAGTGGCCCCTTTGAGTTTGTTATAACCGTAGTTTACTGTACATGTTCATCTGTGTTCATCTATGAGCTCACATACAGATTGTCAATTTCCTGGGATTTCTTTTCTTTAAATTATCTAACTCTGGAGCATGTATACAAAATTACATTAAAATAATTTCATACTTTGAAGTTTACACTGTTCCTTTCATGCTGAATAGCTGAATGGATAGTCACGTGATCTGATATTTGGAGTTCACCAACCTATGAACAATTTTTTGTGAAATTGATCGTGTGAACTTTTGCCGGAACTACTTTCCGGGTTTCCCCGAATTCTCAATCAGTGTTTACAATCAACCAGTTTTTCTACGTTCTTCCATTAAAGTAACCACAAGTTCTTACACACACTCCGGTGCAGTGGTGACTCAGCATAACGTCACTGCCACAGGCTAATTTACATATCACGTGACCGGACTTTTCTCTTGTTTGTAAACCAACGCGCTTTTTCAGAAATCAGTATAGAATGGACTAATGCAAGTATTTGGGGGCACTTTACATATGTTTTGCATTATTATATAAATATGCAACAACAGCTGCGACAGTTAGTTGCATGACAAAATATATTTATACATCAAAGTGACCGTATCGCTAGCTCTCCTTTGGACTTCGATGACAGCACTTGGAGCCGTACAAACAATGTAAAAAAAGGATAATTACGCAGAAACAAGTAGATTTTCACGTATTAGGATACTTTCTTAATGAACCGTAACCGTTCTTTGACATTTGTTCATGAAAATGTGTAGACTTGTCAAACATGAAACGGATGAAAAGCATATGCAATATCTTGAATGAACTGTGAAAGATGTGACGAATCGTCACATGGCGCTGGCCTGTGGCAGAGGTACTATGCTGGCTGGCTGCCGGCCGCAAGGAACTCTGGGTAGGAGAGTGGTACTTACAATGACCAGTTGATGGCGTTGCCAATCAGCAAGAGTGTGAAACGATCCTGGAAAGAAGACACGGGAAATCAATCTCAAGAAATTTTTCAATCCAGGTCATGTAAAAGTCTGAGAGGGAATGAGTGGATCTACATTAGCGACTAAATTTTCGAAAATAAAAGTCTTATAAAATATAAACAAAAAGAAAATATGTATGAAACAGGAATTTATTTTTTAAAATATTCAGATAAAAATTAGTCTGGAAAACTTCTTGTGATTTCGATATACATGTATATATGAACTAGGGCACTTATTACGTTGAATACGGTAAACCTTAGGGTGTCTATAGGTCTGGAAATCAATATTGCAATAACTATTGATATTGAAAGAAACTATTACGATAACTTTTGATATTGCAAGCAACTATTACGATAAATATCGATAGTTTTCAGTGAATCATTTTAGATGGATTTTTTAGTTGAATTAAACCTTGGAACTGAAGTTTCCTTTGAATGTGATAACCATAAGAACAAATAAAAAGTAAAGCTTGAGATATGACTGATTTGTTTTTTCTTAACCCAAATAATTTAAGAAAAAGAAACTTCCACATTACCATGTGTAAATTACTACCACTCATGATCAAAAGAAAAACAAATTTGAACAGCATTGCATGTATTTTATTGCTATGGTAAATACAATCGAAACTATCGATATTCCTAACTGAAATCAATACTACTGATCAGAAACTGAATTAACAATCGATTTACCGTATTCGACGTAATAAGCGCCCAGCTCTAATAAGCGCCCACGGCAATATTTGTTAATATATTGGCTAGTGAACAATCCCAATTAGCACCCCTTCCGATTGATCAATGTACACAAGACTTATTTATTCGTGTATAATACGCACTCGTGTGTGATATGCACCCTTAATAATGGGCAATTAAATTCTGGAAAAATATATAGATCCTTACTTATAACTCTTCTAAATGCCTCTCGAAAAAATTGAATGTGTAGAGCTAGGTTACGTGTAGATTTGGTTTCAAATTCAATTTAGCCGAGTTCCTGTGTGAGAGACTCACCCTGTACGTTGGCCGCGCACATTTCAGGCAATCAGTCACAAACACGTACCACAGCCGCTTGAATATGTACCGATCTGTAACACAGGAAAAGTACATTAATTTTGTAACGACTACCCACAATGATGTCCTCAGCAGACTCAACATCAGTTATATGCAGGGAAGAGCCTCCAAGGAATTACGGATAACACAATTCCATTCTTCCGAGTTGTCAGTCGGTTATTCTTTACTAGTCTTTTTTTCTCTCAGAAAATGTAGAAAATATTGGTTTCCCAATCTCAAGAGGAGATATAAGTTGTTTTACTCTGTTGTTAGTGAGTGAGTGACTGGGTGAGTGAGTGAGTGAGTGAGTGAGTGAGTGAGTGAGTGGGTGAGTGGGTGGGTGGGTGGGTGAGTGAGTGAGTGAGTGAGTGAGTGAGTGAGTGAGCGAGCGAGCGAGCGAGTCGGGTTTAATGACGCTTTTAACACTATTTCAGTTATATCGCGGCGTGTCAGCTTAATGTGGGAGGAAAGCCCGAAGTGATGCAGGTCTCAGACGTTTACCACTTCGGTGAAACCCACGAGCACGGGTATGGTGCTGACAAACCTAGAAACATAATCAGGGCGAACCCGGATTCGCTCTGTTGGTGGAATGATGGGATTGTGTTATCTTCAATCATCTACACCAATGACGTCATATTTTTTTGGACCGGTTCACAAACAATGAAGACAACGGAACAATTGTCGTAATGGTCAGTGAGAAATACTTGCCTTGATTAGTTACAGCTTGCCGTCATATAGCTGTATTATTGTAGTGGGTGGGTGGGTGGGTGACGTCATACAGCTGTATTATTGTAGAGTGTGGGTGGGTGGGTGACGTCATATAGCTGTATTATTGTAGAGTGTGGGTGGGTGGGTGGGTGACGTCATACAGCTGTATTATTGTAGTGGGTGGGTGGGTGGGTGACGTCATACAGCTGTATTATTGTAGAGTATGGGTGGGTGCGTGGGTGACGTCATACAGCTGTATTATTGTAGAGTGTGGGTGGGTGGGTGGGTGACGTCATATAGCTGTATTATTGTAGTGGGTGGGTGGGTGGGTGACGTCATACAGCTGTATTATTGTAGAGTGTGGGTGGGTGGGTGACGTCATATAGCTGTATTATTGTAGTGGGTGGGTGGGTGGGTGACGTCATACAGCTGTATTATTGTAGAGTGTGGGTGGGTGGGTGACGTCATATAGCTGTATTATTGTAGAGTGTGGGTGGGTGGGTGGGTGACGTCATACAGCTGTATTATTGTAGTGGGTGGGTGGGTGGGTGACGTCATACAGCTGTATTATTGTAGAGTATGGGTGGGTGCGTGGGTGACGTCATACAGCTGTATTATTGTAGAGTGTGGGTGGGTGGGTGGGTGACGTCATACAGCTGTATTATTGTAGAGTGTGGGTGGGTGGGTGGGTGACGTCATATAGCTGTATTAATGTAGAGTGTGGGTGGGTGGGTGGGTGGGTGACGTCATATAGCCGTATTATTGTAGAGTGTGGGTGGGTGACGTCATACAGCTGTATTATTGTAGAGTGTGGGTGGGTGGGTGACGTCATATAGCTGTATTATTGTAGAGTGTGGGTGGGTGGGTGGGTGGGTGACGTCATACAGCTGTATTATTGTAGAGTGATGGTTGGTGGGTGACGTCATACAGCTGTATTATTGTAGAGTGTGGGTGGGTGACGTCATACAGCTGTATTATTGTAGAGTGTGGGTGGGTGGGTGACGTCATATAGCTGTATTATTGTAGAGTGATGGTTGGTGGGTGACGTCATACAGCTGTATTATTGTAGAGTGTGGGTGGGTGACGTCATACAGCTGTATTATTGTAGAGTGTGGGTGGGTGGGTGACGTCATATAGCTGTATTATTGTAGAGTGTGGGTGGGTGGGTGGGTGGGTGACGTCATACAGCTGTATTATTGTAGAGTGTGGGTGGGTGGGTGACGTCATATAGCTGTATTATTGTAGAGTGTGGGTGGGTGGGTGGGTGGGTGGGTGACGTCATACAGCTGTATTATTGTAGAGTGTGGGTGGGTGGGTGACGTCATATAGCTGTATTATTGTAGAGTGTGGGTGGGTGGGTGATGTCATATAGCTGTATTATTGTAGAGTATGGGTGGGTGGGTGATGTCATATAGCTGTATTATTGTAGAGTGTGGGTGGGTGGGTGACGTCATATAGCTGTATTATTGTAGAGTATGGGTGGGTGGGTGATGTCATATAGCTGTATTATTGTAGAGTGTGGGTGGGTGACGTCATACAGCTGTATTAATGTAGAGTGTGGGTGGGTGGGTGACGTCATATAGCTGTATTATTGTAGAGTGTGGGTGGGTGGGTGACGTCATACAGCTGTATTATTGTAGAGTGTGGGTGGGTGGGTGGGTGGGTGACGTCATATAGCTGTATTATTGTAGAGTGTGGGTGGGTGGGTGACGTCATATAGCTGTATTATTGTAGAGTGTGGGTGGGTGGGTGACGTCATATAGCTGTATTATTGTAGAGCGTGGGTGGGTGGGTGACGTCCTACAGCTGTATTATTGTAGAGTGATGGTTGGTGGGTGACGTCATACAGCTGTATTATTGTAGAGTGTGGGTTGGTGACGTCATATAGCTGTATTATTGTAGAGTATGGGTGGGTGGGTGACGTCATATAGCTGTATTATTGTAGAGTGTGGGTGGGTGGGTGACGTCATATAGCTGTATTATTGTAGAGTGTGGGTGGGTGGGTGACGTCATATAGCTGTATTATTGTAGAGTGTGGGTGGGTGGGTGGGTGACGTCATACAGCTGTATTATTGTAGAGTGTGGGTGGGTGGGTGACGTCATATAGCTGTATTATTGTAGAGCGTGGGTGGGTGGGTGACGTCATATAGCTGTATTATTGTAGAGTGTGGGTGGGTGGGTGACGTCATATAGCTGTATTATTGTAGAGTGTGGGTGGGTGGGTGACGACATATAGCTGTATTATTGTAGAGTGTGGGTGGGTGGGTGACGTCATATAGCTGTATTATTGTAGAGTGTGGGTGGGTGGGTGACGTCATATAGCTGTATTATTGTAGAGTGTGGGTGGGTGGGTGACGTCATATAGCTGTATTATTGTAGAGTGTGGGTGGGTGGGTGACGTCATATAGCTGTATTATTGTAGAGTGTGGGTGGGTGGGTGACGTCATATAGCTGTATTATTGTAGAGTGTGGGTGGGTGGGTGACGTCATATAGCTGTATTATTGTAGAGCGTGGGTGGGTGGGTGACGTCCTACAGCTGTATTATTGTAGAGTGATGGTTGGTGGGTGACGTCATACAGCTGTATTATTGTAGAGTGTGGGTTGGTGACGTCATATAGCTGTATTATTGTAGAGTATGGGTGGGTGGGTGACGTCATATAGCTGTATTATTGTAGAGTGTGGGTGGGTGGGTGACGTCATATAGCTGTATTATTGTAGAGTGTGGGTGGGTGGGTGACGTCATATAGCTGTATTATTGTAGAGTGTGGGTGGGTGGGTGGGTGACGTCATACAGCTGTATTATTGTAGAGTATGGGTGGGTGGGTGACGTCATATAGCTGTATTATTGTAGAGTATGGGTGGGTGGGTGACGTCATATAGCTGTATTATTGTAGAGTATGGGTGGGTGGGTGACGTCATATAGCTGTATTATTGTAGAGTATGGGTGGGTGGGTGACGTCATATAGCTGTATTATTGTAGAGTATGGGTGGGTGGGTGACGTCATATAGCTGTATTATTGTAGAGTATGGGTGGGTGGGTGACGTCATATAGCTGTATTATTGTAGAGTGTGGGTGGGTGGGTGACGTCATATAGCTGTATTATTGTAGAGTGTGGGTGGGTGGGTGGGTGACGTCATACAGCTGTATTATTGTAGAGTGTGGGTGGGTGGGTGACGTCATATAGCTGTATTATTGTAGAGTGTGGGTGGGTGGGTGACGTCATACAGCTGTATTATTGTAGAGTGTGGGTGGGTGGGTGACGTCATATAGCTGTATTATTGTAGAGTGTGGGTGGGTGGGTGACGTCATATAGCTGTATTATTGTAGTGGGTGGGTGGGTGGGTGACGTCATATAGCTGTATTATTGTAGAGTGTGGGTGGGTGGGTGACGTCATATAGCTGTATTATTGTAGAGTATGGGTGGGTGGGTGACGTCATATAGCTGTATTATTGTAGAGTGTGGGTGGGTGGGTGACGTCATACAGCTGTATTATTGTAGAGTGTGGGTGGGTGGGTGACGTCATATAGCTGTATTATTGTAGAGTGTGGGTGGGTGGGTGACGTCATATAGCTGTATTATTGTAGAGTGTGGGTGGGTGGGTGACGTCATATAGCTGTATTATTGTAGAGTGTGGGTGGGTGGGTGACGTCATATAGCTGTATTATTGTAGAGTGTGGGTGGGTGGGTGACGTCATATAGCTGTATTATTGTAGAGTGTGGGTGGGTGGGTGACGTCATATAGCTGTATTATTGTAGAGTGTGGGTGGGTGGGTGACGTCATATAGCTGTATTATTGTAGAGTGTGGGTGGGTGGGTGGGTGACGTCATATAGCTGTATTATTGTAGAGTGTGGGTGGGTGGGTGACGTCATATAGCTGTATTATTGTAGAGTGTGGGTGGGTGGGTGACGTCATACAGCTGTATTATTGTAGAGTGTGGGTGGGTGGGTGGGTGGGTGACGTCATATAGCTGTATTATTGTAGAGTGTTGCGTAAACAACAAACAAACCAACAAAAGCTCACCTATCTGCCACCGGCCCATGTAGTAGATCTGTGCACTGAGAAGTAGGCTGACCAGCATATGGACGATGGCATACATGATCCAAAACAGACGAGTTGCATATACCTGTAAGTAAACAGACGTGTTGCATATACCTGTAAGTAAACAGACGTGTTGCATATACCTGTAAGTAAACAGACGTGTTGCATATACCTGTAAGTAAACAGACGTGTTGCATATACCTGTAAGTAAACAGACCAGTTGCATATACCTGTAAGTAAACAGACGAGTTGCATATACCTGTAAGTAAACAGACGTGTTGCATATACCTGTAAGTAAACAGACGTGTTGCATATACCTGTAAGTAAACAGACCAGTTGCATATACCTGTAAGTAAACAGACGTGTTGCATATACCTGTAAGTAAACAGACGTGTTGCATATACCTGTAAGTAAACAGACGTGTTGCATATACCTGTAAGTAAACAGACCAGTTGCATATACCTGTAAGTAAACAGACCAGTTGCATATAATACAAAATACAAATACTTCAAAACAAATTGATTCATTTAACCATTTGTCAAAATGTAAAATGTTTAAAATATTGTTTGAATTTTTTTTACTTTCTTCCATATCACCCAAACACCTCCAAAAATTATTTGGCAAGATTTAATTTATAAAATGCTGAATTCCAATAACGACTGTTTGTGTCAGTAACCATGTGAGTCAAAATCAAAAACTGGTTTTAAACGTGTATAAGTTGCGTAGGTTTACTGACACAAACAGTCGTTATTGGTATATTATTGCATCCCGAAAGTGCATGTCTGTAAGTTTACACAAGTGATTTCTAAATTCATTTCAATAAGCTATTTCAGCTGTACGTAAGTTTATCAGAAAAATGCAGGTAACATCTGGTATTTGGCCTCATGACCTGTGAAGATCCGAGTTAGAATTGGTCTTCATCAACCCACTGAACTTCATCATCATCGTATCCCATTTGTGTAGATCGATGCTCATGATGTCAATCACTGGATTATCTGGTCCAGATTGGAATATGGCTGAGTGCGACTTTAAAACAACAAACTAAACATGACCTCCTTTGTAGATTTATCGGATTAGAATTATGAATCTGAGTTCATTGGATTAACTGTACATATCAATCTCATTAAAATCAGATCTTAGTTCTCGCTACCGCTAAACAAAGATCTTAGGACATCCCATTACGGGTCACGTCAGAACGACCTTTCATCCGACTAATCAGAGAGTCGCTTACCAGATTAAATTGAAAGTCAGAATGTGATTTCTAATCATGGAACTTCAACAGGGGGTATTCCGAACGATGGTTACGGGTTTAACGACTGAGTCCATACAATCTAGACCATCTATTAGCCACTCCAGAGTTTTCTTTTGTTCAGATTTCAAATTTGTAATCGTGAATTTGCCCAAATATGTTTCGAATCGTAGTCGCCAATTTGAAAATAGTGCCGTAAAGCACGAGAAAGCTGCCTTCTGATTGGTCATTCTATTGGTCGGTCAAAGTTCGTGCAAGGTCGGTCTGACGTGCCCCGTAATGTGATGTCCTCAGATCCCTGTTTAGCGGTAGCGAGATCTAAGATCTGATCATAATGAGATTGTGTACAGACTGGAATCCTTTATCAGATTATAATTATGAAACTGAGTTCATCGGATTAACTGTACATATTAAACAACCTTACCACTCCGATTACGGCCATGAAGATAACGAGTGCCATGCACAGATACGCCTGGTACGCCTTGGCGTTGATGTCAGGATGGCGGGACTGGTAGATCTTCAGCATACACAAACACGCTATGATGTACATGAACGACGTGTCTGAAACACAGGAATATTTCAGGACTCATAGGACTTTACTGACAGAAATTCTACATCCTAAGTGAGTGGGTTGCTGCTGTAGAAACTAACAGGTTTCATCCACTCTCCTTATGATAATAACATGATGAAAACCCTTAAAAAGGGCAAATTTCTACGAGTCCTTATGATATCGTTACTATTTAGCAGTTTGGCAAGGACTACAGGACTAGTGCCAATTTCTAACGCCGGGGTTGGGTTTAGTGCCCCTTTTAACAGTATTCCAGTTATATCACGGCGTGTCAGCTTATTGTGGGAGGAAAACCCGAAGTGATGCAGGTCTCAGACGTTTACCACTTTGGTGAAACCCACAAGCACAGGTATGGTGCTGACAAACCTAGAAACATAATCGGGGCGAACTGGGATTCGAACCCACAATCATAGGTTTCTGGCGTGCCCAAGAGACGCAACTCTGCACAGCGAATTGTGGCGCCTTAGACGACTGGGCCACCCGTGCCCCCAGGCACACTTGAAGCATCGGTTTCTATGGATACTGTCGGTCCTCACCAAACTGGAAGTTGGAGTAGTTGGGGCACACGTGGTAGCAGGCGCTCATCACGCCCTCCATCACCAGGGCAACACCCATCGCATAGAACAGGCCGAAGTGCTGTGGGATGCCAAACCTCTGAAACAACAAACAACACACTCAGGGAAGAGTTTTTTTTATCAGAGTGAGTGAGTGAGTGAGTGAGTGAGTGAGTTTTCTTATCGGGTGAGTTTTTTTAATCAGAGTGAGTGAGTGAGTGAGTGAGTGAGTGAGTGAGTAAGTGAGTGAGTGAGTAAGTGAGTGAGTGAGTGAGTTTTCTTATCGGGGTGAGTTTTTTTATCAGAGTGAGTGAGTGAGTGCGTGAGTGCGTGAGTTCTTATCGGGTGAGTTTTTTTTAATCAGAGTGAGTGAGTGAGTGCGTGAGTGCGTGAGTTCTTATCGGGTGAGTTTTTTTTAATCAGAGTGAGTGAGTGAGTGAGTTTTCTTATCAGGGTGAGTTTTTTATCAGTGAGTGTGTTTTCTTATCGGGTGAGTTTTTTTTAATCAGATTGAGTGAGTGAGTTTTCTTATCGGGTGAGTTTTTTTTATCAGAGTGAGTGAGTGAGTGAGTTTTCTTATCAGGGTGAGTTTTTTATCAGTGAGTGTGTTTTCTTATCGGGTGAGTTTTTTTAATCAGAGTGAGTGAATGAGTGAGTGAGTGAGTTTTCTTATCGGGTGAGTTTTTTTATCAGAGTGAGTGAGTGAGTGAGTGAGTTTTCTTATCGGGTGAGTTTTTTTTATCAGAGTGAGTGAGTGAGTGAGTGAGTGAGTGAGTGAGTGAGTGAGTGAGTGAGTGAGTGAGTGAGTTTTCTTATCGGATGAGTTTTTTTTATCAGAGTGAGTGAGTGAGTGAGTTTTCTTATCGTGGTGATTTTTTTATCAGAGTGAGTGAGTGAGTGAGTGAGTGAGTGAGTGAGTGAGTGAGTGAGTGATCTGGTTGAGTGAGTGAGTGAGTGAGTGAGTGTTGGAAGAGAGGGGAGGTATGGAGGGAGGAAACCCTGCTTCAAACCTTAAACTGTAAGTCATTAATATGTACATGATCATTGTTTCTCTTCTCACTGAGCATACCATAAGAAAATATCTTTCTATTCACTGTACTTCATACCTGTTCCACATCTCCGTGCTCTCTCACCAGCCTCTTGTGTGAAGAATCTCTGAAACATCGAGATAGACATCTTAAAGTCTTGAGGTGAGAGCTGAAAGGACATTTTCACTTTGCGATCAAATAATTTCACTTACATAGCCACATGCTTGCAATTGCGTGTTTCCTGACTTGGACTGGTCTGGACTAATGCCAGTGTCATAGTGCTAGCCCACTGAGATACCATACCGCAGAATACCCTACTCAGACACAGTATACTGACTCCGAGCCGACCAGTCCTCGTTCTATCCCTGTATAGTGCTAGCCCACTGAGATACCATGCCGCAGTTTAACATGAATACCCCACTCAGACACAGTATACTGACTCCGAGCCAGCCAGTCCTTGTTCTATCCCTGTATAGTGCTAGCCTGCTGAGATACCATGCCGCAGTTCAACATGAATACCCCACTCAGACACAGTATACTGACTCCGAGCTGACCAGTCCTCGTTCTATCCCTGTATAGTGCTAGCCCACTGAGATACCATGCCGCAGTTTAACATGAATACCCCACTCAGACACAGTATACTGACTCCGAGCCAGCCAGTCCTTGTTCTATCCCTGTATAGTGCTAGCCTGCTGAGATACCATGCCGCAGTTCAACATGAATACCCCACTCAGACACAGTATACTGACTCCGAGCCGACCAGTCTTTGTTCTATCCCTGTATAGTGCTAGCCCACTGAGATACCATGCCGCAGTTCAACATGGATACCCCACTCAGACACAGTACACTGACTCCGAGCTGACCAGTCCTTGTTCTATCCCTGTATAGTGCAGGTCCACTGAGATACCATGCCGCAGTTCAACATGAATACCCCACTCAGACACAGTACACTGACTCCGAGCTGACCAGTCCTTGTTCTATCCCTGTATAGTGCTAGTCCACTGAGATACCATGCCACAGTTCAACAGGAATACCCCACTCAGACACAGTATACTGACTCCAAGCCAAGTAGTCCTCGTTCTATCCCCGTATAGTGCTGACCCACTGGATACCATGCCGCAGTTTAACATGAATACCCTACTCAGACACAGTACACTGACTCCGAGCTGACCAGTCCTTGTTCTATCCCTGTATAGTGCTAGCCCGCTGAGATACCATGCCGCAGTTTAACATGAATACCCCACTCAGACACAGTATACTGACTCCGAGCCGACCAGTCCTTGTTTTAGCCCCGTATAGTGTTAGCTCACTGAGATACCATGCCGCAGTTCAACATGAATACCCCACTCAGACACAGTATACTGACTCCGAGCCGACCAGTCCTTGTTTTAGCCCCTTATAGTGCTAGCCCGCTGAGATACCATGCCGCAGTTCAACATGAATACCCCACTCAGACACAGTATACTGACTCCGAGCTGACCACTCCTTGTTCTATCCCTGTATAGTGCTAGCCCACTGAGATACCATGCCGCAGTTCAACAGGAATACCCCACTCAGACACAGTATACTGACTCCGAGCCGACCAGTCCTTGTTCTATCCCTGTATAGTGCCAGCCCACTGAGATACCATGCCGCAGTTTGACATGAAGACCCCACTCAGACACAGTATACTGACTCCGAGCTGACCAGTCCTTGTTCTATCCCTGTATAGTTCTAGCCCACTGAGATACCATGCCGCAGTTCAACATGAATACCCCACTCAGACACAGTATACTGACTCCGAGCCGACCAGTCCTTGTTCTATCCCTGTATAGTGCTAGCCCACTGAGATACCATGCCGCAGTTCAACATGAATACCCCACTCAGACACAGTATACTGACTCCGAGCTGACCAGTCCTTGTTCTATCCCCGTATAGTGCTAGTCAACTGAGATACCATGCCGCAGTTCAACATGAATACCCCACTCAGACACAGTATACTGACTCCGAGCTGACCAGTCCTTGTTCTATCCCCGTATAGTGCTAGTCAAATGAGATACCATGCCACAGTTCAACATGAATACCCCACTCAGACACAGTATACTGACTCCGAGCTGACCAGTCCTTGTTCTATCCCCGTATAGTGCTAGTCAACTGAGATACCATGCCACAGTTCAACATGAATACCCCACTCAGACACAGTATACTGACTCCGAGCTGACCAGTCCTTGTTCTATCCCCGTATAGTGCTAGTCAACTGAGATACCATGACACAGTTCAACAGGAATACCCCATTCAGACACAGTATACTGACTCCGAGCCGACCAGTCCTTGTTTTATCCCCTATAGTACAGGCCCACTGAGATACCATGCCGCAGTTCAACATGAATACCCCATTCAGACACAGTATACTGACTCCGTGCCGACCAGTCCTTGTTCTATCCCTGTATAGTGCTAGCCCACTGAGATACCACGCCGCAGTTCAACATGAATACCCCACTCAGACACAGTATACTGACTCCAAGCCGACCAGTCCTTGTTCTATCCCCGTATAGTGCTAGTCCACTGAGATACCATGCCACAGTTCAACATGGATACCCCACTCAGACACAGTATACTGACTCCGAGCTGACCAGTCCTTGTTTTAGCCCCTTAATGTCGAGCGCCAGACAGGGTAACAACAAGTACCATCGTTTATATAGCGACGTGCATGCACGTGCGTGTGTGTGGCTGCTTGTACTAGTCCGGACTGATGCCGATTTATAGTGCTAGCTCACTGAGATACCATGCCGCAGTTTAACATGAATACCCCACTCAGACACAGTATACTGACTCCGAGTCGACCAGTCCTTGTTTTAGCCCCTTAATGCCGAGCGCCAGACAGGGTAACAACAAGTACCATCGTTTATATAGCGACGTGCATGCACGTGCGTGTTTGTGGCTGCTTGTACTAGTCCGGACTGATGCCGATTTATAGTGCTAGCTCACTGAGATACCATGCCGCAGTTTAACATGAATACCCCACTCAGACACAGTATACTGACTCCGAGCCGACCAGTCCTCGTTCTATCCCTGTATAGTGCTAGCTCACTGAGATACCATGCCGCAGTTCAACAGGAATACCCCACTCAGACACAGTATACTGACTCCGAGCCGACCAGTCCTTGTTTTAGCCCCTTAATGCCGAGCGCCAGTCAACAAGGCATGCAACAAACACATATCTTGTTGTGAATGGAGGGTGCTATCGGCAGGGCAGGGCTAAAGTACTCACGCAGGGCTAAAGTACTCACGCAGGGCTTAAGTACTCACGGAAATGAAAAAAAACTGTTTTTTCGATCTCAGATTTTAAATAAATGTAGTTAATATACAAAATATATAAATATTCAAACAACTCAATTACCGTATTCGACGTAATAAGCGCCCCGCTCTAATAAGCGCCCACGGCGATATTTGCTAATATATTGGCAAGTGAACAATCCCAATTAGCACCCCTTCCGATTGATCAATGTACACAAGACTTATTTATTCGTGTATAATACGCACTCGTGTGTTATATGCACCCTTAATTATGGGCAATTAAACAGTATATAAAAAGTTCAGGCCGTCAGCATAAACCACGAAATTTATCTTTCCACTCTGTTTTTTCCCACCAAAATAATATTCTAATAAGAGCGCCCTATTTCTAATTTTGAGAGCGCCCTGGGCGCTTATTACGTCGAATACGGTAGTACTATTTGGGCCTTGGCACAAATACAGCGTATCAAAGGTTTTTATGTCTTTTTACACGTAAAAGTGTGTAAAAATATGAACAAAACAGACTATCGTGAAACTGAGCATAACCAGGTGTTAGTAGATCAAGGTGAATGTCCATGACCTATGACACCTTGACGACAGGTGAAAACTGGTGCTTGAAACCCACGTGCATGTGATTTGTCAGTGGTTAGTGATTTGTGAGTGGCATTGTGGGATAGTGAATCACTGTCAAAATATCAGAACGTAAAAGTAACATATTACCTTCTCAAACAACAACTTACATGCCATTATTATTATGTACATAAACATAGCTGTTACTTTTATTGTTGTTTTGATAACTTTTTCCAGGCTTATTTGCACAATTCCTATAGCCTGTTTCTGCCATGTCAGTTTGGAATTAGTTTTATTTTTGAATGTTGAAAGTGCCTACAAATTACCTCCTGTAAAGTACATTTTGTATTGAGCACTGAGATAAAACTAGCAAATCCAGACTAGTACTTTTCCAGTTGTTTTGTTATTACGTATTTACATCTACGTAATGCTTTGTGTCGATTATTAAATCCAGCAAAATAGGTTTTTTTCATTTCCATGAGTACTTTTTTTAGTTATCAGTGATCCATTCACAAAATATTCACCGTTATTTTGCTTTTCATGTCGAATGAAATGTGATTGATATTATGAGCAGAGCTCCAGATAAGCTTTTGGTGTTGTGGGTATTTTACCCATGCATTTTAAAATCACTGGGTATCAGTAATTCTATCTGCGTATTCAAATTTCTGTTACCCACTAGTTTTTACACATGTGGGTATTTAAGTTAAATATTTAAAAACACTATTCATCTAGTCCCTGCAAACTGGTATGGTGTGGGTTTGAGAGCTTTATAGGACTCAAAAATACCACGATACTTCCACAAGAAAGTGTGATGGCAAATGATCATGATGTGACTGTCATCGGGGAGTTTGGCAAGGTTGACGGAATGCACGTTTATAATTTCAAAATAAGTTGCTGATTTGCTAATCGAATACGCAGGGTTACTTCACAATATTTTGATGATACGCACAAAATCTGTTTTTGTAGCGTATCTGTAATGTTCGTTGCGTATTTGATACGCTTGGATTATTTTTTACTGCGTATTTCTGTATTTCTGATGCGTATTTCACGCAGATACGCAGCTTATCTGGAGCTCTGTTATGAGCACATCGATTTTGCGCTTATTCTCAAAGTGTAAGCCAGCATTTGCTGGCTTGTTTGTTTGTTGTTTAACCACATTTAGCAATATTCCAGCTACACGACAGTATGGAATGTTTCAGAGCATAATAAAGACTTGTTATTCTATTAGGCATTGACATTTTATATCATATTGGTATGAAGCAGTCTGGGTTTCGAACCACCGACCTTCCGCTGTCTGGACAGACACCCCATCTACTGCACCACAGATGTGAATGAATGATAAAATTTGGTCTTCTCACTTTGGTCTCCATAACGATCTGGGTAAAATAGGTCTTCAGCAACCCATGCTTGCCGTAAAAGGCGACAATGCCCGTCATAAGAGGTGTCTAACCGAATCGGGTGTTCAGGCTTGCTGACTTGGTTGATGCATGTCATCGTATCCCCATTGCGTGGATCAGTGCTCATTCATCTTCCCAAAGTAAGGGAGTTAACTGACTATAAAAGTCCAGTTTCCACCCTTGCCAAACTAGGCTGCAATTATGGAGACATAATTGTGTATCGAAATCAAAATCCGGTTCGTCAACTTGCCGTGCAGATTTCGGTCGATTGTAGGATTTGCAAAGCATGTGTGCCGTCAACTTAGTGTCAACAATATTTTCCAAATCCCTTCATGTTTTTAATCAAGGTGCTCACGTGATTTAAAGCACTTCGCGACATCAGACCCTTTTATTACAATATACAGTGAAGTCCCGTTAATCCGACATGTCGGATTAACGAGTATGTCGGTTCAACAAATTTAGGTAGTATCAACGTTTGTGATCGAAAATTGGACAACTACACGATAGATAACGAGATGAACAAGTAATAAAAAAAGGAAAAAGGAAATATTCATACTGTTGTGTTACATTGTTAGCAGAATATGTTTTCTAATCATGCAACCTCTTAAGTTTAACACAAAACTACTGTTACGGACTGTATGACTGATTCAAAATACTTTTTAAAGCATAGTCTGGAATGGAAGTCGCCAATTTGAAACTAGTGCTGCAATGCTGATGAAAGCTGCTTTCTTAGTGACTAATGTCGACTTCCTGTTAGTAATTTCATTGGTAGGTCAAAGTTCGCGAAAGGTCATTCTGACATGACCGGTAATGGGATGTGCGCAGTGGTAGCGAGAACTTGTATCCAATTTTATGAGATTGAGGTAATCTAGGCATGTGATTAATCCTGTTTTGTGTATTTAAAGCAGTAATTATTTATTGTTAAGCACGTTTATCTCTGCAGCTGTTGAAATATGCAGCTAGTCGCCGACTCGTCTCGCAACAAAACACAGGGCTATGTACTCGCAGATGACCGCGGAGTACTCTGATCACTGTGTCGGATTAACGAGACTGATTAATGAGTGATTTCAGCAATTCGTTGCACATTAGGTGTGTCGGAGTCGGAGTGCGAGACTGTCGGATTAACGGGTCTAAATAGCACCGATTTAATCGGTTCCAATCATTTGTGTCGGATAAAGCTGATTGTCGGATTAACGAGTGTCGGATAAACGAGACTTGACTGTAGATCTTGCTTATCAATCAGATCGTCATGACTGGGCGCCGCCATTTTCTTTGAAGCAAATGGAAGTGATATGAGAGGTGGAACCTGATTGGTCAATAGGAGAGGCATAGAAGGGACATAACCTTGAACAGTTTGACAATCAATTAACTCCCTTGCTTCAGGTAGATGATGCTCATGATGTCAATCACGGGACTGTCTGATCCAGACTCGATTATTTACAGACTGTATAGCTGGAATATTATGGCGTTAAACAACAAACAAATCAAATCTCACAAACAAATCTCACACAGGTAAATACTGTCTCATAAGATGGTCTGTTGCGCATATTCTTTTTGAAGAATTTCCAGGTCATAAAAAAACGATGGATGCGTTACCTGTGCCAGACTAGGAGGATGAAGAGTATCCCGAGCAGGACATAGCCGATGTTGCTGAAGACGTTGTTGAAGCAGCTGAGGACGCCGAGGGGGTGGGCGCAGTCAAAGTTGTAGTAGCACAGGTCTTCATTCCCAGTTGCAACCAGAACCTGCGACAACACAACATGACTTCACTAACCGGTGATTGATATTATGAGCACAAGTGTAAGCCAGCAGTTGTTTAACCACGTTTATCATCCGAAACTTGCTCCCACAGGAGATATGGTTGATATCTATACTGTAGATATTGCTGCAATGAAATTGCATCACAATGCTTTGCAGACCATTGTGACGTCATTGGTCAAATGACATCACTAACAGCTTTGCTACTGAAGCTGTTAGCAGTACTTTTTACACTTAAGACACTGCTTATTACTTTCTATTTCTTTTGGATGATTCATTGATAAAAGTGGAAAAAAATCCTCGGCAAGCCTCGGAGTTTTCCCACTTTTATCAACTCGTGTTGATATATTTGATATCAAAAGACACTCGGGTGAGATTCTCTATTTATCATCCGAAACTGGCTGCCACAGGAGATATAGCTTTGGTGAGATCAAGCGATGTATTACTTGCCCGTGAAGAGTTCACCCGTTTAATAAACATGCAGCTGTATTATACATTGTGTGATACCAAAGCGTGTGCTTATGTACTGCGGGAACAAGTTCCACTGACAAACATTGAGAGCTCTCAACATCACTTGGCTTATTCAGCGACATTGCGTGAGGAGATGATAGACCACTGAGAGGAGCTTATGCACACTCAATGACCCCAGCAACCCTGTTGCTAGGCTGAGCACATGGCATTGTTTCGCCGATGGATCTTGCGACAAAATTCCACAAATCACGTCATAGAGTATTGTGACGCGATCGTATTTTAGCGCAACGACAGTCGTAAGTTTCTGTTATGATAACCTTAGCGCTATGATAACTTTGTGGAACGGAAAAGTATTATTCTGTTAAATTCAATTGGATTACGTTGTGGATCGTGTAGGTGTCTGCCTATTCATACACGACAGTGAAATTCTAAAAAAAGTGATAAATGGCAAGTAATAAATAAAATACTAAACTCACTACAGTGTAATACCAATTTTATGAAACTCGTTTCATAAAATTGGTATTACACAGGAGCTTGTTTAGTATTCCATATATCTACATTGTAGATCATAATGAGGGCTCACTAGTTCACCCTGAATCCCAAATACCATCTAATGTGGGCTCACTAGTTCACCCTGAATCCCGAATACCATCTAATGTGGGCTCACTAGTTCACCCTGAATCCCGAATACCATCTAATGTTGGCTCACTAGTTCACCCTGAATCCCGAATACCATCTAATGTTGGCTCACTAGTTCACCCTGAATCCCGAATACCACCTAATGTGGGCTCACTAGTTCACCCTGAATCCCGAATACCATCTAATATTGGCTCACTAGTTCACCCTGAATCCCGAATACCACCTAATGTGGGCTCACTAGTTCACCCTGAATCCCGAATACCAACTAATGTTGGCTCACTAGTTCACCCTGAATCCCAAATACCAACTAATGTTGGCTCACTAGTTCACCCTGAATCCCGAATACCAACTAATGTTGGCTCACTAGTTCACCCTGAATCCCAAATACCATCTAATGTGGACTCACTAGTTCACCCTGAATCCCAAATACCATCTAATATTGGCTCACTAGTTCACCCTGAATCCCGAATACCATCTAATATTGGCTCACTAGTTCACCCTGAATCCCAAATACCATCTAATATTGGCTCACTAGTTCACCCTGAATCCCAAATACCATCTAATATTGGCTCACTAGTTCACCCTGAATCCCAAATACCATCTAATATTGGCTCACTAGTTCACCCTGAATCCCGAATACCATCTAATATTGGCTCACTAGTTCACCCTGAATCCCGAATACCATCTAATATTGGCTCACTAGTTCACCCTGAGTACAGACACAAATTTCAACAACACAATCATGTCGGAGTTCATTCTTCAAAGGCAGAATGAGTGAGTGAGTGAGTGAGTGAGTGAGTGAGTGAGTGAGTGAGTGAGTGAGTATGGTTTTACGCCGCTTTTAGCAATATTCCAGCAATATCACGGCGGGGGACCCCAGAAATGGGCTTCACACATAGTACCCATGTCGGGAATCGAACCCAGGTCTTCGGCGTGACGAGCCAACGCTTTAACCACTAGGCTACCCGACCGCCCCAAAGGCAGAATGAAAACCTATTGAACACGTCTCTATGTCATTTAAGGTTCCGATGAAGATAAATTGCTGAAAAAAATATTTAAAAATCATCCTTTTTTTTTACTCTTACGTTCTGGTATGTGATGACCAGTTGAGCTACCGGCAGTCCATAGAAGATAGCAATGGTGAACAGATTCCTGGAAACAGCAGAGATAAATTTAAGCTAGCAACCCAAGGAGGTAGGAGGGGAGAGACAGAAGGCAGCCATACTTTTGATAATAGATACCGTATTCGACGTAATAAGCGCCCCGCTCTAATAAGCGCCCATGGCGATATTTGCTAATATATTGGCAAGTGAACAATCCAAATTAGCATCCCTTCCGATTGATCAATGTACACAAGACTTATTTATTCGTGTATAATACCCACTCGTGTGTTATATGCCCCCTTAATTAATCTGGAAAAATATATCTGTCGTATATAAACAGTTCAGACTGTCAGCATAAACCACGAAATGTATCTTTCAACTCTGTTTTTTCCACCAAAATAATATTCTAATAAGAGCCCCCTATTTCTAATTTTGAGAGCGCCCTGGGCGCTTATTACGTCGAATACGGTAATTGTTTTATAAAATCAAAGATGGCTACCTTGTGGCCATATTACAGGAATCAGAATGGAGACCATTGTGGCTACAGCAGATGTTAAACTAGCTTGGAACAGTTGAAGAATTGACAACAAATTGACAAAAAGGCCTGTTTAACAGTGGTGTGCTAGGTAAGGAGTGTAGGTCTTTGCAAAGTAGCTACCGATTCTGCAGCCATCTTCTGGTGAGATCTGATATTTTGCCATCTGTAGAATCCATAGGTGACCCTTCAAAGTGAGGTGAGGTGAGGTGAGGTGAAATTGGGTTTAACGTCGCGTCCAAGATTATTGCACTGATATAGCGATGTGCATGCACGTGTGTGTGTGTGTGTGGCTGCTTGTACTAGCCCGGACTGATGCTGATTTATAGTGCTAGCACACTGAGATACCATGCCGCAGTTTAACATGAATAACCCACTCAGACACAGTATACTGACTCCGAGCCGACCAGTCCTTGTTTTAGCCCCTTAATGCCGAGCGCCAGACAGGGTAACAACAAGTACCATCTTTTAACGTCTTTTGGTATGACACGGCTGGGGATCGAACCCCGGACCTTCCGCTCTCCGGGCAAACGCTCTACCAATAGACCACGGAGGCGGTCGGGTTGCTGAAGACCTGTTCTAACCAGGATCTGCTACTTCAAGTTTCATCCATAACAGTAAGTGTTGTTATTTTTATTTTGCCTCACATGTTGAAATAAAAATTAAACCATCCCATTGGAGCTAACGGAGACAGCTGACGGAGGGGGATGACAGAGGGGGATGACGGAGGGTGATGACGGAGGGGGATGATGGAGGGGCATGATGGAGAGGGATGCCGGAGAGGGATGACGGAGGGGGATGATGGAGAGGGATGACGGAGGGGGATGACGGAGGGGGATGATGGAGAGGGATGACGGAGAGGGATGATGGAGGGGGATGATGGAGGGGGATGATGGAGGGGGATGATGGAGGGGGATGACGGAGAGGGATGACGGAGGGGGATGACGGAGGGGGATGACGGAGGGGGATGACGGAGGGGGATGATGGAGGAGGATGATGGAGAGGGATGACGGAGGGGGAGGGGGATGATGGAGAGGGATGACGGAGGGGGATGACGGAGGGGGATGATGGAGGGGGATGATGGAGAGGGATGATGGAGAGGGATGACGGAGGGGGATGACGGAGGGGGATGATGGAGGGGGATGACGGAGGGGGATGACGGAGGGGGATGATGGAGGGGGATGATGGAGGGGGATGATGGAGAGGGATGACGGAGAGGGATGACGGAGGGGGATGACGGAGGGGGATGACGGAGGGGGATGATGGAGGGGGATGATGGAGGGGGATGACAGAGGGGGATGATGGAGAGGGATGACGGAGAGGGATGACGGAGGGGGATGATGGAGGGGGATGACAGAGGGGGATGACAGAGGGACTCACCAGTGGTAGATCTTATACAGCTTGGACAACTTCTTGCGACTTTTCCGTGCGAGGTCGGACACAAACAAGGCTGTCTGGAAAGCAATCAGTGAATGATGTTTTACACAGGCAATGGTCCACGCACTAAGCCACACAAATAATCACCCACCATGGATCTGAGTCGTACCATGGATCTGTGTCCTACTAAGGATCTGTGTCCTACTAAGGATCTGAGTACTACCATGGATCTAAGCACTACCATGGATCTTAGTACTACCATGGATCGGTGTCCTATTAAGGATCTGAGTACTGCCATGGATCGAAGTACTACCATGGATCTGAGTACTACCATGGATCTAAGTACTACCATGGATCTAAGTACTACCATGGATCGGTGTCCTATTAAGGATCTGAGTACTGCCATGGATCGAAGTACTACCATGGATCTAAGTACTACCATGGATCTAAGTACTGCCATGGATCGGTGTCCTATTAAGGATCTGAGTACTGCCATGGATCGAAGTAGTACCATGGATCTAAGTACTACCATGGATCTAAGTACTACCATGGATCGGTGTCCTATTAAGGATCTGAGTACTGCCATGGATCTAAGTACTACCATGGATCTAAGTACTACCTTGGATCTAAGTACTACCATGGATCGGTGTCCTATTAAGGATCTGATACTGCCATGGATGTAAGTACTACCATGGATCTAAGTACTACCATGGATCGGTGTGCTATTAAGGATCGGTGTCCTATTAAGGATCTGATACTGCCATGGATCTAAGTATTACAATGGATCTAAATACTGCCATGGATCTAAGTACTACCATAGATCTAAGTACTACCTTGGATCTAAGTACTACCATGGATGGGTGTCCTATTAAGGATCTGATACTGCCATGGATCTAAGTACTACCATGGATCTAAGTACTAAGTATTACAATGGATCTGAGTCCTAAAATGGATTTGAGTACTACCAAGGATCTAGATACTACCAAAGATCTGAGTTCGAATGAGGTTGTACGTCCTACCAAGGATCTAACTACCAGCATGGAGGCGAGTCCTACCAAGGATCTAAAGACTACGATGGATGGGAGTCGTACCAAGGATCTAACTGTTACGATGATGGATGAGAGTCCTACCAAGGATCTAACGACTACGATGGATGGGAGTCGTACCAAGGATCTAACTGCTACGATGGATGGGAGTCCTACCAAGGATCTCACGACTACGATGGATGAGAGTCCTACCAAGGATCTAACGACTATGATGGATGGGAGTCGTACCAAGGATCTAACTGCTACGATGGATGGGAGTCCTACCAAGGATCTAATGACTACGATGGATGGGAGTCGTACCAAGGATCTAACGACTACGATGGATGGGAGTCATACCAAGGATCTTACTGCTACGATGGATGGGAGTCCTACCAAGGATCTAACGACTACGATGGATGGGAGTCGTACCAAGGATCTAACTGCTACGATGGATGGGAGTCCTACCAAGGATCTAACTGTTGCCATGGATGGGAGCCGTACCAAGGATCTAACTGCTAACGTGGATGGGAGTCCTACCAAGGATCTAACTACTAACGTGGAAGGGAGTCGTACCAAGGATCTTACTGCTGCCATGGATGGGAGTCGTACCAAGGATCTAACTGCTGCCATGGATAGGAGTCCTACCAAGGATCTAACTGCTACCATGGATGGGAGTCCTACCAAGGATCTAACTGCTACGATGGATGGGAGTCCTACCAAGGATCCAACTGCTACCATGGATGGGAGTCCTTCTAAGGATCAAACTACTAACATGGATGGGAGTCCTACCAAGGATCTAACTACTAACATGGACGCGAGTCCTACCAAGGATCAAACTGTTACGATGATGGATGAGAGTCCTACCAAGGATCTAACTGCTACGATGGATGGGAATCCTACCAAGGATCTAACTGTTACGATGATGGATGAGAGTCCTACCAAGGATCTAACGACTACGATGGATGGGAGTCGTACCAAGGATCTAACTGCTACGATGGATGGGAGTCGTACCAAGGATCTAACGACTACGATGGATGGGAGTCATACCAAGGATCTAACTGCTATGATGGATGGGAGTCCTACCAAGGATCTAACTGCTACGATGGATGGGAGTTCTACCAAGGATCTAACTGTTGCCATGGATGGGAGTCGTACCAAATATCTAACTGCTAACGTGGATGGGAGTCCTACCAAGGATCTAACTACTAACATGGAAGGGAGTCGTACCAAGGATCTAACTGCTGCCATGGATGGGAGTCGTACCAAGGATCTAACTGCTGCCATGGATGGGAGTCCTACCAAGGATCTAACTGCTACCATGGATTGGAGTCCTACCAAGGATCTAATGACTAACATGGATGCGAGTCCTACCAAGGACCTAACGACTACGATGGATGGGAGTCGTACCAAGGATCTAACTGCTACGATGGATGGGAGTCCTACCAAGGATCTAACGACTACGATGGATGGGAGTCCTACCAAGGATCTAACTGCTACGATGGATGGGAGTTCTACCAAGGATCTAACTGTTGCCATGGATGGGAGTCATACCAAATATCTAACTGCTAACGTGGATGGGAGTCCTACCAAGGATCTAACTACTAACATGGAAGGGAGTCGTACCAAGGATCTAACTGCTGCCATGGATGGGAGTCGTACCAAGGATCTAACTGCTGCCATGGATGGGAGTCCTACCAAGGATCTAACGACTACGATGGATGGGAGTTCGACCAAGGATCTAACTGCTACGATGGATGGGAGTCATACCAAGGATCTAACTGCTACGATGGATGGGTGTCCTACCAAGGATCTAACAACTACGATGGATGGGAGTCATATCAAGGATCTAACTGCTACGATGGATGGGAGTCTTACCAAGGATCTAACTGCTACGATGGATTGGAGTCTTACCAAGGATCTAACTGTTGCCATGGATGGGAGTCGTACCAAATATCTAACTGCTACGATGGATTGGAGTCCTACCAAGGATCTAACTGTTGCCATGGATGGGAGTCGTACCAAATATCTAACTGCTAATGTGGATGGGAGTCCTACCAAGGATCTAACTACTAACGTGGAAGGGAGTCGTAACAAGGATCTTACTGCTGCCATGGATGGGAGTCATACCAAGGATCTAACTGCTGCCATGGATAGGAGTCCTACCAAGGATCTAACTGCTACCATGGATGGGAGTCCTACCAAGGATCTAACTGCTACCATGGATGGGAGTCCTACCAAGGATCTAACTGCTACCATGGATGGGAGTCCTACCAAGGATCTAATGACTAACATGGATGCGAGTCCTACCAAGGACCTAACTACTAACATGGATTTGAGTCCTACCAAGGATCTAACTATTAACATGGATGGGAGTCCTACCAAGGATCTAACTGCTACGATGGATGGGAGTCCTACCAAGGATCTAACTGCTACGATGGATGGGAGTCCTACCAAGGATCTATCTGCTACGATGGATGAGAGTCCTACCAAGGATCTAACGACTACGATGGATGCAAGTCCTACCAAGGATCTAACTGCTACGATGGATGAGAGTCCTACCAAGGATCTAACTGCTACGATGGATGCAAGTCCTACCAAGGATCTAACTGCTACCATGGATGGGAGTCGTACCAAGGATCTAACTGCTACCGTGGATGGGAGGACAGAAATACAGGCACGCAGCTCATGACTCTGTCCTAGGAGGCCACCATACCTTTGTCCTAAAGATGTCCTTCTCTTCATTAGCATCGTGTAGAAAGTCAACGTCAGACTCGTCCAGTGAATCAGCCCGATGATGTCCAGGTGGCGTTTGTGGCGGCGTGGCCTGCCCTGGCACAACGGGCTCCAACTCCTTCGCTGCAACATACAGGGTGTCAGGTGACTGTGATGAATGTTGAACAATCTGGGCCAGGCACACCATGCTAGATAGCCTATCGATGGCATGTCGGTAGCATGTTGATGGCATGTTGGTAGCATGTTGATGGCATGTTGGTGGCATGGTGATGGCATGTTGGTAGCATGTTGGTAGCATGTTGATGGCATGTTGATAGCATGTTGATGGCATGTTGATGGCATGTTGGTAGCATGTTGATGGCATGTTGGTAGCATGTTGGTAGCATGTTGATGGCATGTTGGTAGCATGTTGATGGCATGTTGATGGCATGTTGATCGCATGTTGGTGGCATGTTGATGGCATGTTGATGGCATGTTGGTGGCATGTTGATAGCATGTTGATGGCATGTTGGTAGCATGTTGATGGCATGTTGATGGCATGTTGATAGCCTATCGATGGCATGTCGGTAGCATGTTGATGGCATGTTGAGGGCATGTTGATGGCATGTTGATTGCATGTTGGTAGCATGTTGATGGCATGTTGATGGCATGTTGGTAGCATGTTGATGGCATGTTGGTAGCATGTTGATAGCCTATCGATGGCATGTTGGTAGCATGTTGATGGCATGTTGGTGGCATGTTGATGGCATGTTGATGGCATGTTGATGGCATGTTGGTAGCATGTTGATGGCATGTTGATGGCATGTTGATGGCATGTTGGTAGCATGTTGATGGCATGTTGGTAGCATGTTGATAGCCTATTGATGGCATGTTGGTAGCATGTTGATGGCATGTTGGTAGCATGTTGATGGCATGTTGATGGCATGTTGATGGCATGTTGGTAGCATGTTGATGGCATGTTGATGGCATGTTGATGGCATGTTGGTAGCATGTTGATGGCATGTTGGTAGCATGTTGATAGCATGGTGATGGCATGGTGATGGCATGTTGATGGCATGTTGATGGCATGTTGATAGCATGTTGGTGGCATGTTGATAGCATGTTGATGGCATGTTGATTGCATGTTGATGGCATGTTGGTAGCATGTTGATGGCATGGTGATGGCATGTTGATAGCATGTTGGTAGCATGTTGATGGCATGTTGGTAGCATGTTGATGGCATGTTGGTAGCATGTTGATGGCATGTTGATGGCATGTTGGTAGCATGTTGATGGCATGTTGGTAGCATGTTGATGGCATGTTGGCGGCATGTTGATAGCATGTTGATGGCATGTTGATGGCATGTTGATGGCATGTTGGTAGCATGTTGATGGCATGTTGATGGCATGTTGGTAGGATGTTGATGGCATGTTGGTAGCATGTTGATGGCATGTTGGTAGCATGTTGATGGCATGTTGATGGCATGTTGGTAGCATGTTGATGGCATGTTGATGGCATGTTGGTAGCATGTTGATGGCATGTTGATGGCATGTTGATGGCATGTTGGTAGCATGTTGATGGCACGTTGATGGCATGTTGATAGCATGTTGATGGCATGTTGGTGGCATGTTGATGGCATGTGAATAAAATGTCAGCTTTATTTCTTTTGTTTAAGCTTCAGTCAAAGTATTCCAGCTATATCATAATAATAATATTCCAGCTGTAAATAGTGTTGATTAAAGCTGTATACATGTTCAACCACATTCAAATACTGTAAGAGGTTTAATTTCAGAGGTTTATTTTCATGAAACCTCAAATCAACCCTGGTTGTGGTCTCGTCATATACAACTCAAAAAAAGTTAAGGACCACCCAATTCTTACATATGACCATATTTAATCATGCCATGAAAGAGTAACAACAGTAATATGTTTTGTTTGTTTGTTTGTTGTTTAACGCCGCACTCAGCAATATTCCAGCTATATGACGGTGCTCTGTAAACAATCGAGTCTGGACCAGACAATCCAGTGATTGACATCATGAGTATGATCTACGCAAATTGGGATACGATGACATGCATCAACCAAGTCAGCGAGCCTTACCACCCGATCCCATCAGTTACCACATACGACAAGCACAGTCGCCTCGTACGGCAAGCATGGGTTGCTGAAGACCTATTCTACCCCGAATCTTCATGGGTTATAGTAATATGAACGAATCGTGTGGTCCTTAACTTTTTGTGAGTAGTATACAACAAACATATGGCGAACAATTCAACTTTGGTCTCAGACTTGCTGAGTTAGCAAAACAGAACACCAGGGTATCAGTTTGGAACAATTCTGTCACATCAGAGGTTGGATTATACACAGCATTGTAAAGTATTCCGGTTATATCGGGGCATGTCAGCTTAATGTGGGAGGAAAGCCTGAAGTGATGCAGGTCTCAGACGTTTACCACTTCAGTGAAACACACAAGCACAGGTATGGTGCTTACAAACTTAAGAAACATAATCAGGTCGAAGTGGGATCTGAACCCATGATCATAGGGTTCTGGTGTGCCCAAGGGACGCAACTCTGCACAGCGAATCGCGGCGCCTTAGACGACTGCGCCACCCATGATTGGGGCGAAGTGGGATCTGAACCCATGATCATAGTGTTCTGGTGTGCCAAAGGGACGCAACTCTGATTGCAGTTACACCAGTGTGCCAGTCTCATGATGGGCTGAGGGAACGATACCCAACTCATGCCATGGGCAGTCAAAGACACTGACCATTTTGGGGAAACCGATGAGCATGTTTTAACATACCAAGAATCACAATTGAGGCGAATCTGGGATTCAAATCCTGGCAAGCTAAGGGGCACAACTCTTACCTAAATTTGAGCTCATGGACCCATAGGTGGCACCACTCTGCACAAAGGATTGAGAGCTGTCGATATCTGCAAACAATCCGTTCAAACACATCATTAGGACAAACAGAGCTATAAGGCATTTTTAAATATTATTCCTGTTTGCGAATCAGACAACACAATCAGATATAAAACTAACATCAAGGTATTATTGGGTTGCTTTTGATCCTGTCATGTGAGAGGGGAGATAACTCCGGGCTTGTCATTCAAAGAAACACAAAAAGCATCATATGTTTTTAATTATCATTCTGAAATATGTGAAAGACATGTGGGAGACATGTGATGATCCCTTGCTTGCATTTATACAGTGGAGCTGATCTAGGTCGCCTTTAGGTGAGGTGAAATGGGGTTTAACGTCGCGTCCAAGATTATTGCACTTATATAGCGACGTGCATGTACGTGTGTGTGTTTGTGTGGCTGCTTGTACTAGTCCGGACTGATGCCGATTTATAGTGCTAGCTCACTGAGATACCTTGCCGCAGTTTAACATGAATACCCCACTCAGACACAGTATACTGACTCCGAGCCGACCAGTCCTTGTTGCCATGTTGCCCCTTAATGCCGAGCGCCAGACAGGGTAACAACAAGTACCATCTTTTAACGTCTTTTGGTATGACGCGGCCGGGGATCGAACCCCGGACCTTCCGCTCTCTGGGCGGACGCTCTACCACAAGACCACAGAGGCGGTCTAGTTCGCCTTTAAAAAGTATTGTTGGGGGTTGAAGGAAAGAAAAAAACAATCTGATTGTTAGTAAACATGGCAAATACAAATTGAAATATTATTTAATGACATAAATATTTTGCTGATCTGTAAAAAGTATTGTCGGAAAGGTTGATATAAAGAATCACAATTTGGTTGGTAGCAAAGAAAATGAAATAACATTTCAAAAATATAATCTCTAAAAAGTATTGTGGGATAAAGAAAACACAATTAATTCAGATGGTCGTAAACAAAATTAAAAGAAAACGATTGGAAAAGAAGAAGCGCAATTAAACTAAAACCCAATGAAACACTCAACCAAGAAACATGAACAGCCAGAAACATGTGCAGCCCACGTGAGGAAACGTTTCCAAGGAAACAACAACCCCAACTACAGGTAATAAAGCCCTATCTTCCCGAAGCAAGCGTGTCCACTAGCCCATATCAAAGCCTAGTTTCTACATCTTCCCGAGGCAAGCGTGTCCGCTAGCCCATATCAAAGCCTAGTTTCTACATCTTCCCGAGGCAAGCATGTCCACTAGCCCATATCAAAGCCTAGTTTCTACATCTTCCCGAGGCAAGCGTGTCCACCAGCCCATATCAAAGCCTAGTTTCTACATCTTCCCGAGGCAAGCGTGTCCACCAGCCCATATCAAAGCCTAGTTTCTACATCTTCCCGATGCAAGCGTGTCCACCAGCCCATATCAAAGCCTAGTTTCTACATCTTCCCGAGGCAAGCATGTCCACCAGCCCATATCAAAGCCTAGTTTCTACATCTTCCCGAGGCAAGCGTGTCCACTTGCCCATATCAAAGCCTAGTTTCTACATTTTCCCGATGCAAGCGTGTCCACCAGCCCATATCAAAGCCTAGTTTCTACTTCTTCCCGAGGAAAGCATGTCCACTAGCCCATATCAAAGCCTAGTTTCTACATCTTCCCGAGGCAAGCGTGTCCACTAGCCCATATCAAAGCCTAGTCTCTACATCTTCCCGAAGCAAGCGTGTCCACTAGCCAATATCAAAGCCTAGTTTCTACATCTTCCCGATGCAAGCGTGTCCACTAGCCCATATCAAAGCCTAGTTTCTACATCTTCCCGAGGCAAGCGTGTCCACTAGCCCATATCAAAGCCTAGTTTCTACATCTTCCCGAGGCAAGCGTGTCCACCAGCCCATATCAAAGCCTAGTTTCTACATCTTCCCGAGGCAAGCGTGTCCACTAGCCCATATCAAAGCCTAGTTTCTACATCTTCCCGAGGCAAGCGTGTCCATCAGCCCATATCAAAGTCTAGTTTCTACATCTTCCCGAGGCAAGCGTGTCCACCAGCCCATATCAAAGCCTAGTTTCTACATCTTCCCGAGGCAAGCGTGTCCACTAGCCCATATCAAAGCCTAGTTTCTACATCTTCCCGAGGCAAGCATGTCCACCAGCCCATATCAAAGCCTAGTTTCTACATCTTCCCGAGGCAAGCATGTCCACCAGCCCATATCAAAGCCTAGTTTCTACATCTTCCCGAGGCAAGCGTGTCCACCAGCCCATATCAAAGCCTAGTTTCTACATCTTCCCGAGGCAAGCGTGTCCACTAGCCCATATCAAAGCCTAGTTTCTACATCTTCCCGAGGCAAGCGTGTCCACAAGCCCATATCAAAGCCTAGTTTCTACATCTTCCCGAGGCAAGCATGTCCACAAGCCCATATCAAAGCCTAGTTTCTACATCTTCCCGAGGCAAGCGTGTCCACTAGCCCATATCAAAGCCTAGTTTCTACATCTTCCCGAGGCAAGCATGTCAACTAGCCCATATCAAAGCCTAGTTTCTACATCTTCCCGAGGCAAGCATGTCCACTAGCCCATATCAAAGCCTAGTTTCTACATCTTCCCGAGGCAAGCATGTCCACCAGCCCATATCAAAACCTAGTTTCTACATCTTCCCGAGGCAATGGTGTCCACCAGCCCATATCAAAGCCTAGTTTCTACATCTTCCCGAGGCAAGCGTGTCCACTAGCCCATATCAAAGCCTAGTTTCTACATCTTCCCGAGGCAAGCGTGTCCACCAGCCCATATCAAAGCCTAGTTTCTACATCTTCCCGAGGCAAGCGCGTCCACTAGCCCATATCAAAGCCTAGTTTCTACATCTTCCCGAGGCAAGCATGTCCACCAGCCCATATCAAAGCCTAGTTTCTACATCTTCCCGAGGCAAGCATGTCCACAAGCCCATATCAAAGCCTAGTTTCTACATCTTCCCGAGGCAAGCGTGTCCACTAGCCCATATCAAAGCCTAGTTTCTACATCTTCCCGAGGCAAGCATGTCCACTAGCCCATATCAAAGCCTAGTTTCTACATCTTCCAGAGGCAAGCGTGTCCACCAGCCCATATCAAAGCCTAGTTTCTACATCTTCCAGAGGCAAGCGTGTCCACTAGCCCATATCAAAGCCTAGTTTCTACATCTTCCTGAGGCAAGCATGTCCACTAGCCAAAATCAAAGCCTAGTTTCTACATCTTCCCGAGGCAAGCATGTCCACCAGCCCATATCAAAGCCTAGTTTCTACATCTTCCCGAGGCAATGGTGTCCACCAGCCCATATCAAAGCCTAGTTTCTACATCTTCCCGAGGCAAGCGTGTCCACTAGCCCATATCAAAGCCTAGTTTCTACATCTTCCCGAGGCAAGCGTGTCCACCAGCCCATATCAAAGCCTAGTTTCTACATCTTCCCGAGGCAAGCGCGTCCACTAGCCCATATCAAAGCCTAGTTTCTACATCTTCCCGAGGCAAGCATGTCCACCAGCCCATATCAAAGCCTAGTTTCTACATCTTCCCGAGGCAAGCATGTCCACAAGCCCATATCAAAGCCTAGTTTCTACATCTTCCCGAGGCAAGCGTGTCCACTAGCCCATATCAAAGCCTAGTTTCTACATCTTCCCGAGGCAAGCATGTCCACTAGCCCATATCAAAGCCTAGTTTCTACATCTTCCAGAGGCAAGCGTGTCCACCAGCCCATATCAAAGCCTAGTTTCTACATCTTCCAGAGGCAAGCGTGTCCACTAGCCCATATCAAAGCCTAGTTTCTACATCTTCCCGAGGCAAGCGTGTCCACCAGCCCATATCAAAGCCTAGTTTCTACATCTTCCTGAGGCAAGCATGTCCACTAGCCAAAATCAAAGCCTAGTTTCTACATCTTCCCGAGGCAAGCGTGTCCACCAGCCCATATCAAAGCCTAGTTTCTACATCTTCCCGAGGCAATGGTGTCCACCAGCCCATATCAAAGCCTAGTTTCTACATCTTCCCGAGGCAAGCGTGTCCACTAGCCCATATCAAAGCCTAGTTTCTACATCTTCCAGAGGCAAGCGTGTCCACTAGCCCATATCAAAGCCTAGTTTCTACATCTTCCCGAGGCAAGCGTGTCCACTAGCCCATATCAAAGCCTAGTTTCTACATCTTCCCGATAAAAGCGTGTCCACCAGCCCATATCAAAGCCTAGCTTCTACATCTTCCCGATGCAAGCGTGTCCACTAGCCTATATCAAAGCCTAGTTTCTACATCTTCCCGAGGCAAGCGTGTCCACTAGCCCATATCAAGGCCTAGTTTCTACATCTTCCCGAGGCAAGCATGTCCACTAACCCATATCAAGGCCTAGTTTCTACATCTTCCCGAGGCAAGCGTGTCCACTAGCCTACATCAAAGCCTAGTTTCTACATCTTCCCGAGGCAAGCGTGTCCACTAGCCTATATCAAAGCCTAGTTTCTACATCTTCCCGAGGCAAGCGTGTCCACTAGCCCATATCAAAGCCTAGTTTCTACATCTTCCCGAGGCAAGCATGTCCACTAGCCCATATCAAAGCCTAGTTTCTACATCTTCCAGAGGCAAGCGTGTCCACTAGCCCATATCAAAGCCTAGTTTCTACATCTTCCCGAGGCAAGCGTGTCCACGAGCCTACATCAAAGCCTAGTTTCTACATCTTCCCGAGGCAAGCGTGTCCACCAGCCCATATCAAAGCCTAGCTTCTACATCTTCCCGAGGCAAGCATGTCCACCAGCCCATATCAAAGCCTAGTTTCTACATCTTCCCGATGCAAGCGTGTCCACTAGCCCATATCAAAGCCTAGTTTCTACATCTTCCCGATAAAAGCGTGTCCACCAGCCCATATCAAAGCCTAGTTTCTACATCTTCCCGATACAAGCGTGTCCACTAGCCCATATCAAAGCCTAGTTTCTACATCTTCCCGATGCAAGCGTGTCCACTAGCCCACATCAAAGCCTAGTTTCTACATCTTCCCGATGCAAGCGTGTCCACCAGCCCATATCAAAGCCTAGTTTCTACCCTTGCCACATCAAGGCCACATTTCTTGACTTTACCCTGGCTGAATGACATTCGTGTCAACAAAGACAGGCAGCAGTAAATCACTTTCACACGAAGGTTTACCAGTCGTGGATGTTGATTTTGTGAAATGTTCTCTGATTGGACTATCGATATGTGCGATGGTCCAATCATATTTAGCACAGGAAAGTGGGCTTGACGTGGCAAGGGTGGAAAAAAGACTTTGATAGAAAGGCTAGTGGACGCTCTTGCCTCGGGAAGATGATAAACCCCATGACACACAAAGCAATTAAAATGTCTGGCCACGTAGGATGGGAGACACCATAAAGTCTGCTGACAGATAGTGGTGTAACGATACGGCGATACAGTATTATATCCCGATGCACAGCCCACGATACGATGCATCGATTTGGAAAGCATGTATCGCGATACATACGATATTTTCATAACACAGTTTTACCTACCGTATTTTCTTGAGTATAGTGCACACTTTTTCTCCAAAAAACACAGCTGTGTAGAAGGGGTTGCGCATTATACACGAATTAATGAGTTTTGATGTTTTTCCCCCATGGAAAGACATTACCGTGAGCACGTAACACCGGAAATACCATGTCAACAAATCCATACTGAAGTTCGCAAATTATTCATGTAATTACACTGTCTGGCTATAAAAAAAAAGTGTTCTTTGTATATCTGGACTCATGTTTGTAACTTATTTCATTAATTTTATTCAAAATTCTTTTTAATATTGTTTTTATTAATTTCGGCGAAATCGTGTATGAAGCGATCGGAAGATCGCACAACTCACCATTATTAACAGCAACCACGGTCAGATTACCGCTATTTATGCCTTGAAAGGAATTTTAGTTGACCGAGAATGGATACATATATCATATATGCCATACTTTGATTCATTAAAAGTCATATTTGTTTTTGTTGGACGATTCTCGCGATCACGTGCACGGGAGCCTTGACGGTAACTGGTCAGACTGGTTCCATGTAAAAAATAATACCCGGCAATAGCGATCAGCTTCGCTTAGGGTTATTATTATTTTAAATGTGTTTAGTAAAAACTGCATCTAAATATATCATCTAATATATTATTCCTGATAAAAAAAAAGTTTCAGATACAACTTTTGCCGATCCTTGCATTAAAATACTGTAAAGTTATATCATTGGGTGTGTCTTGACCGAATCACCGGTAGATTCCAAGAAAACGTGTGTACATGTACAGCTGATTGCTGTGTCCGGCTTAGTTTACGAGAAAATACACAAGGTAATCTTAATCCCTGGATATAAAACAATGCCTGGCTGAACAAAAAATACAATTTAAACGGTAAATCAACATGTCTGGTGATTTTTTATCTCAAATTTCGAATTTGTACTGACGAAGTTTCTCATCACCCGTTCGTTTGCCGGACTTCGCTGAAGGGGTACGGTGTAATTTCTTTCTGCGCATAATATTAAAATTTCTTTTTTTTCCAAAATATTGAACCCGCTAGAGGGGCATGCGCATTATACATTGGTGCGCACTATACTCAAGAAAATACATGAAATACATGGGCGGATACAGCTTTTTTGAAAAGGGGGGGGGGGGGGGGGGGGCACAATTAAGTTCTATTTATTGTCTTTGGTGGTAATTTATACAGAAATAAAAGATTTTTTTCGAAATAAAAAGGGGGGGGGGGGGGGGGGGGGGTGCGCCCATGAAATACATTTAACAGTTTCAAAGCCAGTTTGTTGTTTCAGTAAAACATACTGTATTGCTGACAATTTGCTATAACAGTAAATAAACACCTTATATCTTCTTCAACTGTACTTGTCACATCTTTTAGAGAGCAGAAAGACATCAACTTGGCTTAGCTTGTACCAGTAAACACTGTATCGTGATACGTATCGTATCGCGACCCCTGTATCCTGATACGTATCGTATCGCGACCCTCCCGTATCGTTACACCTCTACTGACAGACAGAGCACACTCTCAGACATAAATCCCCAAACTCTCCCCACCATCTGGGTTGATGCCAAGGAAACGCTTCCAACATCACCCTTCCAAACCAACATGCCGAGAGATGCTCAATATTTGACAAAGGTGAGTGAGTGAGTGAGTTGGGTTTAACGCCGCTTTTAACAGTATTCCAGTTATATCACTGCGTGTCAGCTTAATGTGGGAGGAAAGCCCAAAGTGATGCAGGCCTCAGACATTTACCACTTCAGTGAAACCCACGAGCACGGGTATGGTGCTGAAAAAGCTAGAAACATAATCGGGGCGAAACGGGATTCGAACCCACAATCATAGGTTTCTGGCGTGCCCAAAGGACGCAACAATGCACAGCGAATCGCGGCGCCTTAGACGACTTGGCCACCCGTGCCCCCTTTAGACAAAGGAAAGCAAGACAAATTTCAACGTATGCAATCTGATTCAAAGTTAACAGAGACAAGTTGTCAACAAAATGTTGTCTTCAGACGGCAGCTTGGACAAGAGCCAGTCTCTTTTACTTGTTGACAGTCGCTGATAGATTGATTGTTTGTTTGTTGTTTAATGCCGCACTCAGCAATATTTCAGCTATATGACGGCGGTCTGTAAACAATCAAGTCTGGACCAGACAATCCAGTGATTGACATCATGAGCATCGATCCACGCAATTGGAATCGATGACATGCATCAACCAAGTCAGCGAGTCTGACCACCCGATCCCGTTAGTCGCCTCTAACGACAAGCATAGTCGCCTTGACCTATAGAAATTGCCTTGTGTGTCATGGGCTTATCGGAGATAGCTGCTGTCTAAAATTTGTATTAAAAAAGACAAATACAGTAAACTATATACATATAACGAACTGACGGATATAACGAAATGTGTTTTGATCCCGTCCATTTGCTGTATATATGCTTATAACGAACTACGGTTATAACGAACTACGGTTATAACGAACTAAAATTAGTGTTTCCTAACCATAGTTTACTGTAGTATTCACAATGAGCATGATTAACTGTATGGTTACGACAAAAATAAATATGCCATTGGATTATATTTTACCACCAAAAGCGATGTCAATAACTATTCTAAATTAGAAACTGGTAATTTATTATTGGGGTGGACGGTGAGATTGGTCTTAGGACAATCTCATTAAACTCAGATCTTAGTTCTCGCTACTGCTAAACAAAGATCTGAGAACATCCCATTACGGGTCACGTCAGAATGACCTTGCACAAAATTTAACCGACCAGTGGAATGAGTGACAAGAAGTCGACATTAGCCAATCAGAAGGCATCTTTCTCATGCTTTATGGAACTAATTTCAAATTGGCGACTATGCTTTGAAACATATTTTGACAAATTCTCGATTAAAAATTTGAAACCTGAGCAAAAGAACATTCTGGAATGGCTAATAGATGGTCTAGATTGTATGGATTCAGGCGTTAAGCCCATAACTATCATTCGGAATACCCTGTGTTAAAGTTTTCGAGGTTGCATGATTAAATATCACATTCTGACGGTCACTTTCATGATCAGGTAACAACGCTCTGATTGGTCAGATGAAAGGTTGTTCTGACGTGACCCATAATGGGATGTCTCAGATGTTTGTTTAGCGGTAGCGAGAACTGAGATCTGATTTTATTGAGATCGGTCTTAGGGTGGGATCATATTTTGTGGACAGCCCCCAAAATTTAAGGCTTTTCAATTATTGACACTAAAAACCAAGGCATTTCAAGAGAGACCTTAAAATTAAAGGCCTTTTGATGCCTGTATGAACCTCATTAATATTTAAACACAAGCAGGCATTTGTTTAAGCAAGACAGTTAATGTGTTGACAAAAGGCAACAGGAAAACAACGCCCACTCCATTTTGCACTCAGAGACAACTACGACAATCTACAGTACAACAAGTAGCATGCACCGTCATGGTTACCGCTAGGCGTCCCTGCATTCTGATTGGTTGTGTGGTATCCAGGTTGGATGAACCCTGTAAGTTTGTCTAGAGGAAGGAAAGGCGAACATTCACAGAAAGTCACAGATTATCCATGTGAGAATCATCCACTAAAGTGAAACCTCATTAATCCAGACAACATCAGGCATCGACCATTTGATATTCTGGGGGTGGGGGCTGGGATTTTGTCTGGAGATATTTTTTTCAGTTACAGCCACAAAACCAGAAATTTGTTTCATCAACACTATGAGCATGCATAGCTTTCTTGCCATGATGTAATTTTTGTTGCAGAAAAGTTTGTTTTTTCCTGGGACAATTTTATTTCTCTCGATAAATTCCCCAAAATAAGGCAAGTTGAAATGGGTGTTAACGTTACGTTAAAGATTATTGCACTAAGATAGATGCATGCATGCATGCATACATGCATGTGGACCAGTCTGGAACGGTATACATTTTTATTCGTTTTTTGTTTGTTTGCCGCACTCAGCAATATTCCAGCTATATGACGGCAGTGTGCAAATAATTCAGCCTGGACTAGACAACCCAGTGATTGACATCATGAGCATCGATCCAAGCAATTGGGATACATTGACATGCATGAACCACCCGATCCCGTTAGTCGCCTCCTACGACAAGCATAGTCGCCTTTTATGGCAAGCATGGGTTGCTGAAGACCTATTCTACCCCGGAATCTTCACGCAGTCTGTATTCATGTAATGGAGGACACGACATGACATGATAACGACAAAATGAGACACAGACAAGAGACCCACCAAAATTGTCACAAGTCCCCTGGAATTAAACATGCATGTTAAACGCACACAGATGAAGCCCTGTTATATTAAGCTGTGAGACTTGTGTGACCTGCTCCAATACATAACAGAGCTCCAGATAAGCTTTTGGTGTTGTGGGTATTTTACCCATGCATTTTAAAATCATTGGGTATCGGTAATTCTATCTGGGTATTCAAATTTCTGTTACCCACTAGTTTTTACACATGTGGGTATTTAAGTTCGATATTTAAAAACACTATTCATCTAGTCCCTGCAAACTGGTGTCTTGTGGGTTAGAGAGATTTATAGGACTCAAAAATACCACGATACTTCCACAAGAAAGTTTGATGGCAAATGATCGTGATATAACTGTCATCGTGGAGTTTGGCAAGGTTGACGGAATGCCCGTTTATAATTTCAAAATAAGTTACTGATTTGCTAATCGAATATGCAGAGTAGCTTCACAATATTTTGATGATACGCACAAGTTTTATTTTTGTAGAGTATCTGTAATGTTCGTTGCATATTTGATACGTTTGGATTTTATTTTACTTTGTATTTCTGCATTTCTGATGCGTATTATACGCAGATACGCAGCTTATCTGGAGCTCTGAGCTGTGAGACTTGTGTGGCCTGCTCCAATACATAATCATTATTATGGTGATTATTATACAAATAATTACTCAAAATGCAAACACAAAGACACAAGGACCCGCCCCGAGGTGGTCTGTCCGGCCTGAGGGCGCAGACCATGCCCCGATTAGGCCGACGAAGGGGTCGGGTCCTCAGGTGCTTGGTTTCCCACACTGACCTCATTAAGAGTAATCATTCATTTTGTTATCCCAAATTCATCTTAAAGATTATGAAGTCTTTAAACCATCCTCTGTTTCATTACAGTAACTTAGGGGCGAACTGTAAAAAGTTCAAACCAGACGCCATCTTGTTTTCTAGCAGACGAGTCAATATTTATCACTCGACAGGTCAATACTGATCATGTGACGAGTCAATATTCGAGGTCAGTATCAGTCACATGATCTCGGGGTCTAAATTGAAACGTATTGTTTCGTCTCATGGTACAGATTAACCAATGGAATTGCAAGATTTTAATCGAGGTATAACAAAAAGATGTGTTGAATATATTCATGTATGAATGGCTGAAGAACGAAACGAGTCAAAATTTTGGATGTGGATTTTGTTCCCAAGGAGTGAGTGAGTGAGTTGGTGAGTGAGTTAGTGAGTTGGGTTTAACACCGCTTTTAACAGTAATCCAGTTATATCACGGCGTGTCAGCTTAATGTGGGAGGAAAGCCTGAAGTGATGCAGGTCTTAGACGTTTACCACTTCGGTGAAACCCACGAGCACGGGTATGGTGCTGACAAACCTAGAAACATAATGGGGCGAACTTGGATTCGAACCCATAATCATATGTTTCTATGCCCAAGGGACGCAACTCTGTACAGCGAATTGCGGCGCCTTAGACGAATGGCCCACCCATGCCCCCTTGTTCACAGGGATGGGTTGTAGAGAGGATGGTCATGAGTATCTCCAGTTTCAGATCATTTTTTTTATTAGCTGCGTCATGTGTTGTTAGCGGATGATGGGTCGATTAACATGATCAACTTTCACCACTTTTGTTGAATAGGTAAAAACCTTTTAATAAAATGAACTATTAATATTGATCATTAGCTGGTATGAGAACGGATATTTTCCTTTTCAGCTGAAACGTCTTTGCAATGGAACGTGGTCCATAATTTGGGGTGTTAATGGGGGAAGCCATCACATTTTAACAAATTTGCGGATATGCGGAAGATTCTCACCCCTACATTAGGGCGGAGCCCCCATACATTTGTCTATGATATGAGTTACTGAAGTGAATAGTTGGAAGCTCACCTCGCTCCGAGTCCGAAATCTCCATAAGGCTCTTACTGGTGCCACTGAAAGAACAAAGAACAATGTTCAAATGAACTCTTCACCATGGCAACTGAGTTGTCAATAGTTGTCAGGATTGTAGTACCTGCATGGATGTAATACAAGCAAGAAGTACTTTTATCCCAGCCCCTGTGCAGGATGATATCTAAAAACCCCACAAAAAAACTCCTCAAACATCTTCCTGAAAAAAGAATTACTGGGCTCGATCGTAGCGCCACCAGTGGCTATTAAAATTTATGTCCCCTCTAAGCCTCTCCTATGGACCAATAAGATTCCACCTCTCGTATCACTTGCGTTTGCTTCACCCAAAATGGTGGCGCCCAGTCAGGACGATCTGATCGATAATCAAGATCTACATTGTGATAAAACGGGTCTTACATCGCGAAGTGCATCAAATCACGTGAGCACCTTGATTAAAAACATGAAAAGACTTGAAAAATATCTGTTGACAACGAGTTGGCGGTGCACATGCTTTGCAAATCCTGCAATCGACCGAAATCTGCATGATAGTTTACGAACCGGATTTCGATTTCGGTGCGCGATTTTGATTGGACTATGCATAGACTCGTTAGTTCAGCCAAAATGTAACTCCATAATACAAGCCTAGTTCGGCAAGGGTGGAAACTGGACTTTTATAGTCAGTTAACTCTCTTGCCTCAGGAAGATGGACCTCAAATTTCCCACCCTTGATTTTCAAGAGGAATTTTGATTTGCTACAGTACTCAGTCTAATGGACCAATCCGAATGCAAGTTACAAACCAGCCTCAATGTCGGGTTGGTGATAGCGACAACATGGTGGCAAGAGATAAACTGGAGACTGACATGTACACGAAAGCCTCAAATAGCTTTTTGATGGAAAGGATGTCTTCATGTCCACTTTAACTGGTGGGACCGCCTCCGTGGTCTAATCGTAGAGCGTCTGCCCGGAGAGCAGAAGGTTCGGGGTTCGATCCCCTGTCGCGTCATACCAAAAGACGTTAAAAGATGGTACTTGTTGTAACCCTGTCTGGCGCTCGGCATTAAGGGGCTAAAACAAGGACTGGTCGGCTCGGAGTCAGTATACTGTGTCTGAGTGGGGTATTCATGTTAAACTGCAGCATGGTATCTCAGTGAGCTAGCACTATAAATCGGCATCAGTCCGGACTAGTACAAGCAGCCACACACACACACATATACACGTGCATGCACGTCGCTATATAAGTGCAATAAGCTTGGACACGACGTTAAACCCCATTTGGGGCAGTCAGGTAGCCAAGTGGTTAAAGGGCGGGTAATTCAGATCATGGGAACTACAGGAATGGATCCTGGAGATACAGAGGATGTTTCATACTTGACCCTGTTCACACTGTTAGACACCATACAGAACACACTGGGGGTAGATCAGATTTTGTCACACAAACATACTACACTGAAAATCTCTGTATCTGTGAACATGTATTTTGTTTGTTTGCTTGTTGTTTAACGTCGCACTCAGCAATATTCCAGCTTTCTGACAGCCGTCTGTAAACAAGCCAGTGATTGACATCATGAGCATCGATCTACGCATTTTGGATACGATGACATGATGATGATGATGACGATTTCCGTTAGTCGCCTCTTACAAGCATAGTTGCCTCTTTCTACAAGCATGAGTTGCTGAAAACCAGGGACCCGTTCCACAAAGCGATCTTAGCGCTGCGACTGCCGTAAATCTATGTTAGAGTATGGGAGTTATGATAGTCTTAGCGCTAAGATCCTTTTGTGGAATGGGGTTCCGATTTAAGTAAAATCTTACCCAGGATCTTCATGGGAACGTGAAGATGAAATGATGTTACATGCAGCACTAGAAGAGTGTAGATGATTTTGCAAACTGAACGTTCATTCTCCTCCAAAGTATAAATCACCTCCACTCATGACACATGTAACTCAGCCGTCAATGAATAATTCATTTTTTAGGAAATAACTTATGACAATCATTTCCACCATTCTGCCTCCCTCAAAATACCCCACCCCCAGATATGAAATGGTCTGCCCTGATATTTAACAATAACATGTCTGTTTAACTGTAATTACGCCCAAACCATAACGGTTGTACACAAAGACCTGAGGCTAAAAATCACAGAATGAAAAAATCAAATGATTTTTTTTTGTTCATATGAGGTAACGTGAAATAGGGTTTAACATTGCATCCATGATTATTTCGCTTATATAGCGACATGCATGTGTGTGTGTGTTTGGCTGCTTGTACTAGTCTGGACTGATGCCGAATTATAGTGCTAGCCCACTGAGATACCATGCCGCAGTTTAACATGAATACCCCACCCAGACCAATACTGACTCCGAGCCGACCAGTCCTTGTTTTAGCCCCTTAACATGCTTAATGCCGAGCGCCAGACTTGGTAACAACAAGTACCATCTTTTAACATCTTTTGATATGACGCGGCCAGAGACCGAACCCTGGTCCTTCTGCCCTCCGGGCGGATGCTCTCCCACTAGACCAAGGATGAGGCGGTCTTGTTAATATAAATTTTAACAGTTGATTTTCATTTCATACCACATCCTTTGATACATGATGTAACAAAACACCTTACCATCGGTGAAAGCAGCACAACATGGCGCCAGCGATCACATAGAATATGGAAAAGAAGCCAACTGCAGCAAAGATTCCTTTGTAGTACTGCGACTCTGCAATAATAGGAAAAATAATATTAGTATCTAAAACTTAACCTGCATTACATATTGTATTCCCTTCTTTTTTAATGTAATGATAAGAATAGTAATATTACATTCAGATGTGCATTTGCACAAAATAAGCAAAATACTTCAATTCAATTTGTTATGTTTGTTCTCAGCTTAATGTATTGACGCCATAGGGCATTGGATTGGGCCAAAGTAGTCCAACTTAAGATGCACTTTCCAAATTAAAATATTAAAGCTTGAAATAAATAAGGTAAATATAGAGTGACATAATTCTGTGGAAAAAGTAACATTTATAACTGACAAAACAATTAAGCATATTTGAGTTAGGAAATATTTATTTTATTTTTTTTTAGCAGTTTTGTGTGTGACATTTTTTAACTAATATTGATGATGTCAGACACCTATCCCACTAAGACCATCTGCAATGTCCTACTTATTCCCGAATCCCATAACACAACATTGCTGACTTGGAATTCCCATGGGGAGACAAGTCACAAGGAGACACTGTCAAGCAATGCTGCCTTGGAATTCCCATGGAGAGACAAGCCACAAGGAGACACTGTCAAGCAATGCTGCCTTGGAATTCCCATGGGGAGACTAGCCACAAGGAGACACTGTCAAGCAATGCTGCCTTGGAATTCCCATGGGGAGACTAGCCACAAGGAGACACTGTCAAGCAATGCTGCCTTGGAATTCCCATGAGGAGACAAGTCACAAGGAGACACTGTCAAGCAATGCTGCCTTGGAATTCCCATGGGGAGACTAGCCACAAGGAGACACTGTCAAGCAATGCTGCCTTGGAATTCCCATGGGGAGACAAGTCACAAGGAGACACTGTCAAGCAATGCTGCCTTGGAATTCCCATGGGGAGAATAGCCACAAGTAGACACTGTCAAGCAGTGCTGCCTTGGAATTCCCATGGAGAGACAAGCCACAAGGAGACACTGTCAAGCAGTGCTGCCTTGGAATTCCCATGGAGAGACTAGCCACAAGGAGACACTGTCAAGCAATGCTGCCTTGGAATTCCCATGGAGAGGCAGGTCACAAGGAGATACTGTCAAGCAATGCTGCCTTGGAATTCCCATAGAGACACAAGCCACAAGGAGACACTGTAAAGCAATGCTGCCTTGGAATTCCCATGGGGAGAATAGCCACAAGGAGACACTGTCAAGCAATGCTGCCTTGGAATTCCCATGGAGAGACAAGTCACAAGGAGACACTGTCAAGCAATGCTGCCTTGGAATTCCCATGGTCAGACAAGCCACAAGGAGACACTGTCAAGCAATGCTGCCTTGGAATTCCCATGGAGAGACAAGCCACAAGGAGACGCTGTCAAGCAATGCTGCCTTGGAATTCCCATGGGGAGACTAGTCACAAGGAGACACTGTCAAGCAATGCTGCCTTGGAATTCCCATGGTCAGACAAGCCACAAGGAGACACTGTCAAGCAATGCTGCCTTGGAATTCCCATGGTCAGACAAGCCACAAGGAGACACTGTCAAGCAATGCTGCCTTGGAATTCCCATGGAGAGACAAGCCACAAGGAGACACTGTCAAGCAATGCTGCATTGGAATTCCCATGGGGAGAGAAGCCACAAGGAGACACTGTCAAGTAATGCTGCCTTGGAATTCCCATGGAGAGACAAGCCACAAGGAGACACTGTCAAGCAATGCTGCCTTGGAATTCCCATGGGGAGAGAAGCCACAAGGAGACACTGTCAAGCAATGCTGCCTTGGAATTCCCATGGGGAGACAAGCCACAAGGAGACACTGTCAAGCAATGCTGCCTTGGAATTCCCATGGGGAGAGAAGCCACAAGTAGACACTGTCAAGCAATGCTGCCTTGGAATTCCCATGGAGAGACAAGTCACAAGGAGACACTGTCAAGCAATGCTGCCTTGGAATTCCCATGGGGAGACAAGCCAAAAGGAGACACTGTCAAGCAATGCTGCCTTAGAATTCCCATGGGGAGACAAGCCACATGGAGACACTGTCAAGCAATGCTGCCTTGGAATTCCCATGGGGAGACAGGTCACAAGGAGACGCTGTCAAGCAATGCTGCCTTGGAATTCCCATGGGGAGACAAGTCACAAGGAGACACTGTCAAGCAATGCTGCCGTGGAATTCCCATGGAGAGACAAGCCACAAGGACACACTGTCAAGCAATGCTGCCGTGGAATTCCCATGGGGAGACAAGTCACAAGGAGACACTGTCAAGCAATGCTGCCTTGGAATTCCCACAGAGAGATAAGTCACAAGGAGACACTGTCAAGCAATGCTGCCCTGGAATTCCCATGGGTAGACAAGCCACAAGGAGACACTGTCAAGCAATGCTGCCTTGGAATTCCCATGGGGAGAGAAGCCACAAGGAGACACTGTCAAGCAATGCTGCCTTGGAATTCCCATGGGGAGAGAAGCCACAAGGAGACACTGTCAAGCAATGCTGCCTTGGAATTCCCATGGAGAGACAAGCCACAAGGAGACACTGTCGAGCAATGCTGCCTTGGAATTCCCATGGGGAGACAAGCCAAAAGGAGACACTGTCAAGCAATGCTGCCTTGGAATTCCCATGGGGAGACAAGCCACATGGAGACACTGTCAAGCAATGCTGCCTTGGAATTCCCATGGGGAGACAGGTCACAAGGAGACGCTGTCAAGCAATGCTGCCTTGGAATTCCCATGGGGAGACAAGTCACAAGGAGACACTGTCAAGCAATGCTGCCGTGGAATTCCCATGGAGAGACAAGCCACAAGGACACACTGTCAAGCAATGCTGCCGTGGAATTCCCATGGGGAGACAAGTCACAAGGAGACACTGTCAAGCAATGCTGCCTTGGAATTCCCACAGAGAGATAAGTCACAAGGAGACACTGTCAAGCAATGCTGCCTTGGAATTCCCATGGGGAGACAAGCCACAAGGAGACACTGTAAAGCAATGCTGCCGTGGAATTCCCATGGAGAGACAAGCCACAAGGAGACACTGTCAAGCAATGCTGCCTTGGAATTCCCATGAGGAGACAAGTCACAAGGAGACACTGTAAAGCAATGCTGCCTTGGAATTCCCATGGAGAGACAAGCCACAAGGAGACACTGTCAAGCAATGCTGCCTTGGAATTCCCATGGAGACACAAGTCACAAGGAGACACTGTCAAGCAATGCTGCCTTGGAATTCCCATGGGGAGACAAGCCACAAGGAGACACTGTCAAGCAATGCTGCCTTGGAATTCCCATGGGGAGACAAGTCACAAGGTTACACTGTCAAGCCATGCTGCCTTGGAATTCCCATGGAGTGACAAGTCACAAGGATACACTGTCAAGCAATGCTGCCGTGGAATTCCCATAGAGACACAAGCCACAAGGAGACACTGTCGAGCAATGCTGCCTTGGAATTCCCATGGAGAGACAAGCAACAAGGAGACACTGTCAAGCAATGCTGCCTTGGAATTCCCATGGAGAGACAAGCCACAGGGAGACGCTGTCGAGCAATGTATGCCTGGAATATTTTGGAGTGTGGCATAAAACAACAGACAAACAAACACACAAACAAACTATCCTTCTTACTTGGTATTGTGTCCTCGACAAGGATGGTGACATTCTTGCCTCGAGCAGTGCTGGCTCCTGTAGTCTGTATCTGTTCAATTCCAAGGCAGTCAAGGTCGAGGGGCTTCACAATCAGTACCACATAGAACTGCTTGTGTTCATAGTCAGATGCCTACAACACACAAGCAAGTTGAGATAAAAGGAGCTTTCAATGGCATTCCAGTTACATCACGGCATGTCAGCTTCATCTAGGAGGAAAGCCTGAAGTGATGCAGGTCTTAGACAAATCTGGCATTTGATGAATGGTTTCTGGCACGCCTAAGGGACATAACTCTGCATACAAAATGCGTCCCATTCGACACAATGGAACAGTTGGTTGGTCATTCCCCGAGGCAAGAGAGTTAACTGACTTTAAAAGTCCAGTTTCCACCCTTGCCGAACTAGGCTGGAATTTCTGGGCCCGACCGTAGCGCCACCAGTGGCTATTACGAGTTATGTCCCTTCTATGCCTCTCCTATGGACCAATCAGATTCCACCTCTCGTATCACATGCATTTGCTTCTTCAAACAAAATGGTGGCGCCCAGTCAAGAGGATCTGATCGATAATCAAGATCTACATTGTGATGAAACGGGTCTTACATCGCGAAGTGCATCAAATCACGTCAGCACCTTGATTAAAAACAAGAACAGTTTTGGAAAATAACTGTTGACGAGTTGGCGGTGTACATGCAAATATTGCAATCGAACAAAAACGGCATCACATTTTAGAAACCGGATTTCGATGTTGTTGCGTGATTGTGATTGGACTATGCATACTCTCGTTAGTCCAGCTAAAATGTAACTCTATAATACCAGCCTAGTTCGGCAAGGGTGGAAACTGGACTTTTATAGTCGGTTAACTATCTTGCCTCAGGAAGATGTTGGTTGGTTTGTTGTTTAACGCCGCACTCAGCAATATTCCAGCTATATGACAGTGGTCTGTAAATAATCAAGTCTGGACCAGACAATCCAGTGATTAATATGAGCATCGATCAACGCAATTGGGATCGATGACATGCATCAACCAAGTCAGTGAGCCTGACCACCCGATCCCGTTAGTCGCCTCAACAAGCATAGTCGCCTTTTTACGGCAAGCATGGGTTGCTGAAGACCTATTCTACCCCGGATCTTCACGCGTCTTATGACGACATGCAATCAACCAAGCTGCCGAGCTTCACTCCGCGATCTGGGAGACTTATTCTGACCCGGCTTCCCCTCCCACAAGGTTCCACGTACCTGAAGGGCGGTCGGGTAGCCTAGTGGTTAAAGCGTTCGCTCGTCACGCCGAAGACCCGGGTTCGATTCCCGACATGGGTACAATGTGTGAAGCCCATTTCTGGTGTCCCCCGCCATGATATTGCTGGAATATTGCTAAAAGCGGCGTAAAACCAAACTCACTCACTCACTCCACGTACCTGAAGCAACATGGCCGCCTGAGTGCTCATCGTCTGGTACTTGCCAGCAAACTCCACATTCCGGTCAAGGTCGTATACAGGACACTGGGTACAACAGAGACGGATCATGCAAACAGGATATTCAAGAGTTTCATTGGATTGGTTGGTTGCTTGGTTGGTTTGTTGTTTAACGCCGCACTCAGCAATATTCCAGCTATGTGACGGCGGTCTGTAAATAATCGAGTCTGGACCAGACAATCCAGTGATTGATATCATGAGCATCAATCCCCGCAATTTGGATCAATGTATCAACCAAGTCAGCGAGCCTGACCACCCAATCCCGTTAGTCTCCTCGTACGACAAGCATAGTCACCTTTTACGGCAAGTATGGGTTGCTGAAGACCTATTCTACCCCGGAATCTTCACGGGGGAGTTTCATTGAATATTGTACCCATAAGCAACAGTTGCAATAAATGTTGAACGTTAAGCTTACACGACATACAGCTTTTCCATTGGACGAGAGGGCAGTCACCTGACCACGAAAATGAAGTTACCTGTGTTTCCCTAATAGACAGGTGTGTTTCCCTGATAGACAGGTGTGTTACCCTGATAGATAGGTGTTACCCTAATAGACAGGTGTGTTACCCTGATAGACAGGTGTGTTACCCTGATAGACATGTGTGTTACCCAGACAGACAGGTGTGTTACCCTGATGGACAGGTGTTACCTTGATAGACAGGTGTGTTACCCTGATAGACAGGTGTGTTACCCTGATAGACAGGTGTGTTACCCTGATAGACAGGTGTTACCCTGATGGACAGGTGTTACCTTGATAGACAGGTGTGTTACCCTGATGGACAGTTGTTACCCTAATAGACAGGTGTTACCTTGATAGACAGAATGCGTTACCCTAATAGACAGGTGTTACCCTAATAGACAGGTGTGTTACCCTAATAGACAGGTGTGTTACCCTAATAGACAGGTGTGTTACGCTAATAGACAGGTGTTACCCTAATAGACAGGTGTGTTACCCTAATAGACAGGTGTTACACTGATAGACAGGTGTGTTACCCAGACAGACAGGTGTGTTACCCAGACAGACAGGTGTTACCCTAAAAGACAGGTGTGTTACCCCTGATAGACAGATGTAACCCTAATAGACAGGTGTGTTACCCTAATAGACAGGTGTGTTACCCTAATAGACAGGTGTGTTACCCTAATAGACAGGTGTGTTACCCAGACAGACAGGTGTTACCCTAATAGATAGGTGTGTTACCCAGACAGACAGGTGTTACACTGATAGACAGGTGTGTTACCCAGACAGACAGGTGTGTTACCCAGACAGACAGGTGTTACCCTAATAGACAGGTGTGTTACCCTGATAGACAGATGTTACCCTAATAGACAGGTGTGTTACCCTAATAGACAGGTGTTACCCTAATAGACGGGTGTGTTACCCTAATAGACAGGGGTTACCCTGATAGACAGGTGTTACCCTAATAGACAGGTGTGTTACCCTAATAGACAGGTGTGTTACGCTAATAGACAGGTGTTACCCTGATAGACAGGTGTTACCCTAATAGACAGGTGTGTTACCCTAATAGACAGGTGTGTTACCCTAATAGACAGGTGTGTTACCCTAATAGACAGGTGTTACCCTAATAGACAGGGGTTACCCTAATAGACAGGGGTTACCCTAATAAACAGGTGTGTTACCCTGTTTTACCCTAATAGACAGGTGTTACCCTAATAGACAGGGGTTACCCTAATAGACAGGGGTTACCCTCATAGACAGGTGTGTTACCCTAATAGACAGGTGTTACCCTAATAGACAGGGGTTACCCTAATAGACAGGGGTTACCCTAATAGACAGGGGTTACCCTAATAAACAGGTGTGTTACCCTGTTTTACCCTAATAGACAGGGGTTACCCTAATAGACAGGGGTTACCCTAATAGACAGGTGGGTTACCCTAATAGACAGGGGTTACCCTAATAGACAGGTGTGTTACCCTAATAGACAGGGGTTACCCTAATAAACAGGTGTGTTACCCTGACGTCCTGGATGGAGACAACCATGCAGGTGATGGAGTCGGACTTGACCTTGATAAGAACGGATGTGACCTTCTCTGGAAACTTGTACAGGAAGTACTGGGGCTCCGAGGGAGAGACAGTCGTGTTCTTCATTTCACTATGTCTAAAACACAGAGGACAGTATGAAGTCTATGTACAGACAACATAAACAACAAGAGTTTGCCACTAACGTGGCTATATCCCCCACCCCAGTTGCAGAATTTATGACATAATTAAATCTAAACAAACCCTAACCTTTTTTAACCGAGGTGGAACTTGTCATGGAAATTGTGAAAAAGAGAAGAGTTTGGAACCTAAGTCAATCTTGCTGCCATGGAAACGTAAAAAAATAAAAATTTCTAAAATTTCTAAATAGCAAAAGGCACCAGTTCAGCATGTACCTGACAAACCTGCAAAGTTTCATGAAAAAATATTGAACGGTTTATATGAGTTATGCTCCGGAAATGAAACATGACAGACAGACGTACGGAGCCCGTTTCTATATCCCCGCCAACTTTGTTGGGCCGGGGATAATAAGGCTTCACAGCGGATGAGTGAGTGAGTCAGTCAGTGAGTGAGTTGGGTTTAACGCCGCTTTTAACAGTATTCCAGTTATATCAACTTAACGTGGGAGGAAAGCCAAAAGTGATGCAGGTCTCAGACGTTTACCACTTTGGTTAAATCCACGAGCACGGGTATGGTGCTAACAAACCTAGAAACATAACTGTGGCGGATCGGGATTGGAAGCCACAATCATAGGTTTCTGGCGTGCCCAAGGGACGCAACTCGACTTAGACGACTGGGCCACCCGTGACCCCTCACAGCGGATGATGTGAACATGAGGACAAACACATGATGTATTCTTGAGGCAAGTGACTTTGTTCGAAATGTGCCTCTGTACACCCAGCAGTTAATGGGTACCCGGTAGGATGAGATGGAAATGTTAACCTTCTAGCCCCTCAAAGGTGCACTGCATAGTACCCTCCCCTGGGGGCCAAGACCAGGGCACTGATCCATTGACTGGGTCAATAATGTAGCACTTTGAGCACGCTTTAGGCCGCGGATTTGGCACATAATAAATAGGCACATTATTATTATCAATAGATGGATGGGCTGAATCATGTGTCAGGGTTGTTCTTTCAGGGGGGGGGGGGGGGGGGGGGGGGGGCGGTCAGGTAGCCGAGTGGTTAAAGCGTTTGCTCGTCACGCCGAAGACCCGGGTTCGATTCCCGACATGGGTACAATGTCTGAAGCCCATTTCTGGTGTCCCTTGCCGTGATATTGCTGGAACATTGCTAAAAGCGGCGTAAAACCAAACTCACTCACTCACTCTTTCAGGGAAAGTTTGATTGGAGCACTGAACACAAAAACATCACGTCTCAGATACAGTAATCTGAACTAGGAGCGTAAGGATATAAGACTATTTCCATTCCAGACAACACATTGATGATCTTTTGACAAAGTTCTCTATTCAAAAACTGTAAGCTGAACAAAAGAAAATTCTAGAATGTCTAATAGATGGCAAAGCTTGTGTGCAAAACTTACTACCAGCTATGGAAAGTTTCATCCTATTCAACATTAATCTCACTGAAGTGAGAGATAGGCGATGATTGGGACGGAATCAGTCTTAACTGTAGCATCCAGCTCCAAGATGGGCAGAAGTCAGTAAACAATAAGCAGACGATTACCTCAGCTCAAAGATGGGCAGAAGTCAGTAAACAATAAGCAGACTATTCCCCCAGCTCAAAGATGGGCAGAAGTCAGTAAACAATAAGCAGACGATTACCTCAGCTCAAAGATGGGCAGAAGTCAGTAAACAATAAGCAGACTATTCCCCCAGCTCAAAGATGGGCAGAAGTCAGTAAACAATAAGCAGGCTATTCCCCCAGCTCAAAGATGGGCAGAAGTCAGTAAACAATAAGCAGACTATTCCCCCAGCTCAAAGATGGGCAGAAGTCAGTAAACAATAAGAAGACGATTACCTCAGCTCAAAGTTGGGCAGAAGTCAGTAAACAATAAGAAGACTATTCCCCCAGCTCAAAGTCGGGTAGAAGTCACTAAACGATAAGCAGACTATTCCCTCAGCTCAAAGTTGGGCTGAAGTCAGTAAACAATAAGCAGACTATTCCCTCAGCTCAAAGTCGGGCAGAAGTCAGTAAACAATAAGCAGACTATTCCCTCAGCTCAAAGTCGGGCAGAAGTCAGTAAACAATAAGCAGACTATTCCCTCAGCTCAAAGTCGGACAGAAGTCATAAACTGACTTGTGGGGGCTTCACCAGTAGATATGTAGCTATTGGTAGCAATAGTAATAGTAACTAGTTTCGCGCGGCTTGCGCTTATCAGACAGATTGCTTAGGGGCGTGTGCGTCCTTAAATACCTAAATATACCGGCGAGGTCGTTTATTCCATGATGTGTAAGCCTGTCATTGGTTGTTATGACGGATAAGCGGTGTGTTATAGTGACACGCCGTTAGTGGGTCGCCGGTGGTGTGGCGTAAAATGTAGTCGCCGGTATTGGCGATTAAAGTGTGCTCCCGCGAGTAGTGGTCGCCGGTGCTTGTATGTGGCTTTGTAACTGTATAAAGTGTTTATAGACCGGTGGGTCGCCGGTGTAAGTATGCTTGTGGTACCAAATTGATGTTTTGGTCGCCGGTGTTATTGCTGGGTAAATGAAGGTGGGCAGAAGTCAGTAAACAATAAGCAGACTATTCCTTCAGCTCAAAGTCGGGCAGAAGTCAGTAAACAATAAGCAGACTATTCCCCCAGCTCAAAGTCGGGTAGAAGTCAGTAAACAATAAGCAGACTATTCCCTCAGCTCAAAGTCGGGCAGAAGTCAGTAAACAATAAGCAGACTATTCCCTCAGCTCAAAGTCGGGCAGAAGTCAGTAAACAATAAGCAGACTATTCCCTCAGCTCAAAGTCGGGCAGAAGTCAGTAAACAATAAGAAGACTAATCCTTCAGCTCAAAGTCGGGCAGAAGTCAGTAAACTATAAGCAGACTATTCCCCCAGCTCAAAGTCGGGTAGAAGTCAGTAAACAACAAGAAGACTAATCCTTCAGCTCAAAGATGGGCAGAAGTCAGTAAACAATAAGCAGACTATTCCCTCAGCTCAAAGTTGGGCAGAAGTCAGTAAACAATAAGAAGACTATTCCCTCAGCTCAAAGTCGGGCAGAAGTCAGTAAACAATAAGAAGACTATTCCCCCAGCTCAAAGTCGGGCAGAAGTCAGTAAACAATAAGCAGACTATTCCTTCAGCTCAAAGTCGGGCAGAAGTCAGTAAACAATAAGAAGACTAATCCTTCAGCTCAAAGTCGGGCAGAAGTCAGTAAACAATAAGAAGACTAATCCTTCAGCTCAAAGTCAGCAGAAGTCAGTAAACTATAAGCAGACTATTCCCCCAGCTCAAAGTCGGGTAGAAGTCAGTAAACAATAAGAAGACTATTCCTTCAGCTCAAAGTCGGGCAGAAGTCAGTAAACAATAAGAAGACTATTCCCCCTGCTTAAAGTCGGGTAGAAGTCAGTAAACAATAAGAAGGCTATTCCCCCAGCTCAAAGTCGGGCAGAAGTCAGTAAACTATAAGCAGACTATTCCCCCAGCTCAAAGTCGGGTAGAAGTCAGTAAACAACAAGAAGACTAATCCTTCAGCTCAAAGATGGGCAGAAGTCATAAACTGACTTGTGGGGGCTTCACCAGTAGATATGTAGCTATTGGTAGCAATAGTAATAGTAACTAGTTTCGCGCGGCTTGCGCTTATCAGACAGATTGCTTAGGGGCGTGTGCGTCCTTAAATACCTAAATATACCGGCGAGGTCGTTTATTCCATGATGTGTAAGCCTGTCATTGGTTGTTATGACGGATAAGCGGTGTGTTATAGTGACACGCCGTTAGTGGGTCGCCGGTGGTGTGGCGTAAAATGTAGTCGCCGGTATTGGCGATTAAAGTGTGCTCCCGCGAGTAGTGGTCGCCGGTGCTTGTATGTGGCTTTGTAACTGTATAAAGTGTTTATAGACCGGTGGGTCGCCGGTGTAAGTATGCTTGTGGTACCAAATTGATGTTTTGGTCGCCGGTGTTATTGCTGGGTGAATGAAGGTGGGCAGAAGTCAGTAAACAATAAGCAGACTATTCCCCCAGCTCAAAGTCGGGCAGAAGTCAGTAAACAATAAGCAGACTATTCCCTCAGCTCAAAGTCGGGCAGAAGTCAGTAAACAATAAGCAGACTATTCCCTCAGCTCAAAGTCGGGCAGAAGTCAGTAAACAATAAGAAGACTAATCCTTCAGCTCAAAGTCGGGCAGAAGTCAGTAAACTATAAGCAGACTATTCCCCCAGCTCAAAGTCGGGTAGAAGTCAGTAAACAACAAGAAGACTAATCCTTCAGCTCAAAGATGGGCAGAAGTCAGTAAACAATAAGCAGACTATTCCCTCAGCTCAAAGTTGGGCAGAAGTCAGTAAACAATAAGAAGACTATTCCCTCAGCTCAAAGTCGGGCAGAAGTCAGTAAACAATAAGAAGACTATTCCCCCAGCTCAAAGTCGGGCAGAAGTCAGTAAACAATAAGCAGACTATTCCCTCAGCTCAAAGTCGGGCAGAAGTCAGTAAACAATAAGCAGGCTATTCCCCCAGCTCAAAGTCGGGCAGAAGTCAGTAAACAATAAGAAGACTAATCCTTCAGCTCAAAGTCGGGCAGAAGTCAGTAAACAATAAGAAGACTAATCCTTCAGCTCAAAGTCAGCAGAAGTCAGTAAACTATAAGCAGACTATTCCCCCAGCTCAAAGTCGGGTAGAAGTCAGTAAACAATAAGAAGACTATTCCTTCAGCTCAAAGTCGGGCAGAAGTCAGTAAACAATAAGAAGACTATTCCCCCTGCTTAAAGTCGGGTAGAAGTCAGTAAACAATAAGAAGGCTATTCCCCCAGCTCAAAGATGGGCAGAAGTCAGTAAACTATAAGCAGACTATTCCCCCAGCTCAAAGTCGGGTAGAAGTCAGTAAACAACAAGAAGACTAATCCTTCAGCTCAAAGATGGGCAGAAGTCAGTAAACAATAAGAAGACTAATCCTTCAGCTCAAAGTCGGGCAGAAGTCAGTAAACAATAAGAAGACTAATCCTTCAGCTCAAAGTCAGCAGAAGTCAGTAAACTATAAGCAGACTATTCCCCCAGCTCAAAGTCGGGTAGAAGTCAGTTAACAATAAGAAGACTATTCCTTCAGCTCAAAGTCGGGCAGAAGTCAGTAAACAATAAGAAGACTATTCCCCCTGCTTAAAGTCGGGTAGAAGTCAGTAAACAATAAGAAGGCTATTCCCCCAGCTCAAAGTCGGGCAGAAGTCAGTAAACTATAAGCAGACTATTCCCCCAGCTCAAAGTCGGGTAGAAGTCAGTAAACAACAAGAAGACTAATCCTTCAGCTCAAAGATGGGCAGAAGTCATAAACTGACTTGTGGGGGCTTCACCAGTAGATATGTAGCTATTGGTAGCAATAGTAATAGTAACTAGTTTCGTGCGGCTTGCGCTTATCAGACAGATTGCTTAGGGGCGTGTGCGTCCTTAAATACCTAAATATACCGGCGAGGTCGTTTATTCCATGATGTGTAAGCCTGTCATTGGTTGTTATGACGGATAAGCGGTGTGTTATAGTGACACGCCGTTAGTGGGTCGCCGGTGGTGTGGCGTAAAATGTAGTCGCCGGTATTGGCGATTAAAGTGTGCTCCCGCGAGTAGTGGTCGCCGGTGCTTGTATGTGGCTTTGTAACTGTATAAAGTGTTTATAGACCGGTGGGTCGCCGGTGTAAGTATGCTTGTGGTACCAAATTGATGTTTTGGTCGCCGGTGTTATTGCTGGGTAAATGAAGGTGGGCAGAAGTCAGTAAACAATAAGCAGACTATTCCTTCAGCTCAAAGTCGGGCAGAAGTCAGTAAACAATAAGCAGACTATTCCCCCAGCTCAAAGTCGGGTAGAAGTCAGTAAACAATAAGCAGACTATTCCCCCAGCTCAAAGTCGGGCAGAAGTCAGTAAACAATAAGCAGACTATTCCCTCAGCTCAAAGTCGGGCAGAAGTCAGTAAACAATAAGCAGACTATTCCCTCAGCTCAAAGTCGGGCAGAAGTCAGTAAACAATAAGAAGACTAATCCTTCAGCTCAAAGTCGGGCAGAAGTCAGTAAACTATAAGCAGACTGTTCCCCCAGCTCAAAGTCGGGTAGAAGTCAGTAAACAACAAGAAGACTAATCCTTCAGCTCAAAGATGGGCAGAAGTCAGTAAACAATAAGCAGACTATTCCCTCAGCTCAAAGTTGGGCAGAAGTCAGTAAACAATAAGAAGACTATTCCCTCAGCTCAAAGTCGGGCAGAAGTCAGTAAACAATAAGAAGACTATTCCCCCAGCTCAAAGTCGGGTAGAAGTCAGTAAACAATAAGCAGACTATTCCTTCAGCTCAAAGTCGGGCAGAAGTCAGTAAACAATAAGAAGACTAATCCTTCAGCTCAAAGTCGGGCAGAAGTCAGTAAACAATAAGAAGACTAATCCTTCAGCTCAAAGTCAGCAGAAGTCAGTAAACTATAAGCAGACTATTCCCCCAGCTCAAAGTCGGGTAGAAGTCAGTAAACAATAAGAAGACTATTCCCTCAGCTCAAAGTCGGGCAGAAGTCAGTAAACAATAAGAAGACTATTCCCCCTGCTTAAAGTCGGGTAGAAGTCAGTAAACAATAAGAAGGCTATTCCCCCAGCTCAAAGTCGGGCAGAAGTCAGTAAACTATAAGCAGACTATTCCCCCAGCTCAAAGTCGGGTAGAAGTCAGTAAACAACAAGAAGACTAATCCTTCAGCTCAAAGATGGGCAGAAGTCATAAACTGACTTGTGGGGGCTTCACCAGTAGATATGTAGCTATTGGTAGCAATAGTAATAGTAACTAGTTTCGCGCGGCTTGCGCTTATCAGACAGATTGCTTAGGGGCGTGTGCGTCCTTAAATACCTAAATATACCGGCGAGGTCGTTTATTCCATGATGTGTAAGCCTGTCATTGGTTGTTATGACGGATAAGCGGTGTGTTATAGTGACACGCCGTTAATGGGTCGCCGGTGGTGTGGCGTAAAATGTAGTCGCCGGTATTGGCGATTAAAGTGTGCTCCCGCGAGTAGTGGTCGCCGGTGCTTGTATGTGGCTTTGTAACTGTATAAAGTGTTTATAGACCGGTGGGTCGCCGGTGTAAGTATGCTTGTGGTACCAAATTGATGTTTTGGTCGCCAGTGTTATTGCTGGGTAAATGAAGGTGGGCAGAAGTCAGTAAACAATAAGCAGACTATTCCTTCAGCTCAAAGTCGGGCAGAAGTCAGTAAACAATAAGCAGACTATTCCCCCAGCTCAAAGTCGGGCAGAAGTCAGTAAACAATAAGCAGACTATTCCCCCAGCTCAAAGTCGGGCAGAAGTCAGTAAACAATAAGCAGACTATTACCTCAGCTCAAAGTCGGGCAGAAGTCAGTAAACAATAAGAAGACTAATCCTTCAGCTCAAAGTCGGGCAGAAGTCAGTAAACAATAAGAAGACTAATCCTTCAGCTCAAAGTCGGGCAGAAGTCAGTAAACAATAAGAAGACTATTCCCTCAGCTCAAAGTCGGGCAGAAGTCAGTAAACAATAAGCAGACTATTCCCTCAGCTCAAAGTCGGGCAGAAGTCAGTAAACAATAAGAAGACTAATCCTTCAGCTCAAAGTCGGGCAGAAGTCAGTAAACTATAAGCAGACTATTCCCCCAGCTCAAAGTCGGGTAGAAGTCAGTAAACAACAAGAAGACTAATCCTTCAGCTCAAAGATGGGCAGAAGTCAGTAAACAATAAGCAGACTATTCCCTCAGCTCAAAGTTGGGCAGAAGTCAGTAAACAATAAGAAGACTATTCCCTCAGCTCAAAGTCGGGCAGAAGTCAGTAAACAATAAGAAGACTATTCCCCCAGCTCAAAGTCGGGCAGAAGTCAGTAAACAATAAGCAGACTATTCCTTCAGCTCAAAGTCGGGCAGAAGTCAGTAAACAATAAGAAGACTAATCCTTCAGCTCAAAGTCGGGCAGAAGTCAGTAAACAATAAGAAGACTAATCCTTCAGCTCAAAGTCAGCAGAAGTCAGTAAACTATAAGCAGACTATTCCCCCAGCTCAAAGTCGGGTAGAAGTCAGTAAACAATAAGAAGACTATTCCTTCAGCTCAAAGTCGGGCAGAAGTCAGTAAACAATAAGAAGACTATTCCCCCTGCTTAAAGTCGGGTAGAAGTCAGTAAACAATAAGAAGACTAATCCTTCAGCTCAAAGTCAGCAGAAGTCAGTAAACTATAAGCAGACTATTCCCCCAGCTCAAAGTCGGGTAGAAGCCAGTAAACAATAAGTAGACGATTACCTCAGCTCAAAGTCGGGTAGACGCTCAGCAGAAAATGTGAAGGGGGTGGCGTTGACAGCCATGGAGGATACTTCCACAAAGATTTGCTGTTGAGGGTCCTCCTCTGTATCTGAACCCGAGAGATGGAAGATGGGGCACAGGGTGCGGCTCACGGAGGAGTAGGCATAGCTGAAACAACAACATGGCCGTGACTGCAGGCTTCTATATCAAATCATTTCCTGGGACACTGACTGATGACTTGTGATGCAAAATGTTTCTAAAATGGTCATCAGTGTTGGAAATTAAGGGGAGGTTCTGGGGTCCTTGAGGTCTCCTGCTATTGTATTTTAATCTAGGGACCACATATATCTTTCTCTATTAACGGGGGCACGGGTGGCCCAGTCGTCTAAGGCGCCGCGATTTGCTGTGCAGAGTTGCGTCCTTTGGGCACGCCAGAAACCTATGTTTGTGGGTTCGAATCCCAGTTCGCCCCGATTATGTTTCTAGGTTTGTCAGCACCATACCCGTGCTCGTGGGTTTCACCGAAGTGGTAAACGTCTGAGACCTGCATCACTTCGGGCTTTCCTCCCACATTAAGCTGACACGCCGCGATATAACTGGAATACTGTTAAAAGCGGCGTTAAACCCAACTCACTCACTCACTCCTCTATTAACATTAGATTCAAATGGTATCGAACAATGCTTGGAGTAGAAAAATCACAAAGATGTACGGCAGCCAATGTATGTATCTTGAAATTTCAACATAGCATCATCAAATTTCAACTTACTATCTTTAAAATTTCAAGAAAAAAACGAAAAAAACAAATGACCCTAAAAGACTTCCGTAAAGATGTCCACGTCTCTCCAACAAATTCTCTGTATTGGTATTTCAACTGGCGTTTGTTTATTAATGTTTGTTGGGTAATGCCACATTTAGAAATATTCCAGCCATATGACGACGGCCTGTAAATAATCAAGCATTGACCAGACTGACCAGTAACTGACATTGTACGCAACGATCCACGCCGTCGGGTACGATGAAACGTCACAGAGCTCCAGATAAGCTGCGTACATGCGTAAAATATATAAAAAATGCAGGAATACGTAGTAAAATAAAATCCAAGCGTATCAAATATGCAACGAACATTACAGATACGCTACAAAAATAAAACTTGTGCGTATCATCAAAATATTGTGAAGTAACCCTGCATATTCGATTAGCAAATCAGCAACTTATGCTGAAATTATAGACGCATTCCGTCAACCTTGCCAAACTCCACGATGACAGTTACATCATGATCATTTGCCATCACACTTTCTTGTGGAAGCATCGTGGTATTTTTGAGTCCTATAAAGCTCTCGAACCCACACCACACCAGTTTGCAGGGGCTAGATGAATAGTGTTTTTAAATATTTAAGTTAAATACCCACATGTGTAAAAACTAGTGGGTAACAGAAATTTGAATACCCAGATAGAATTACTGATACCCAATGATTTTAAAATGTATGGGTAAAATACCCACAACACCAAAAGCTTATCTGGAGCTCTGCGTCATCAACCAAGTCATCAAGTCTGACCACACGATGCACCAGGTCACCTCTCAAACACTTGTCACAAGGAAACAGAAAGTAGGGAAGTTGGGGCACAAGATAGAAACACCACTGTCTGACATCTGGTGAGTGAGTGAGTGAGTGAGTGAGTGAGTGAGTGAGTGAGTGAGTGAGTGAGTGAGTGAGTGAGTGAGTGAGTGAGTGAGTGAGTGAGTGAGTGAGTGAGTGAGTGAGTGAGTGAGTGAGTGAGTGAGTGAGTGAGTGAGTGAGTGAGTGAGTGAGTGAGTGAGTGAGTGAGTGAGTGAGTGAGTGAGTGAGTGAGTGAGTGAGTGAGTGAGTGAGTGAGTGAGTGAGTGAGTGAGTGAGTGAGTGAGTGAGTGAGTGAGTGAGTGAGTGAGTGAGTGAGTGAGTGAGTGAGTGAGTGAGTGAGTGAGTGAGTGAGTGAGTGAGTGAGTGAGTGAGTGAGTGAGTGAGTGAGTGAGTGAGTGAGTGAGTGAGTGAGTGAGTGAGTGAGTGAGTGAGTGAGTGAGTGAGTGAGTGAGTGAGTGAGTGAGTGAGTGAGTGAGTGAGTGAGTGAGTGAGTGAGTGAGTGAGTGAGTGAGTGAGTGAGTGAGTGAGTGAGTGAGTGAGTGAGTGAGTGAGTGAGTGAGTGAGTGAGTGAGTGAGTGAGTGAGTGAGTGAGTGAGTGAGTGAGTGAGTGAGTGAGTGAGTGAGTGAGTGAGTGAGTGAGTGAGTGAGTGAGTGAGTGAGTGAGTGAGTGAGTGATACGTATCGTATCTCGACCCTCCCGTATCGTTACACCTCTACTGACAGACAGAGCACACTCTCAGACATAAATCCCCAAACTCTCCCCACCATCTGGGTTGATGCCAAGGAAACGCTTCCAACATCACCCTTCCAAACCAACATGCCGAGAGATGCTCAATATTTGACAAAGGTGAGTGAGTGAGTGCGTCGGGTTTAACGCCGCTTTTAACAGTATTCCAGTTATATCGCGGCGTATCAGCTTAATGTGGGAGGAAAGCCCAAAGTGATCCAGGTCTCAGACGTTTACCACTTTGATTAATCGCACGAGCACGGGTATGGTGCTGACAGACCCAGAAACATAATCGGGGCGAACCAGGATTCGAACCCACAATCATAGGTTTCTGGCGTGCCAAAGGGACTCAATTCTGTACAGCGATTTGCAGTACCTTAGACAAGTGGGCCAACGATGCCCCTGAACAAGGGTAGAATGCTGGAGTTTGTTTGTTTGTTGTTTAACGCCGCACACAGCAATATTCCAGCTTTATGACGGCAGTCTGTAAATAATTGAGTCTGGACCAGACAATCCAGTGATTGATTTCATGAGCATCGATCCACGCAATTGGGATCGATGACATGCTTCAACCAAGTTACTCGCCTCTTACGACAAGCATAGTCGCCTTTTACGGCAAGCATGGGTTGCTGAAGACCTTTTCTACCCCAGAACTTTGCGGAGGCTGGAGTATTACATGTAGTTGATTTGAGTGAGTGAGTTGGGTTTAAAAGTATTCCAGTTATATTACTGCGTGTCAGCTTAATGTGGGAGGAAAGACCGAAGTGATGCAGGTCTCAGACGTTTACCACTTCAGTGAAACCCACGAGCACAGATATGGTGCTGACAAACCTAGAATCATAATCGGGCCGAACTGGGATTCGAACCCAAGACCATAGGTTTCTGGCGTGTCCACGGGATGCAACTCTGCACAGCGAATCACAGCGCCTTACACAAATGGACTAACAATGCCCCTGCACAAGGGTAGAATGCTGGAGTATTACATGTAGTCGATGAAGAGCGGCACAGCCCATGACATGATCCCCTGTCTCTGTCGTACAACCACCATCACGGGGGAGGAGCTTGTGCTGTTGATGCTGCTGACCGACACACGGACAGCAGTCGTCTGAAACAGATGAAGGAACAGGTAACACAAGTGGCTGCAGACAGTACAAATATTTCCAGCTTCGAAAGTTCCTAAATATATTAAAGTTCTAACAGTAAAAATTAAATTAAAATCATCATGGAGTGCTTCAAATAAGCTGCTGGTCTGTTGAGAGTACAATCAGAGATCACAGAAATCACAGATCAGGTGAGGGTAGGGTGAAATGAGGTTTAATGTCACGTCCAAGATTATTGACTTACCGGTATATATATAGTGTGTGAGTGGGTGTGGGTGCGTATGTGTGTGGTTGCTTGTACTAGTCCGGCGCATTGACTTGGTTGATGCATAAGATCGTATTCCAATTGCGTGGATCGAGGCTCATTATGTCAATCACTGGATTGCCTGGTCAAGACTCGATTATTTACAGACCGCCGCCATATAGCTGGAATATTGCTGAGTGTGGCACTAAACAACAAATAAACAAACAATCACCTATCAGCGCCAATCATCTGTTGACTTCCCTTGTTGTTTTCACCTTTTGTTATCTTATTACTTTTGTTGTTCTGAAGAAGGAGTAAGCATATACCGTATACGACGTAATAAGCGCCCCGCTCTAATAAGTGCCAACAGCAATATATTCTAAGATATTTGCAAGTGATTAATCCCAATTAGCGCTCCTTCCGATTGATCAATGTACACAAGAATTATTTATTTGCGTATAAGATGCACTCGTGTGTTATATGCACCCTTAATTATGGGGAATGAAATTCTGGAAAAATATGTCTGTCGTACATCATGTGTACATAAACATTTCAGACTGTCAGCATAAACCACAAAATTTATCTTTCAACTTTTTCACCAAAATAATATTCTAATAATAGCCCCCCATTTCTAATTTTGAGAGGGCCCAGGGCACTTATTACATCTAATACAGTACGTACATTAGTCGCGCCGAGTAAAGGCCAGGCCTGGTGATCAATTTGACAAGGGAAAAAACTACATCATATCGTGGTATAGGGACAAATTGTGTATGGAGGTCCAAATTTGAGAAAAACAGGACATAATTCTACCTACCACTATGTATGATGATGCCAGACTTCAGTGATTTGTCCGGACAAGTGCAAAGACAGCACAAATAAAATTCTGAATGTGTTATAAGTAATAGGTATTCAATGCATACTTACTGAAAAGTAAGAAAAAAATATTTTAAAATATCAACAGCAAAATATCAGAAAATATGTTTTAAGATTTTTGTTTAAAAAAAATGGATGAAAATAATTTGTAAAAAAATGTTAAAAAATGTTAAAAGTTAACAATAAATATATAAAAAGCACACCTAGCATGCCAAAAGTATGTATTTATCATTTGGCTTCTATTGAAGAATGTAATTTCTAAGTATGGCATTATGGCCCTTATGATCTGGGTTATAGCTAAAACGGCACCTCAGCAAAACGGCACCTGGTGAAAACGGCTACTATTGCCTGGCGAAATCGGCACCTTCCTTTTTTATACCTTGGTAAAATAAATGAAACTAAACTTACATGGTCACTTGCAAACACCAATTATTGTGAAAATAAATCATACATACAACTACATAAATCGTTCTTAGCGTTATACTTATTGAAAATAGAGGTGCCGTTTTCGCCCGTCACATAGTAGCCGTTTTCGCCAGAGAAATCGGTGCTGTTTTAGCCGTCACCCTATGATCTCCTACTAGATACTTGCCACACAGAGGAAGAAATGTGCAGACTACGTGACTTCCGTTAATTTATTAGTCTAATGTGTCTATGCAGACGCTACAGTTCAGGTCAATAGAGAAAGTTTACTGAAACTGAGGGTTTATCGTTGTCCACTGATAGATACTAGGGGTAAGGTAATATTAAAAAGATGCCAGCAGTAAGTATCAACGCATTAATAAAGCAGACGAAACATTAAGAGGAAATTGAAATTGTTTACAAAGCGAGCACTTCCTGGTTCGATTTGCCCTAATAGCCAGCCAGAAATCACAAATGCCATGATACAATGAATGCTGGGGTACCACAGGGTTCGAGTATACTTTGTTTACCCAACTTGGTAAAGAAAATCAGAATAGTTAATCCTAATCGATGTGTCATAAAAGCTGAATAAAGAACAGGAAACATTTTGCCAATGTAAGCATTCGCAATTACAAACCATTATAAATTAACTACCGCAACAACATAGCGTATCATGGTAAGTTGTCTTACGAGTAGGCGGTGTTTATAGCATTATACCCTGTGATAACTATTCACCTCATCCCGGATGTAAATGTGCTACGGAGGCTGCTCCTACCTGATTGGGACGGTCGGGTAGCCTAGTGGTTAAAGCGTTCACTCGTCACGCCGAAGACCCGGGTTCGATTCCCGACATGGGTACAATGTGTGAAGCCCATTTCTGGTGTCCCCCGCCGTGATATTGCTGAAATATTGCTAAAAGCGGCGTAAAATCAAACTCACTCACTCACTCTTACCTGATTGAGCCCTTCAGTCACATTGAAGTTGTAAACAAACAATATCTGAGACTTCAAGTCGACGATTTCTTTGTAAGTCGTTCCAAACTCAGCGTCAACAACAAGCGTTTGAAAATCATTCTTCAGGTCTCCGTGAGGACTGACAACAGAGCCGACACGGCCATAGTCTGTATCTTCATCGAGGTGGTCGTTTGCCTTCCTCCCTTGGGAAGCTATGCCGCTGATGAAAATTAGATATAAGACTCCAAAAACTGAACCAACCATGGCCTCCGATACATTTAAACAAGCACCGTCGCTCCTTGTTGGAAATGTGATGATGTATAATCACGTGCAGTGGAAAGGTGGGAGCTCAACGATTTCTACTCTCAACTTGTTATTGGCGGAAGTAGGAAGTAAATTGAAACGACGCATGCGTAATGGGCACATATTTTCATATACCCTAGCTAAAACCAGCCCATGTACAAATTGGAATTTCAAAAATGATTGGAACAAGTTCGTATTTTTTTAACTATTCAGAGCGGCTACATTTCGTGAATTTATTATTGTGTGAGTAGCAAGTACAACGTGTTAAACCGACATACAGACGAAACCATTTTGTCTAAAGCGCAAAGGCTGCAAAAATAAAATAAAAATAAAACATCCAAAAAACAACACAACCATGAATGGGATCGATTCTCTCAATATCAATCACTGTCTCGTCCATACTTGATTATTTACAGACCCAGTCATATAAACTGTTTGATAGGCATTTCTAAGAAGTTTGCGGATGAAAAAGTAGACAAAGTTTATGAATAATAACTTCTTTATTATACTGATATAGCGACGTATCGGTATAGATACTTGTACCGGTACAATGAACGAGTAAGTGAGTATTGTTTTACGCCGCTTTGAGCAATATTCCAGCAATATCAAGGACACCAGACTTCACACAATGTACCCATGTGGGTCTTCATGTGGAAACTAGAGCATGGAGCATCGCCTCCCTTTAAAATAATGATGACATAATAATAATTCCTTTATTTATTTACAAAGGAAATTAACTAAAACTTAAAACCACAGACCACACGCTGAAACAATACATGATGGATTTATTATCACTTCGATCATCATATATAATATGGTATATCATTATTAGTGTTTATTAGTGTTTATGAATAATTTTTGGTTTTATTTACCGTTTAGGGTCAGAGATCTTTCACCATTTTGCAATATACAGTTTTATCCGGCTACCATGTTACGACCGGGGAGTGTTCATTTCAGGCCGTTTCATTTCATCTGTAAGAGATTAGACAGTTTCGATGTTGAATCTTCAGAGTATTTGTGCTGGAAAATATATTCCTATTTAATGCCATAGCTCTTTTGTTTTGATAATCTGTGCTAATTTGTTGTTCGTTCCTAGTTCTTTATTATTTTTAGACACAACTAATTTTATTCGCAACAACTGTGCACTCGGGAAATATCGGATATTTACGACATTGCCCTCGGTTATCCGATTCAAGAGAGGACAGGAAGGCTGTGTAAAGCGATTTTTCGGAAACCCCTGCTTCGGCAAGCTACGGAAAGATGTCAGAAAGGAGAACGATTCTCGAAGAGTTATCTAACTTGGATCCAGATGCTGTCCTGACGCTGGAGAAAGAGGAGAATTTGGCTAGTTATTTGTAGAACGGATAGCTATCTACTACAGTCCCTAACGAAAACATGCGAAGGATAACCTAAACAGACAACATTTTGACAGAGATAGACCCACAGCATGTTTCGTTCACAGTAAACACGAACAGATGGGTCATTTCAAAATGAATTGAATTGTGTTTCGTGCTTACGAATAATTTTGTTTTCGAAACGTTTGAATCAACAAGGTGAGTAGGCCTTACTTATTTTTAGACTTTTTTTATGTTGTTGTTTTAAAATGTTTGTGGTTACATTTCTCTTTTTGTGCTATTGAATCCTAAACTTGTCACATGAACCGGTTGGCTAGAGGTTGGCATGTTGTCATTCACAGGACCATGTAACTAATAATAATAACAAACACGCAGACGAGTTCCTGCTTTTGATTGGGAATATTACTGATATTAATGGACATCGCCTAGACACAATTTACAGTGAATTCTTGGAAAAAGCACAAGCTAATTCGTAGACAATTTAGAATTGAATTATAACAATATATTAAGAATTGACTGTCACTTTGTCAGGGTTAGAAATTGGCACTAGTCCTATAGTCCTTGACAAAGTGCCCAATAGTAAAGGTATCCTAAGGACTAGTAGAATTTTGCCATTTTTAAAGGTTTTGCTATATGCTATCATTATAAGGACTAGTAGACTGAAACTGTTAGTTTCTACCGCTGTTTGTGTGAGTTCACTTGAGGATTGAAGTTGTATTTGTTGACATTCATCAGCTGATGAAGACAGTGTCTCACGTGAGCAAATTCAATGATGCACGAACAATCTCCTGATTCATACAGTTTGCACATCGGTTTTTCGATTCATACCTCAATGAACCGAAAAAAAATCCATAGTCAATTCTTAAATGAACCTTCACAGAGTGAGGTCCAAACTGTATGAATGTCGGAGCTTGAGACCTAGTATTTCATCAGAAGGAGAGCTGACATGAATGTATGTTTGCAAACATTGTTCTGCAGTGACTTCTGTGTTTGTTTGTTTAGGACAAATATGTTCAAATAATGAAAATATCATTGTAACATGAGATAGGTCTGTTAAGAATTACCTCAGTAAATCACTCACAATGACAGCACGTCGTCATGCATTTACATCATGTTGTAGACGTCAAAATGTCCACCACGATAAACGTGACGGGAGAGATTTCTGAAGTTGTAAATGAGCCCGTGGCAATTTGTTTGTCATCATTGATGAGTTGGTCGATCATTTGAAAGGTGATTGTAGAGATGTGTCAAATAGATACAGTCAAGTCTCGTTAATTCGACACTCGTTAATCCGACAATCGGCTTTATCCGACACTAATGATGGGAACCGATTAAATCAGTGCTATTTAGTCCCGTTAATCGGACAGTCTCGCACTCCGACACACATAATTTGCAACGAATTACCAAAATCACTCATTAATCAGTCTCGTTAATCCGACACAGTGATCAGCGTACTCCGTGGTCATCTGCCCGCAAGTACACAGCCCCATGTTTTGATGTGAGACGAGTCGGCGAGTAGCTGCATATTTCAACGGCTGCAGAGATAAATTTGCTTAACAATAAACAATTACTGCTTTAATTAAACAAAACAGGATTAATCCCATGCCTTGATTACCTCAACCTCATTAAACCGGATACAAGTTCTCGCTACCACTGAGGACATCCCATTACAGATCACGTCAGATCAACCTTTCGCAAACTTTGACCGACCAATGAAATTACAAACAGGAAGTCAACATTAGCCACTAAGAAAGCAGCTTTCTTAAGCATTGCGGCACTAGTTTCAAATTGATGACTTCCATTCCATATGCTTTAAAAAGTATGTTGAATCAGTCAAACATTAGAAACATATGATTAGAGAACATATACCGCTAACAATGTAACATAAAAATATGAATATTGCCTTTTCCCTCTTTATTTATTATAACGTATTTGAATCGTTGTCTATCGTGTCGTTGTCCGATTTTCGATCACGAACGTTGATACTACCTAATTTTGTTTATCCGACATACTCATTAATCCGACATAATCATATGCAACCAACAGTGTCGGATTAACGGGACTTGACTGTACTAAGGTAAATTCATAGATGCTGCAGACTGTCACTGTCAGTCAAGACACAGATGGAGTCTATACTACAATAGTACATCTTCCCGAGGCAAGGGAGTTAACTGACTATAAAAGTCCAGTTTCCACCCTTGCCGAACTAGGCTGGTATTATGGAGTTAGATTTTGGCTGGACTAATGAGTCTATGCATAGTCCAATCAAAATCGCGCACCGAAATCGAAATCCGGTTCGTAGAGTGTCATGCAGATTTCGGTCGACTGCAGGATTTACAAAGCATGTGCACCGCTAACTTGTTGTCAACAGATATTTTCTAAATCTTTTCATGTTTTTAATCTAGGTGCTGACGTGATTTGATGCACTTCGCGATGTAAGACTCGTTTTATCACAATATAGATCTTGATTATCGATCAGATAGTCTTGACTGGGCGCCGCCGTTTTGTTTGAAACAAATGCAAGTGATACGAGAGGTTGAATCTGATTGGTCAATAGGAGAGGCTTAGAAAGGACATAACTCGTAATAGCCACTGGTGGCACTGCGATTGAGCCCAGGAATTCCAGCCTAGTATGGCAAGGTTGGAAACTGGACTTATAAACTCAGTTAACTCTCTTGCCTCGGGAAGATGCAATAGTATGGCTGTGCATTTCTTTGTTTGGTAACTAGGATTGGTTGTAGCGAGGATGATTATTGAATGGGCATGGAGTTAAACATGTTAAACTCTCTGACTTATCCTATGTATGCTCTTGCTGACTTGGTTGATGCATGTCATAGGTCCCAATTGCGTGGATCGATGCTCATGATATTAATCACTGGATTGTATGATCCAGACTCGATAATTTACAGACTGCCGTCGTACAGCTGGAATATTGCTGAGTGTGGTAAACAACAAACCAACCAACCATGTATGCTAAAATGCTAAGTTCAAGATAAAGGATCGAAATCATCAGAAACAACGCTTCCATATTTATTCATGCTTGGGAATTCCCAGGGGTTTCCCCGGGAATGTGGAAGTACTCCATCAGCGTTTACATCATTTCAATAATACAGACTCAGGACCAACATATGAATGTGAGAATGTGTCGTTCATACAGTTGTAAACTTCAGTTTCGCAGTCATGTGACCAACCTTTCGTCCAATGGAAAAAGCATGTAAACTTCACATTAAATAAATACCGTATTCGATGTAATAAGCGCCCAGGGCGCTCTAAAAATAAGAAATAGGGGGCTCTTGTTGGAATATTATTTTAGTGAAAAAAAACAGAGTTAAAAGATATATATCGTGGTTTATGCTGACAGCCTGAAATGTTATGTACGACAGACATATTTTTCCAGAATTTAATTGCCCATAATAAAGTATGCACATAACACGTGAGTGCGTATTATGTGCAAATAAATAAGTCTTGTGTTCATTGATTAATTGGAAGGGGTGCTAATTGGGATTGTTCACTAGCCAATATATTAGCAAATATCGCCGTGGGCGCTTATTAGAGCGGGACGCTTATTACGTCAAATACAGTATTTGTTGATGGCTCTTCAGATCAACAAGATCATGTGAAGCATGCATTTGGGACTATTGTTTATTTTCCCCATGGGATGTTTTGGTACAGGATATGAAAAAAACATTTGTTTACAAGTTTTGAGCTGGAAGGGAATATAGCACTGTGAGGAGATGTGACTCTGAAGGTTGCAAAAGTTTAAGGGGCCAGTACGTTGACCGTTCTGAAGCATTGTTTGCAAACATTGACCGATAACCCCAGAGCCTACTTGGCTCTGCTGGCCTTATTCAGCATGTTCAGTGAGAGAAGTTTCTGCTCCAGTGACCACTAGGGCTGCAACGAATACGATTCGAATCACGAATATAGGGTAACGAATACGAATAGCAATTCACAAATACAATAACAAGTGAGCAGTTGATGTATTATTTGTTGTAATCAGTGAAACAATAACATAAATTATTTGACATGGTTTGTTAATTATTAATATATTATACATTTATATACTGCACTTATCCAGGAACTAGTATCTGCACAAATGCGACAATGACCAGTGACCACAATACTGTCAAATTAAATATTATGAGAGTGTTGTCTTTGAAGACATCTATGCATATAATATGTACTTATGGATATTTTTAGGTACAGGGTATGTAAATGCACAGGACTGCATATTCATAAATATTTGATTCTAGTGGCCACGAATAACGAATTCAATTCATGAATGGATACGGTTCAATTCACCGAATACGAGAGTGAATCGTAACAGCCCTAGTAACCACCACTGGAGTAGGCTCTTTAGCAGGTCAGGAAGCGATTCTTTAAGGGGAATAACCCTGCCTTGTATCTACAAGGAGATTGGTTCATACTGAGGAATGTATTTTGTTATCTAAACTTGGATAATCACTGGCCTCTGATCTCATCAAGCTGATAATTCAGGAATTTATCTACACCTGCTCAAAGTCCACAGCAAATGTTATTAAAAATTTCCAATTCATATTTTGTACAGTGTATTATTGTGTACTACTATCTACTAGCTAATCTTATGGCTTTTGTAGAAGTAACCTTTACTACCTACCCATGTGGTGAAGATGCAGGTGGTAAGCAGAGCTCCAGATAACTTTTTGACCAATTGAGTTTTTACTCTAGGGTTTCGATTTTATTTGGGTTATTACATTTTTGTCCCCCGCCATAACGAAGTTGGCCATAACGAAGTTGGCCATAACGAAGTTGGCGGGGGATAGAGAAATGGGTTCCGTCCGTGTGTGTGTGCATGGTGTGTGTGTGTGTGTGTGTGCGTGTGTGGGTGTGTGCGTCTTGAAATTGTTTCCGGAGCATAACTCAGGAACCGTTAAATATTTCTCTACGAAACTTTGCATGTCTATGAGACTCATGCTGAACTGGTGCCTTTTGCTATTTAGGAATTTTATAAATTTTTATTTTTACGTTTCCATGGCAACAAGTTGGACTTAGGTTCTATAAGGGTGCGGTTCGTTTCCGGAGCGTAACTCAAAAACCGTTAAATACTTTCTAACAAAAACTGTGCATGTTTACCAGACACATACTGAGTGGTGCCTCTTGCTATTTAGGAATTTTAGAAAAAATTTTTTTCATGTTTCCATGGCAATAAGTTGGACTTAGGTTCTACAGGGGTGGTGTTCGTTTCCAGAGTGTAACTCAAAAAACGTTAAATTCTTTCTTACAAAACTTTGCATGTCTACCAGGCACATACTGAACTGGTGCGTTTTGATATATAGCACTTTTAGAATTTTTTATTGTTTATGTTTCCATGACAACAAGTTGGATTTAAGTTTTAATATAGGATTGGTTTACTTGAGTAGTATAACAAATAAACTGTTAAATATTTCCTTGCCAAATATTGCATGTCTATATATAAAGCGCACACTGAACTAGTGCCATTTGATATTAAGAAGTTTTAGAAATGTTTATTTTAGAATTTCCATTGCAGCTTTTTTGACATGGGCTAAGCATGCTAAGAGAAATGTTGGGTCAGTTACCTGGTTTGGGACCATAACGTGTTAAAATGGGCGGGGGATATATGATATAGATGACTTTGTCAATTATACGCTTGTTCATTTAAAGATTGAAGTTTTATTTGTTGACATTCATCAGCTGATGAAGGCACTGCCTCGCGTGAGCAAATTCCATGATGTACGGTGACCTGACATACACATGATCTGTCTGGCTTCAACGCCTGCATCATTTATCGACTGAATTGATGTGGCTCTCAGTTTACCCTAATGATTTTTAATATTATTTTTAGACATTGAGGAATTCCCCTTACGTAGTTCTGTATGTCTCCGCTCGAACGTTATCACGTGACATACTGACGTTCCTCGGGAAATGAACGGCACTCAGCTTGGTAGTGTTCTCCTAGGCGAAGTCACCCCCTACTGTCAATATTGGGTAACCAATATTTTTTCACTCGTCTAATTATCACTCTATTTGGTTTTTCCCCACATTAGTGAACATTTTAAGATTAAAAAAAATGAAATAATGTTTTCGATGTATATACTGTTCTAAATATATATGCTTGACTCGGAAAGTAAATAAGCTTGTAATTGTGTTTTGGAAATTAACGCCTTTGTGCGCATGCTGAAAAAGCTTCATTGGGTATTTACTGGTGCTGTTTTTATACATTTGAGTTTTTCATTTAATGCATGCGTTGCTGTACGCTAGTTAATTGAAAGTAATTGGGTTTTGAATATTTTGGGGGTATTTTACGCAAATACGCTGCTTATCTATAGCTCTGGTAAGATGCGGGGCGGTCGGGTAGCCCAGTGGTTAAAGCGTTCGCTCGCCATGCCGAAGACCCGGGTTCGATTCCCGACATGGGTACAATGTGTGAAGCCCATTTCCGGTGTCCCCCGCCGTGATATTGCTGGTATATTGCTAAAAGCGGCGTAAAACCATACTCAGTCAGTCAGTCTGGTAAGATGCTAAATCGGTATGTCACACGTGTGTCGTACAAGGTTGACCTCGTTTTATTTGTTTTTTTTGTGTAACCATGACCTCTGTCACACCAGAACTTCTTTTTTCATTCATAAAAAAAATCACGAGACGTTATTCACTTTTACAAAATGTTCAACAACAACGAGGGAGGACTGAAGGAATCTCATGAAAGCGAGACAAAGCTCCAGATAAGCTTTTGGTGTTGTGGGTATTTTACCCATGCATTTTAAAATCATTGGGTATCAGTAATTCTATCTGGGTATTCAAACTTCTGTTACCCAATAGTTTTTACACATGTGAGTATTAAAGTTACATATTTAAAAACACTATTCATCTTGTCCCTGCAAACTGGTGACGTGTGGGTTCGAGAGCTTTATAGGACTCAAAAATACCACGATACTTCCACAAGAAAGTGTGATGGCAAATGATCATGATGTAAGTGTCATCGTGGAGTTTGGCAAGCTTGACAGAATGCCCGTTTATAATTTCAAAATAAGTTGCCGATTTGCTAATCGAATACGCAGGGTTACTTCACAATATTTTGCTGATACGCACAAGTTTTATTTTTGTAGCGTATCAGTAATGTTCGTTGTGTATTTGATACGCTTGGATTTTATTTTACTGCATATTTCTGCATTTCTGATGCGTATTTTACGCAGATACGCAGCATATCTGGAGCTCTGTGAGAAACATTTACAAACACTATGACACCAAACAAGATAGTCACACACGTCAATTTTGCTTTGGATACTTTACTAGTAAAGCATAGAGCTACTACAGACATTATATAATTGAGCTGTTTCCATTTGCAATGTATGACTACCGATCTATATATCTAGGCTCCCTATACTTTATCGACTGTCAATTTGATTTACCATATTCGACATAATAAGCGCCCAGGGGGCTTTCAAAATTAGAAATAGGAGGCTCTTTTCAGAATATAATTTTGGTCAAAGAGTTGAAAGATCGTAAATTTCGTGGTTTATGCTTACAGCCTGAAATGATACAAAAGAAAAGTCTGTGCGTATTATACACGACAGATATATTTTTCCAGAATTTAATTACCTGTAATTAAGGGTGCATATAACCATGATAACACACAAGTGCGTATTATACACGAAATAAATAAGTCTTGTGTACATTGATCATTCGGAAGGGGGGCTAATTGGAATTGTTCACTAGCCATTATATTAGTAAATATCATCGGGGGCGCTTATTAGAGCAGGGCCTAGAAGGTTAAGTGTAGTGAAATGAAGTTAGTTTAACAATCTGAACAGACATTTAGACTTACATTAGATGCTCTAGTTGTGTCAAGAGTGTCTCCTTCAAAGCACTGGGGCACGGTTGGCCCAGTCGTCTAAGGCGCCGCGATTCGCTGTGCAGAGTTGCATCCCTTGGTCATGCCAGAAACCTATGATTGTGGGTTCGAATCCCGGTTCGCCCCGATTATGTTTCTAGGTTTGTCAGCACCATACCCGTGCTCGTGGGTTTCACCGAAGTGGTAAACATCTGGGACCTGCATCACTTCGGGCTTTCCTCCCACATTAAGCTGACACGCCGTGATATAACTGGAATACTGTTAAAACGGCGTTAACCCCAACTCACTCACTCACTCCTTCAAAGCACATCTGTTTCGGGAAGTGTTTGTTAAAAGTTGACACTAAAAGTGAACAGTTCCGATACGAATCATTCAAAAACTCTGTGGAAGTCATATATTGTGACCCCAAACATCCCAAATGTGAACAATAACGTTCTCTATTGCTCTCTTGCGTAAAATGCTGAGAGTAGATCACAGTTGTCTTTTCTTATACCAATGGTGACCTTGCCCTTCGTTCAATGCTGCAAGCAGACTTGAGTTTGTTGATTTTCACGTCTTCAGTGTAGGGTCGACAGTTGACATGAACGTCTTTGGCAAGCACTCTGATTTCCCTCTTCCAAAATGGTTCAGACAGGATATACATTCAGCTGAAAGATTGATCCAAATGGTTTGGTTTCCTTGATCTCATTGCTGGGATCCTGGCGGTGCAAGCTACCCACCGTTGGTCCGAGATTCAAAGCGCAGCGTTAATTGACGTTTTTCATTTTCTTACAGACCCGTGAAGATTCCAGGGTAGAATAGGTATTCAGCAACCCATGCTTGCCGTAAAAGACAACTATGCTTGCCGTAAAAGGCGACTAACGGGATCGGGTGGTCAGGCTTGCTGACTTGGTTGATGCATGTCATCCATCCCAATTGCGCCGATCGATGCTCATGATGTCAATCACTGGATTGTCCGGTCCAGACTTGATTATTTACAGACCGCCGTCACATAGCTGGAATATTGCGGAATGCGGCGTTAACCAACAAACAAACAAAAATCATTTATTTACAGTTGTCCTGAGTGCGAACAGTGATGCTCTTGAATTACCATAAGTTGACGAAGTTCTTAAAAAAGGATCATAAGCGTTGGTAGTGTCATGTTTGCACATAAACAGCAGGAATATGTAATTAATGTGTATGCAGAGAAATGTCAACAATGCCCATATTTGGGCATATATCAATGTTCATACGCAAACAGATTTCAGTTTGGTCTGTTAACCAACAATAGATATTATGTATACACTTAAATGCATATTTAACATGGCTTTCACTTCGTCAGATACCATAGAAAATCCACTTTAGTAAAAATAGTATCTGAAGAGAATGAGACTGTAGTATTCTCTATGTATTCATTTGAAACAGTACCAATAGATAGGAATAGGTATTGATACTTGGTTCTGTAGTATTGCATTAAAAGCAAATCTCAAAATACCTCTAAATTTAAGAATAAAAATGAACTTTTAAAAATCCAAATTTTGAATGATTTAATGATTATTTCTTGCATGCTTTCCAAACACCCAGTACCGTCGCCGTACTTGCCGTACTTGCCTTTTTGTGGGTGAGTTGGGTGTAATGTCGCATTAAACAGTATTCCAGTTATATCAGAAGTCAGCTTAATGTGAAGGACTGAAGTATTAATAATCATAATAATAATCATAATAATAATGAGCATATTAATAATTTCCCCCCCCCCAAAAAAAAGACACCCCTCGCCTGCACTATATATTCAAAAACCATTGCCTGAGAACCAATTCTTTTATTTTTTTAAGCCCAATATACATTTTTTTAATGATTTCATTTTTTTAAAGTTGACAGTTTTGTGAACCAATCAAAAGTAATTCAGTCAATAGGATGTCATCGATCGCATTTGCATGGATTGATGCTCATGATGTCAATCACTGGATTGTCTGGTCCAGACTTGATTATTTACAGACCGCCGTCATGAAGCTGGAATATTGCTGAGTGCAGCGCCAAACAAGAAACCAACCAACCAACCTTTGTTGTCATTGTTGTCATGCTTGATGATACGTTTCCGTTGTTTTACGAGGTGAAGCAGGATGGAGATGGGGAGCCACGCAGACACCAGCCTGAACAGTGCGGGCAACATCCTCATCATCATGCAAGATGAAAACGGCTGCGAAACCACAATAGACAGCGGAAGCCTCACAACCGAGTCCTTGATTACAAGCCAAGCTTTACATCACTTTCACAGCAACACAATCGAAACACAGACAAGCAGCCATACAAGTTTGTCATCCTCCAAACCAATGGAAGTTGTTTCCATGGAAACGGTTGCCGGTAACGAGGTAGAGATACACCCGAACAGCAACTTCCCCGGAGACATGGCCTACACGTCCTGTCTGGTGTGTGGGGACCGGGCGTCCGGGTACCACTACTCCGTGTTCTCGTGCGAGGGGTGCAAGGGATTCTTCAAGAGGACAGTACAAAAGAGTCTGACCTACTGCTGCAAAGAAGGTGGGAGCTGTGAAATTAATAAGTACACCAGGAACAGCTGTCAAGCGTGTCGCTTTAATAAGTGCCTGCAGATGGGGATGAAGAGAGAAGGTTTGTGACTGCTCTGGAAAAATAAGTCAGCTCCTGCTGTATTCCGCTGCCAAAAAAGTAAAAATTGTGACAAGATAGACACATTTTTTTATGGATAACAACTTCTTTAATACTGTGAAAAGCGACGTTTCGGTTAAATCCTTATACCGTTGTCAAGCAAGACTGACAACGGTATAAGGATCTATACCGAAACGTCGCTTTTCACAGTATTAAAGAAGTTGTTATCCATAAAAAAATGTGTCTATCTTGTCATCCGTCAACTTCTAAGTAATGCCTATCAAAAAACAAAAAATTGGGTGGTAAATGTTGTAAATTCTGCAACCAAATTTTTATTATGCAACACACAATTCTGAAAGGTTTTAAGCTTAATCAATGTGAATTTTGTAGTTTTGCCCCTGTTTAACTTGTGCACTTTGGGGACGCAATAATGCAAAACCTCACTTCATTCCAATTTGATTCATTTAACCATTTCTCAAAATGTCAAATATTTAATAATTATTTGAAATGATTTTATTAATACAATGCACGGTTCAAATAATAACTGTTCGTTTCAGTAAAGCTTTGCAACTTTTATATGTTTAACAATAGCGACTCACATGTTAAAATTCTTCAGTGTATTTGACAAATTCTGTGGCAGACAAAGGCAAAATGCTGTATGAGCTCTGCACAAAAAGTGATTTTCTGCAAGATAGATACATTTCTGCATTAAGTGGGCATGTCTGCAAAATTCCGACCATGGAATCGCAGAAAACAGCAGGAACTGATTCATTCTTGTTGTGTGGGTTTTGGTTAGAGACACATCTTTGGTACTGGCTTGATGGGAGAGGAGAAAATGAGAGAGTCATAAACATAACATGACATTGTTTAGGGACAACACACAGGTTTTGGATTTTATTTTGAAAATTTTTTGGTCCAGATAATGATGATATTTAACAAAAAGTAGGTTTGAGGTGTTAGAGTAAGTGAGTGAGTTGGGCTTATCGCCGCTTTTAACCGTATTCCAGTTATATCATGGCGTGTCAGCTTAATGTGGGAGGAAAGCCCAAAGTGACGTTTACCACTTCGGCGAAACCCACGGGCACGGGTATGGTGCTGACAAACCTAGAAACATAATCGGGGCGAACCGGGATTCGAACCCACAATCATAGGTTTCTGGCGTGCCCAAGGGACGCAACTCTGCACAGCGAATCGCGGCGCTTTAGACGACTGGGCCACCCGTGCCCCCTTGAGGTGTTAGAAGAAGCAAATCGTTTGCTGTACATGTTGTGTGTTCTACAGTTTGTCTTGAAAAAGACACTCTGTATGTAACATGGTAACACAAAGCTGGTAACTGAACACAATATTCACACTTTTCTAGTGAATTGTACAAGGTTTAAAAAATGTCCCAAGAAATATATTTTGCTGTGTGTTAGCTTTTTCGGAATTGTTCAGCAGGATTACCTTGACCAGCAAAACTAGGAGTGCAGGAGACCACCACCAGTCTCTGAGGACACGTGAAGATCCGGGGTAGAATAGGTCTTCAGCAAACCATGCTTGTCTTAAAGGTGACTTGCTTGTCTTAAGAGGCTACTAATGGGATGTGGTCTGTCTCACTGACTTGGTTGATGCATGTCATCAATCCCAATTGCCTGTATCAACGCTCATGATATATCAATCACTGGATTGTCTAGTCCAGAATTGACTATTCACAGAAAGTTGGAATATTGGTGAGCGTGGCATTAAACAACAGACAAACAAACAAATGAAACTTGTCTCTGGGCAAGTGGCTTTACAAAAATGAAATGGAACCCCTGTAGATTTGATAATTACTTTAGCTACACGACCTTTACCATGGTGATTTCCTGTTAACAATTTGGGACAATGAACATTGTATGTCTATTGGGATGCAATCCATGGTTTTCGGCATCTGGGATTTTGTATGGAGACTGGACATTTTATATCGGTCATATGAAAACCAGGTTTTTGCAAAAGTATATGATTTTGTTTCAGACAATTTCTTATTTTTCAATAGCCTGAAGGCATAATTGTTTCGAAAATATAATCTCACTTCAAACTAGACACACAGTTTGAATGTCTGGAGGGTCTTGTGGTCAAAATGTTTTCTCTTTTAGAATGTGAATCTAGATTTCCCCCAAAGAGTTATGACAAGGACCCCTTGACTTTCATGTTTGGCTTGGAACGAGAGACACATATTCTATTATGATTAATATCTTGAACATATTTGTGTATTTTGTTCAGCTGTGCGAGAAGACCGAGCTCCCGGAGGAAAGCATAGATTAAAGCGGCAACGAATGGATGAGTCGTCTCCCCTTGTAATGTCTGACGGGCTCATCGGATACCCGCAGGTGCCGAAAAAAGAGTTTACTGACCCCCTGGTGGACAGCCTGGTTGACGCAGGGCCGGATACAGTGCCAAAGTATGAAGGTGAGTGCGACCCGTGAAGATTCCGGGGTAGAATAGGTCTTCAGCAACCCATGCTTGCCGTAAAAGATGACTATGCTTGTCGTAAGAGACAATTAACGGGATCGGGTGGTCAGGCTCGCTGACTTGGTTGATGCATGTCATCAATCCGAAATGCGTGGATCGATGCTCATGATGTCAATCACAACAAACAAACCAAACCAATGAAGGTGAGTGCACGAAGCCTCAGTGAATCATGGTTGGCCTGACCTCCAGATCCAAAAGTCATGTGTGACCTCTGTTTGATCAGGCTCGACCTCCAGCATCAGTATATCATGTGTGACCTCTGCTTCAGCAGGCTGACTTCTGACATCAGTCTATCATGTGTGATCTCTGTTTCAGGAGGCTGACTTCTGACATCAGTCTATCATGTGTGACCTCTGTTTCAGGAGGCTGACTTCTGGCATCAGTCTATCATGTGTGACCTCTGTTTCAGGAGGCTGACTTCAGGCATCAGTCTATCATGTGTGACCTCTGTTTCAGGAGGCTGACTTCTGGCATCAGTCTATCATGTGTGACCTCTGTTTCAGGAGGCTGACTTCTGGCATCAGTCTATCATGTGTGACCTCTGTTTCAGGAGGCTGACTTCTGACATCAGTCTATCATGTGTGACCTCTGTTTCAGGAGGCTGACTTCTGACATCAGTCTATCATGTGTGACCTCTGTTTCAGGAGGCTGACTTCTGACATCAGTCTATCATGTGTGACCTCTGTTTCAGCAGGCTGACTTCTGGCATCAGTCTATCATGTGTGACCTCTGTTTCAGGAGGCTGACTTCTGACATCAGTCTATCATGTGTGACCTCTGTTTCAGGAGGCTGACTTCTGGCATCAGTCTATCATGTGTGACCTCTGTTTCAGGAGGCTGACTTCTGACATCAGTCTATCATGTGTGACCTCTGTTTCAGGAGGCCTGACTTCTGACATCAGTCTATCAGGTGTGACCTCTGTTTCAGGAGGCTGACTTCTGACATCAGTCTATCATGTGTGACCTCTGTTTCAGGAGGCTGACTTCTGTCATCAGTCTATCATGTGTGACCTCTGTTTCAGGAGGCTGACTTCTGACATCAGTCTAACATGTGTGACCTCTGTTTCAGGAGGCTGACTTCTGGCATCAGTCTTTCATGTGTGACCTCTGTTTCAGGAGGCTGACTTCTGGCATCAGTCTATCATGTGTGACCTCTGTTTCAGGAGGCTGACTTCTGACATCAGTCTATCATGTGTGACCTCTGTTTCAGGAGGCCTGACTTCTGACATCAGTCTATCATGTGTGACCTCTGTTTCAGGAGGCTGACTTCTGGCATCAGTCTATCATGTGTGACCTCTGTTTCAGGAGGCTGACTTCTGACATCAGTCTATCATGTGTGACCTCTGTTTCAGGAGGCCTGACTTCTGACATCAGTCTATCATGTGTGACCTCTGTTTCAGGAGGCTGACTTCAGGCATCAGTGTGTCATGTGTGACCTCTGTTTCAGGAGGCTGACTTCTGTCATCAGTCTATCATGTGTGACCTCTGTTTCAGGAGGCTGACTTCTGGCATCAGTCTATCATGTGTGACCTCTGTTTTAGTAGGCTGACTTCAGGCATCAGTCTATCATGTGTGACCTCTGTTTCAGGAGGCTGACTTCTGACATCAGTCTATCATGTGTGACCTCTGTTTCAGTAGGCTGACTTCAGGCACCAGTCTATCATGTGTGACCTCTGTTTCAGGAGGCCTCACTTCTGACATCAGTCTATCATGTGTGACCTCTGTTTCAGGAGGCTGACTTCTGACATCAGTCTATCATGTGTGACCTCTGTTTCAGGAGGCTGACTTCTGGCATCAGTCTATCATGTGTGACCTCTGTTTCAGGAGGCTGACTTCTGACATCAGTCTATCATGTGTGACCTCTGTTTCAGGAGGCTGACTTCAGGCATCAGTCTATCATGTGTGACCTCTGTTTCAGGAGGCCTGAGCTCGGGTATCAGTGTGAACGAGCTGATGCAGTGTGGGTACTCGGAACTCAAATACATCATCGAGTGGGCCAAGAAGGTGCCAGGTCAGTGAAGCTCTCAAACGTTGTCATCCAGGACAAAATATTACAGATGTTTATTATTTCATATTTCTTTGTATGTGTGAGTTTGTTTGTAAACCATACATGAATGACCATGAACATGTGTAAATAATGTCCAGATGTCTGTGCAGATTGTGAAACTAACTTCATTTCACTACACTTAACCTTCTAAGCTACCGTATTTGACGCCCCGCTCTAATAAGTGAGTGAGTATGGTTTTACGCCACTTTTAGCAATATTCCAGCAATATCACGGCGGAGGACACCAGAAATGGGCTTCACACATTGTACCCGTGTCGGGAATCGAACCCGGGTCTTCGGCGTGATGAGCGAACGCTTTAACCACTAGGCTACCCGACTGCCCCCGAATCTAATAAACACAATATTTGCTAATATATTGGCTAGTGAACAATCCCAATTAGAACCCCTTCAAATTGATCAATGTACACAAGAAGTATTTATTCGTGTGTAATATGCACTCGTGTGTTATATGCATCCTTAATTACGGGCAATTAAATTCTGAAAAAATATATCGGTCGTATATAAACATTTCAGACATTTTCAATTCTGTTTTTTTCCCCAATAAAATAATATTCTAATAAGAGCACCTTATTTCTAATTTTGAGAGCGAACTGGGCACATATTACATCAAATATGGTATTACAGTTTGGGTCCATTTATGTTTATTAGTCAGAAATAATGTCTTTAAACTGAAAGAAAAATTTGAAACAACATTTCTGTAGAATATTCCTGGGATGGAGGGTTTCTGTAGAACATCACTTTGACAGAGGGACTTTATGTAGATCTTCACTGGGTCAGAGGGACTTTCTGTAGACATCACTGGGACAGAGGGACTTTCTGTAGAACATCACTGGGACAGAGGGACTTTCTGTAGAACATCACTGGGACAGAGGGACTTTCTGTAGAGCAGCAGAAGCTCTAATAACAAAAGGATGAGTCACTTGAGGTTCACATTCTTTGACTAATCTCTGCAGTACAGTTGTCTCACTTTGACTAGCATTGTTTTTATAGAGATATGACTTCTGTCTTCAACAGGTCAAATGCTATATATTGTGTATCATGTTGTGTTTTCAGGTTTCAGTAATTTAGACATGGAGGATCAGATGGCCTTGTTAAAATCTTCATTCATGGAACTGAATGTGCTGAGGTTGGCATACAGGTAAGAATGAAACAGTGTCGCATTGATCGGATGGTCACATTGACTGCCTGATTTGGTGTTGAATGGACGACTTCTCCATCAAAACTCAGTGATTGGTTGATTGCATGTTTTGTTTGTTGTTTAACGCCGCACTCAGCAATATTCCAGCTATATGAAGGCGGTCTGTAAATAATCGAGGCTGGACCAGACAATCCAGTGATTGACATCATGAGCATCAATCCATGCAAATGGAATACGAGGACATGCATCAACCAAGTCAGCAAGCCTGACCACCCGATCCCGTTAGTCGCCTCTCACGACAAGCATAGTTGTCTCTTAAGGCAAGCATGGGTTGCTGAAGACCTATTTTACCCTGGATCTTCAGGATTGCATGTCATCCTACCCTGGCAGCATGCTCATGATGTCAACCTGTGGTTTGTCCTCCTGGATTACTTCTCTGATGATCTGACTGAAATACTTTTCAATGCCAACCCACTCACTCCAGTGTCCAAGTTAGGCCAGACCAATATCTTGTCTTGTATTATGGATCCACCAAACTGAAATTTCAGAAAAACTGTATTTGACGTAATAAGCACCCAGGGCAATCTCAAAATAGAAATAGGGGGCTCTTATTCAAATATTATTTTCATGAAAATTTAGGAGTTGAAAGATCGTGAATTTCGTGGTTTATGCTGACAGCCTGAAATGTTTATATACGACAGATATATTTTTCCAGAATTTAATTGCCCGTAATTAAGGGTGCATATAACACACGACGGCCTATTATACACGAATAAATACGTCTTGTGTACATTGATCAATCGGAAGGGGTGCTAATTGGAATTGTTCACTAGCCATGGCCCAATATACAGTCAAGTCTCGTTAATCCGACACTCGTTAATCCGACAATCGGCTTTATCCGACACTAATGATGGGAACCGATTAAATCAGTGCTATTTACACCCGTTAATCCGACAGTCTCGCACTCCGACTCTGACACACAAAATTTGCAACGAATTAACGAAATCACTCATTAATCAGTCTCGTTAATCCGACACAGTGATCAGCGTACTCCGTGGTCATCTGCCCCCGAGTACACAGCCAGTGTTTTGATGCGAGACGAGTCAACGAGTAGCTGTATATTACAACGGATGCAGAGATAAACTTGCTTAACAATAAACAATTAATGCTTTAAATACAGGATTAATCACATGCTTAGATTACCTCATTCGCATTAAAATCAGATACAAGTTCTTGCTATCGCTGAGGACATCCCGTTACAGGTCACAACAGAACAACCTTTCGCAAACTATGACCGACCAATGAAATGCCTAACAGAAAATCAACGTTAGCCACTAAGAAAGCAGCTTTCTCAAGCTTTGCGGTACCAGTTTCAAACTTGCGACTTCCATTCCAGACTATCCTCTTTAAAGTATTTTGAATAAGTCATACAGTCCGTAACAGTTGTTTTGTGCTAAGCTTTAAAGGTTGCATGATTAGAAAACATATCCCGCTAACAATGAAATAAAACAATATGAATATTTCATTTTTCTTTTTTTATTACGTGTTTGTATCGTTACCTATCGTGTAGTTTTTCGATCACAAACGTTGATACTACTTAATTTCGTTTATCCGTCATTCTTGTTAATCTGACATAATCATATGCAACCAACGATGTCGGATTAACGGGACTTGACTGTATTAGCAAATATTGCCGTGGATGCATATTAGAGCGGGGGGCTTATTACATCGCATAAGGTAAAAATGAAATATGATGTGTTTGTTTTTCAGTAATTCTCTGCAACACCAAAATACAACATATCCAGTTTGTAGTGTGCACCTTTTTACTCCCAAATACAGCCGTTTAGAGAGAGTGCACGTAATACACACATTAAATGAGTTTCCAAGACAAACATGTCAACGTTTGCACATAACACTGGAAATAGCATGTCAAACAGTCAAGAGGTGCACACCTGAAGTTCGTCCTGGTATTAAGATGTCTGCTATGTATTGCAGATCCATGGGTCTGGACAACACTAGCATGTCAAACAGTCAAGAGGTGCACACCTGAAGTTCGTCCTGGTATTAAGATGTCTGCTATGTATTGCAGATCCATGGGTCTGGACAACACTATCAAGTTTGCTGACGGGCTGTTGGTTCCCTCGGAGATCGCCCAGACGATGGGTTGGGGGAAGGAGTTGATCAATGCCACGCTGGAGTTTGCCGTCCGGCTGAAGGAAGTCCACTTGGATCACAGTGAATTCTGTATCCTCAACGCTTTGGTCCTCACTTACCCTGGTAAGATGTGAAATCATTGTGTAAAGTTGCCTGGTGTCTGAGGGAGTACTGTTTCTAGCTTTCCGCCCACATTTAGGTGATGTAACTGAAATACTGTTGAAAGTGGCGTTAAAGGGACAGGACGTTGACCGTTCTTAAGCTTTGTTTGTAAACAATAGCTTACCCAGATTCACTCAGCTTATTCCACAACAGAATTTTCTGCTCAAGTTACATGCTGCAGGTGTAGACTTTTCACCTGTTTGTAAACAAACCCACTTTGAAATAAGAATAGAGGGCCTATTGCAAGCCTGTCTGTGCGCTTTACATATTGCAAACGGCAACATTGAGGTGCATGACAATGCAGCTGTACACATCAAAGTGACCATATTGCCATCTCTCTGTAGGGCTTCGATGACAGTAAGTGGTAGAGAAATACGTAAATGTTTTAGCATATTTTCTCAATGAAAGTTCTCTCACCCCTCCCTCCCTCCTTCCTTCCTTCCCCCTCCTCAATCCCTCCCTCCTTCCCTCCCCATCCTCAACCCTCCCTCCTTCCCTCCCCATCCTCAACCCTCCCTCCTTCCCTCCCCATCCTCAATCCCTCCCTCCTTCCCTCCCCATCCTCAACCCTCCCTCCTTCCCTCCCCATCCTCACCTCCGAGCCTGTCAGCCTCCAGGCCTGTCTGAGTGTCAGCCTCTGAGCCCGTGTGAGTGTCAGCCTCTGAGCCCGTGTGAGTGTCAGCCTCTGAGCCCGTGTGAGTGTCAGCCTCTGAGCAGCCATGTGAGTGTCAGCCTCTGAACCCGTGTGAGTGTCAGCCCCTGAGCCTGTCTGAGTGTCAGCCTCTGAGCCCGTGTGAGTGTCAGCCTCTGAGCCCGTGTGAGTGGCAGCCTCTGAGCCCGTCTGAATGTCAGCCTCTGAGCCCCTCTGAGTGTCAGCCTCTGAGCCCTTGTGTCAGCCTCTGAGCCCGTGTGAGTGTCAGCCTCTGAGCCCGTGTGAGTGTCAGCCTCTGAGCAGCCATGTGAGTGTCAGCCTCTGAGCCCGTGTGAGTGTCAGCCTCTGAGCCCGTGTGAAGGTCAGCCTCTGAACAGATCACATACTCTCTATTCCAGATGCTGTGGGTATACAGAACAAGGATAGTGTGATCACACTACAGATCGAGATCCTGGAAGCCATGTTGCGCTACATGAAGTTCCACTACCCGACAGACACCCGCAGACATGGCAAGATGTTGCTACGGCTACCAGCTTTACGTACAGTCAGCGCCAAGGCAGCTGAGCGGTTCCTCTCACTCACGTTGGATGGGAGCATCCAGCTGAACGAACTTGTCCTGGAAATGATCAATTAAGTGGCAGTCAGTGGCCAAAAGCTGCCTGATTGTGCACAACAAACTACAAGTGGCTCAAATATTGCTTCATCCCCCATCTACGCTGTTTCTATTGTACCCCATGGCCTAAGTGTCATGGCAACAATTGTAATTCAAGCAACAGTTACTTACGCATGGATATTATTGAAAGTGGATTACCGCATTTACATTTTCTGCGCTGACCCATGTGGATGATAATGTTAACTAATATGGTTTCTATGGTAACTGGAAATATAAGAGAAACAAGCAGGTGTTCCTATGGCCACCTGACTTCATAATGCTGATATTGTATTCTATGATTTGCATAACGAACACAGCAGACATTGTGTGGAGGTGGTTACCTGGCATTGAAGATATTCATATGGATAGATGTTGCTATGGTAACTAAGGATTGAAGATGGCCCAGTTTGAAGATTTAGGCGTTGCTATGGTTACATGACATGGAAAAGACACACATGATGTTCCTATTATCAATGATGGGAGAGATTGTGCTATGGAAACAGGACATGGAAGTGACACACTGCATGTTGCTATGGTAACACGACATGGAAGAGATGCACATGATGTTACAATGGAAACAGGACATGGAAGTGACACACTGCATGTTGCTATGGTAACAAGACATGGATGCGATGCACAGGATGTTACAATGGCAACAGGACATGGAAGTGACATTCTGCATGTTGCTATGGTAACAAGACATGGATGCGATGCACAGGATGTTACAATGGCAGCAGGACATGGAAGTGACACACTGCATGTTGCTATGGTAACAAGACATGGAAGCGATGCACAGGATGTTACAATGGCAACAGGACATGGAAGTGACACACTGCATGTTGCTATGGTAACAAGACATGGAAGCGATGCACAGGATGTTACAATGGCAACAGGACATGGAAGCGACACACTGCATGTTACTATGTGAACATAAAAAGAAACAATGGTAACCTGACATGCAAGAGAACATATGTTGCTATGGTAACATTGAAGAGAAGAGACAATGTGTGTTGCTATGGTAACATTCAAGAGAAGAGACAATGTGTGTTGCTATGGTAACATTCAAGAGAAGAGACAATGTGTGTTGCTATGATAACATTCAAGAGAAGACACAATGTGTGTTGCTATGTTAACATTGAATAGAAGAGACAATGTGTGTTGCTATGATAACATTGAAGAGAAGAGACAATGTGTGTTGCTATGATAACATTGAAGAGAAGAGACAATGTGTGTTGCTATGATAACATTGAAGAGAAGAGACAATGTGTGTTGCTATGCCAACATTGAAGAGAAGAGACAATGTGTGTTGCCATGCTAACATTGAAGAGAAGACACAATGTGTGTTGCTATGATAACATTGAAGAGAAGAGACAATGTGTGTTGCTATGGTAACATTGAAGAGAAGAGACAATGTGTGTTGCTATGGTAAGATCAGTCAGTGTTGCTGTGGTGACATGGAAGAAACATGGATGTTTCCAACCAAACCGGCATGAAGACAAAGACTCTTGGATTTGTTGGTGTTGGGAAAATTGGTATTGAAGAGCGACATGTTGAAACTGAAGTTGTATATATATACAGGAACTATCTGTAACCTACTTGCTTCCTACCTCAGCAGCTCCATGGCCAATGAAGGAATCTCAAGCTCAGGAACAAAGGGCTGACATCATGAAGTTGGTTAATGACATAATAAATGTTATCAGATTTTCACCAAACACCCACCTCCCACCAACTGATTATATATCCCCAGCCGTGTCATACCCAAAGACCTTAAAAGATGGCACTTGCCTGGGGCTAGTCATTAAGGGGATGAAATGACTGGTCAGTATACTGTGTCTGAGTGGGGTATTCTGTTAAACTGTGTCATGGTATTTAAGTGAGCTAGCACAGGCTTTAATCAACTCGTACGAGAAGATGTGCAAACATGCACGCACACACGCACGCACACACACACACACACACACACACACACAGACACAAGCACACACACACACACACACACACACACACACACACATATGCATGTACATCACAATGTAAGCAGTTATCTTGAACACGTTAATCCCCATGTCACCATAACCTGTGCCCCGATTATCAAGGATATTATGTCTCCATTCAAACAAGAATTTATCTTGTGTTAGTTGAATGGGAAGACTATCATAATATTTTTAGCTAGATGATTTCCCCCTCAGAATAAGGCATCTTACCCAGACAAAGGCGTCCACCAGCCTTTTTCAACCATTACCACATCAAGCCCACTTTCCTGTGCTCGATACAATTGGACTATCACACACATTGATAGTCCAATCAGAGAATATTTCACAAAATCAACATCCACGACTGGTGCACCTTCTTATGAAAGTGATTTACCACGTGCTGACACAAATATGTCTTATTCATCTTTTTACCCCAACCCCCCACCCGTCCCATCGGTTTACGATTGCCCAAACCGCCTATGTGGTCTAGAGGTTGAGCAGAAGGTCCAGGGTTTCGATCCCCGGCCGCGTCATATCAAAAGACGTTAAAAGATGGTACTTGTTACCCTGTACTAGTACAAGCAGCCACACACACACACACGTGCATGCACGTCGCTATATAAGTGCAATAATCTTGGACGCAACGTTAAACCCAATTTCACCTCACTTACGATTGCCCATGTTTTATGAAATAATGAATGAAATCACAAATAGTGAGGTGGCACCAGGATTGAGCCAAGAAAGGTAGACTTGATGGGGAAAGGGTAGAATCTAGGCTTTGGTATATGCTAGTGGACACGCTTGCCTCGTGAAGACTTCAGATTCAGTTGGTTGCAGTCGCTGTCATATAGCTGTAATATTGCTGATTGTCGCGTTAAACAACAAACCAAACCAAAAAATAAATCCTAGTGTTGATACAGTCGTGAACCAGATTGCCTAGGAACCCAAAGATTATTGATAAAATTTGTTTTATTTAGGGACTGCTCATTTGTCAGTGGGAGAGGAGGTCGTGTTTCATGTATTTGGGGTAGGGGATACATGAAAATATGGGGGTGTGGTAGGAAATATATGACACCGCCCTGAGGTCAATGTCCCCCCTCCCCTTATAATAAATGGCCAGTTCCTTGGTCTATCTAGTCCATGATTCTGACATAGATCTGAGATCTGGAGTCAGTCAAAGACACAGATATCAACCAAAAAGGAATGAATTCCCATAGTATGATGTGTCACTGGAAGCAGTGTGTGTGTGGCCTCACTACAGTGTAACCCATCTTCCTGAGTCAAGGGAGGTAACTGACTATAAAAGTCCAGTTTCCACCCTTGCCGAGTTATGTTTTGGCTGGACTAACGGGTCTATGCATAGTACAATCAAAATCATGTTTCGAAAGACATCCGGTTCGTAAACTTCAACAGATATTTTTCAAATCTTTTCATGATTTTAATCAAGAGATTTAATGCACTTCGCGAAGCAAGAGCCGTTTTATCACAATGTAGTTCTTGATTATTGATCAGATAGTCATGACTGGGCGCCGCCATTTTGTTTGAAGCAAATGTAAGTGATATGAGAGGTGGAAACTGATTGGTCAATAGGAGGGACATAGAAGGGACATAACTCATAATAGCCACTAGTGGCGCTACGATGGAACCCAGAAATTCAAGTCATTACTGGGCTAACATATAGTCGATTAAAAATCTTTTATTACCGATAAGGTTAAAAATAACCGAGTTCGTAAAATCATATGTGCACTATTGCAGATATCACTTCATGCGCATAAGAAGATCCGGCTTAAAATAGGTCTTCCGCAACCCATGCTTGCTGTAAAAGGCGACTATGCTTGTTGTAAGAGGCGGCTGACGAGATCGGGTGGTCAGGCTTGCTGATTTTGTTGATGCATGTCATCGTATCCCATTTGCGTGGATCGATGCTCATGATGTCAATCACTGGACTGTCTGGTCCAGACTCGATTATTTACACTGACCGCCGTCATATAGCTGTATTATTGCTGAGTGCGGCGTTAAACAACAAACAAACAAACAAATCATGTTCACCAATGTATTGATTATGTCATCCGAGCGGCATTGTTGGGATCAATCGAATCTTATTGTGATGTAAGGTCGAAATGACGTCACACTAGAAACGATTGTTGACGTCATTACACAAATGTAGTGTTCTAAGACCACAGTGATAAATGAATTGGTAATAAAAAAATGATTATCCTCGCATGTGTGTCATACTGATTTTACGAAACTCTTGTAAGAATTCATAAAAGGCAACTATGCTTGTCGTAAAAGGCGACTAACGGGATCGGGTGGTCAGGCTCGCTGACTTGGTTGATGCATGTCATCGTATCCCAATTGGGTGGATCGATGCTCATGATATCGATCACTGGATTGTCTGGTTCAGACTCGATTATTTACAGACCGTCGTCATATAGCTGGAATATTGCTGAGTGCGGCGTTAAACAACAAACCAACCAACCAATTGTAAGAATTCATGTATTGTTACAAAAATACAATTCTCTGCTCAAAATTATTGTTTGTGATGTTACCTCTGATGTGGAATAGAGGTGGCTAGACTTGCTTTCTCATAATCTAGATTGGGTTTGGTTTCATAAAATACATATATTCCAGAAACACGGTGAAGGATTGATGACATTCCGTCATGTCTCAAAAGAAAAGTGAATTGGGCACGGATTGCCGAGTCATCTAAGGCGCCACAGTTTGCTGTGCAGAGTTGCGTCACTTGGGCGCGCCAGAAACCTATGGTTGTGGGTTCGAATCCCGGTTCGCCCCGATTATATTTCTAGGTTTGTCAGCACCATACCCGTGCTCGTGGGTTTCACCGAAGTGGTAAACGTCTGAGACCTGCATCACTTCGGGCTTTCCTCCCACATTAAGCTGACACGCCGCGATATAACTTGAATACTGTTCAAAGCAGCGTTCAACACAGATCCCTTTTTATAGAAAAGTGTGCATTTTGATTGGTAGTCACAGTTTACATGTGGCTTCAATATTCCTGATGCCATGTCAAATTTAAAATTACTCACTCAAGAGCGCCATGCACAATAAAATTTACACAAACCCCCTTCTTTTTCCTTTTTACAAATATGCTATGTCTAAAGCCTTTGAAAAAATCAAACCTTTTTTATGGAATAGCAGATATCCTTAATGAAATTGACTCAACCAATTGATCAGCTGTAATTTTGCTCATTTAACCCCTGTCAATTTGATTAGGTGCTCAAAAGAGAATTGTTGCAATGGAAATGAAATGTTTTAGTTTTGATTTACAGATCCTGTGACATTGTTTGGTACATAGGTTAATGCACATATGCCAATTAGGCATACATAAGCACGGATTGTGATGTTTTGTTTGTTGGTTGGAAACTTGCTGTCTGTGTTTAAGTATCAGTGGGGATTGGGGGTTGGAATTGGTCCTCATCAACCATACCATGTTAGTGACAGGCTTAATGGCCGTGGTTGGTCACATCCAGCGACTTAGATACCATTCAGCGGTTTACGTGAATCTCCCACTCAAGACACAGTGTACGGACTCCGAGCTGAGTCCTTGTTGTTGCCCTGTCTGGCGTTTGACATTCAGGGGCTAAAACAAGGACTGGTTGGCTCGGAGTCAGTACACTGTGTCTGAGTGGAGTATTCATGTTAAACTGCGGCATGGTATCTCAGTGTGCCAGCACTATTAGATTAGTATAGGTCTGGACCAGTGCAGACAGACGAACAGACAGACATACACGTCGCTATATGACTGCAATAATTCTTGGATGCGACGTTAAACCCCATTTCACCTCACCTCAATCACCACACACCCCCACCCCCACCCCCACCCCCACACCCCCATAGAGTTGATCAAAATCAACGACTT